ACGGAGTACTGTGGCTGATGTTGCCCTTTTCGCGAGATCTGGGGGTCCTGCCGACCGATCAGTTTCAATAGGCCGTCTCCTCGTATGCAAGACGTTGTGTGAGAATCTCTATCTGGTCAGTGCATGACGCGAGTGATCTGAGCAGGTAAGCACGTACGAGTATGCTATCTTTACCAAGTTGAGCGTGGCTTGCTGATACTGGTCCTTCCCCGCAAGGAACAAGCACCGGGCACAGAAGCTTGACGCATCTTAGCTCTTCCGGGTGTCGATGTATCCATTCCGAGGAAGCTGCTATCACTTCCGTGGACGATTAGACAGCAGCAATGGCCAACCCGGCTGGAGAATAGGAGCACACACGCCATTGTCACTAGACCTTCCGCCGTCTACCTCCTCTTCGTCTTCCCAATCTTCCTTCATGCTGCCTGTCATCCGGTGACAGCCCCCATCTGCTGGTTGCGCGGACTACAACCAAATGGATATCCTTACGGACAGACTTGAAGCGAGACGCGTCCGATCAAAAGACTTACTGTCAGGATCTCAACGGAGTCAAATCCCTGCACGATGCCTTGCTATTTCGGCATTGAAAGTCGGATCATGAGACGCTATTCAGAGAACATCTCGTTCTGGATGTGGACTGCTTTGAGCACATCGAAGTCAATTTCAAATCACCGGGAGGCCTCGCATATTCTCAACTCTCGCTGCATGATCAAATACGGCTACTCTTCGTGGCTGTATCCGCCTCGTGGCCGGTAGACTGGGCTTGATGTCTCGGAGCCCAGCACGCCCAAGTTGGGATTTGCAGGTCATCTGCACGGTCAGGATCTGCTCGAGCTGCTCAACCACTACTGCTAACTTTGGAATGCACACCCACCTCTTGGACGACCAAGAATAATTGTGATGATCCATCACCCTCCGACAGCAAGGCGTCTTTCTCGCAGACAGGTCCGAGCGAATGATCCCTCATCCCTGATTGTTTCCCCGTTGTCCAAAATCTTCACTCGGAAGACAATGACCTGCGGGAGCCAACGGCGCTAGGCCATGCAATGCAATCCCCGTGGCTCTCGTCTCGCAGTCCGTGTTCTCAGTGCAGGAAGAATCTTGCTCCCCTTTTTATTGTGACCGCAGACGGACTGGCAGCGTTGCAAATTCTCTCAAGTACGCTGGGGACGCCGCTGTTGAGAGCCAATCCCAAGAAATGCTACTCACATCCATGCTGTGTCGACGCCTCTTCCACCTCGGCGAGAGAGCCAATCCCAAGAAATGCTACTCACGTCCATGCTGTGTCGACGCCTCTTCCACCTTGACGACAGTGGCAGCGAAGAGAGAAGACAGCAGTGACCTCTTATATCCATCTCTGAGTGAACAGGTGAAAAATGATCAGGAACGTAAGGGTACTGCGAGACGGTGGACTCAGCACGAGGATAGGTCTAGCCCGGGCATGCCCTCTCTGGGACTATATCGTGCAGAGATATGCCTCTGTAGGTACTGAGTGACTTGTTCAGCTCAAAGCATCCACCTCAGGACCTCCAGATGCACATGTCTGCACGATACGCTACGAGAAGGCTTGCTATCACGCATTGATGGGTCTTCTCGAGCACGGCCATCACTCCCCCATCTGCGCTCAACCCAGGGACTATCGGTCTCTCTCTTCCGCTCTGCCGAGGTTACCGCCCTAAAAGATTATGTTCTCTTGAGTATATGTAAGCATTTGGAGACATACAGCCAACCAAGAGTCAATATTCCCTCAACCACTCCAGCAGCCACGCCGATATCCGTCGGCATCGTTCCCCGCATTGATGAGCAATACCCGTGATGGATGGCATCATCGCGGCCAAACTCAGTGGTACATACAGCAGATACATCGACGCCAAAACCATAATACCGGATTGATAACTTTCGGGAAACAAGCTCTTGTCTTATTGTACCAGAACCGAATTCGAAACGGCTCATCACAATGGCGACAGAGACCATCACACGCCCAGCCTTTCTCTCGCTGCCCCAGTGGGCGCCCGTACCGGAGACCAAAGAGGAGTGTATGCAATCCTAGAGCCATGGCATCCTCGCCCGGCTACATTTTCGTGATCTCTTGGGTTTTCGTGATCTCTTGGGTTTTCGTGATCTCTTGGGTTGGGGCTAACTTCCTTTCTCACAGTGGACTGGGCCGACCTAGTAACCCTCGATCTAAGCAAATTCGACCAGCCAGGCGGCAAGCAGGAACTGGCAGCTCAGCTCTTCGACGCGGTAAACCGAATAGGTACGTAGACTGTACGCAGGATGCAGTGCCTCAATACGGAAATCCACAACCGAACACGAACGACACATCCCCCTGAATGTCGAATCGTCCAAGAACACCGGCTAATTTCTTTTCCCGCCCGTCTTGTCCTCTCCAGGCTTCTTTTACATCATCAACTTCGGCCTCTCGCAGGAAGAAGTCGACCGCCAATTCAGCCTCTGCAAACAAGTCTTCGATCTCCCCACGGAAGAGAAGCTCAAGTACCGCGCCGACCTCGAGAACGGCGGGTACAACGGCTACAAGCCGCTCGGCATCCGCGAGATCAAGAACGGCGTCAAGGACAACACGGAAATCTACAACACGCCGAAATTCACCGAGCGGTACGAGCGAGCCCACCCCAAGGTCATCACCGAGCATTGGGACGAGATCCGTTACTTCGCCAAGCACATCCACTTCCAGATCGTGCGCAAGCTGCTCGTGCTGTTTGCGCTGGTGCTCGAGTTGCCGGAGGACTATTTCCTGAACATCCACCGCTATGACGAGAAGAGTGATTGTCATTTCCGCTACATGAAGTACCAGTAAGTTGTGACCTGCCATCGGGACTTGACCTCTCGATTCGCACGATGAGTTACACACACGTGCATGCATGCATGCTCTACCGCAGACAGAGACATGGGCTGACAAAGCTGCCGTTGGTATCGTGTTGCAGCCGTCGATCCGCCGAAGAGAACGAACAGCTCGACAACGTCTGGGTCAAAGGGCACACTGACTTTGGAAGCCTCACTTTGCTGTTCAGGTACGTATGCACCCACTCACTCACACACTCGAGGCTGCGTGTGCGTTCAGCCACGAACCGTCCTGCGTGTATCGTATCGTCTTTGTTTCCTAACATCGTTGCTTTTTTTCCCCTGCCTGCGTGTATCGTATCGTCCGTGTTATTAATATCGTTGCTTTGTTGTGCCTTTCTGCCTGCCTGGCCTGCCTGCCTGCCTGCCTGGCCTGCCTGCCTGCCTGCCTACGCCCCGACCATTTTATTCTAACCGTACGTAGACAACCCGTCGCAGCACTCCAAGTACGCACGCCTGAAGGCCAATGGAAATACGTCAAACCTTACCCCGAATCCATCACGGTCAACATCGCCGACGTGCTGCAGTTCCTGACGAACGGGTTCCTGAAATCGAGCATCCACCGCGTCGTCGTCCCGCCGGCCGACCAGGCCGACGTCGACCGTCACGGCGTGCTCTACTTTGTCCGGCCGGACGATGACACCGAGCTGGTGCCCATCCGCGACAGCCCCGTGCTGCAGAGGTTGGGCTATGACAAGGTCATGGACGAGGCCACGGTTGGGTTGACGGCCGGGGAGTGGGTGAAGGCACGGGTGGCCAAGAACGTGTCTCGCGTGGGAAGGGAGGAGGAAAGTATCATCAAGGGGGTTAAGGCGCGGTATTACGACTAGACTAGACGAGAGGGGGGAGACGAGACGGAGGGAGAAGGGACGGGAGGGGACGGGAGGGGACGGAAGGGACGGGCGAAGACGGCGAGGAGATGATAGGCGTAGGTGACTCGGAGAAGATATAGTCTTATAGTCTTAGTGGGTGGAATGAGGCATTAGAGTCGAGTATAGCACAGTAGAATATGTAGTGAATGTGGTGGGCAGTCCCGTTCCTGCCCTGACCATGCGAGGCCACGCGAGGCCACGCGAGGCAGGCACAGGCAACAGTGAACCACAGTTCATAGTCCCTAGCTAAGAGCCTAGCTCTCCAGAGATAGACTCAATAAGAGATCGATGACATACTGCGGTGCCCTACCATAGGGAAGATGGTGCCCATGTACTGTATATATGTCCTGTTGTGCATCCAGGAGGGCGAATAGAGTAGAATGGAGTGGAGAATGTAGTGAAGATGGTACGGTGGCCTGTACCTAGGTACGTATGTCCTGTCCTGTCCTGTACTGTATTCAGGAGGGAGAATTAGAGTAGAGTATCTATGTACCTAGCGAACATGGTACGGCGTTCTGTAAGGTACCTAGATATGTACCTAAATGTCCTGTACTGTACTATACTTAGGGGGGGACTTGCAGCTCTATGTGGGCCTTACTGTACCTCAATTGACTCTTCAGCGAGACGTTCCGCAACTATCATCCCCTAGCTTATTGAGTCCCTCGTCGTAGGTATTCCTCACTGGCTCGCTCACTCACTCACTCACTCACTCCCATTCTAGTTAGGAATAGTCGAGGAGAGTAGTACGGTAGGACATTTCAAGAACAATCCTGTTGTTCGGCAATGACGAAAGGAATTCTCAGAGGCGACGATATTACCTTGTTCTGGCTTGACTTTCTGATCGAGCCTTCGAGTAGAGAGACGATTCCCACAGCTCACCTAAAGGCTAAAGCTCTTGTGGGGGACTCGAGACGACAGAGGGAGAGTAACAGACACCCAACAATTGTTGAATTGTTGACGGATTTCCATCTCGGTTGACTGCTTTTGACGGGACCGTCACTGCTTCCGCTTTCGAATGGACTGAGCCAAAGAGGCGACTACCGCTCATCATGCGTGCTTGGGGCATCGCATCGAAAGCTTCAACAGAAAACACACGAGTCTTATACACTCGTGGTGCTCGCTCTGAAAACCCTCCACGCGCATTATACTCCCGTCAATAACAACGTCCACGTAGGCTGGCGTCTCACCAGTACAGATCATGACCAGCTACGTTAATCGATTCTGGAAGTACCAAATTCAAATATTCATAAACCGCCATCGAAATATCAACTAAAACACCGCATACTCCCCGCTCATGACATTCTCACACCCCGCCCGCCAGAGACGTATCGTCCTGACGTGCGGAAAGGCCGTCTCCAACGCGCGCGTCAGCGTCCTAGCCATGGCGCTGTCGATGGACGCATCTTCCCACGGGCCGTCCATATCCGCACCCGTGGACGGCCGCTCGGGGACATAGACGTCCAGGACCCTCAGCCGGGGCAGCTGCAATATCACCTTGGAGAAGGTGTGATGGCGTAGAAGCGCCCTCCACGCGTGGGCCTGATCGTCGGACGATTGTAGGTCAGGAGAGGGATGACTCCCGCCCTGCCCCGGAGCATCGCCACTGCTCAGCCCACGGACAAATTGTTTTAGGCCTGGGATTCGGAGGCGCGTCAGCCACAGACGCAGACGCGTGACGTTGACTTCACGTCCACCCAGCCCCACGGCGTGGGATGCCTGCAGCAGCGTGCTCAGCGAAAAGTAGCAAGACAGCGGGACCGGCCAGGTCGACGTGTCCTCGAAGACGGTCTCGTCGGGGATGAAGCGGTGGATCTGTTCCGTCTTGGTCGCGTGAGGCCATATGCACAGCGCCTCGTTGGGCAGGGCACCCACCCCGACCGTGTACGACAGCGTGTGCAGGCTGGGGAGGTGGGCGGTGAACGAGGAGATGACCGTGGGCAAGTCCTCCCAGTTGGAGCGGAAGGCGATGTCTCGACACGTGGATTGCGTGCCGGGGTTGTACGAAATGCTCCGCGCGATCAGCAGCTCGAGGTTCCGGATGTGTGGGAGGATGGAGGTCCGGGCCAACAGAACGGAGAAGACATCCTTGTCGTGGTCCGGCGTTGGGTAGCATCGGAAGTAGTACGGCTGGGAGTGGTAGTCTAGGCCGACCACGACGGTGACGTGCTGGTAAAACACTTGGCTGGAGATGTTGTGGAGGTGTCGGCAGCAGAGGAGGAGGGGAGGACAGGCGTGCTCCCGTCGTCGCGCGCCTCTGTTGAGATATCGGCAGTTGGTGCAGGGATGTAAGCGTCGTTCAGGCCCGAATTGGTCAAATATGGTGTACTCGCAGATGATACTCAGTATCTCTGGTGGGAGTGACAAGAGGGTCATGGTGTTTGACGTTGCCGGGGGGGTCTTATCGTGGTGAAAGGTGGGTGGATGTGCCAGCAACGAGATGGCTAAGAGCCAAGGGGACGCTCAGCAGTGAGCTCTGATACCTTCTTGAGCTCATGCATTCAAGAAGTGTCCACAGCCCATCGATCCTGTCGATATGGACACGATACATGGACTGCGTTGTGATGGTTCGAGTCTCGCAGTCGGAGGATCGACAGTGACGCCATTGGCGGAGAGATGACTAAGCAGTTACCCCCACGTCTGCCGCAGCGCTAGTGGAGTAACACAGTATATAGGAATGTTAGCCGAGGGTTAGCCTAACAGCGGTAAAGGGGCACAGGGGGTGTCACAACTGTACCCCCTTTTATAGGTAAGATAGAGTATTATCTATATCGACCTCTATAAACATATGATCAAGAATCTCCTAGACCTCTCTAAACTCATCATGTCCGCGGATTGAGCCACAACAGCAATCCTCCCCTCCCCGACCGCCCTTCCCATCCACCCACCTGCCAGGAAAAGGTCCATAGCCCCTGGGGATTGCCCAAAAAGACTGAGAATCATGGCAATTCATGCCTGGTTCTTGGACCTCTTAGCTTATATGCCTGTCTGAACCCTGTTCATGACACCGACACCCTGCGCCATCGATACAGCAGATTCAGAGTCGGAGAACGTAATACTTGGAATCCTGGAGCATCCCTTGAAACGTCAAAAACTCATGCATATTCCAGTAGAATGTCGTCCCGACCCCCAGGCCGCCCCAGAGCTGCACGATCTATTCAACTTTGTCAGCGAATCGCTCCAGCAACTGAAAACTCACAGGCAGAGCCAAAGCAGAAGACATAGCACCCGGTTCAGGATGGAAACGCGGCAACTGTAGAGCTCGACTTACCTTGAAATCCTCCAGTGTCTTCCCCTTGCCCGCCACGGCGAAGACATGATGAAGCGGGCCTCCAATGTCGGAAATGACAATGTCCCCCGCGTCGAACGCCGGTGGCTCGTCGCTGTACTTGTACGTGGTGATATTGCTCCTGAAAGCCTCGAACAGCATATTGCTGGTGTCCCCCTTTGGCGCCCTGTAGGCGGGAATCAGGAGTTGTCTGTCGACGAAGCCCGCTTTGATGGCCGCGAAAAACACCATCTCCCAGCAACTGCAGGGATCAAGATCAGTAAGTGGGCCCCCCATTATGAATTCAGGTACAGGGGGGAAGCGAGACTGAAAGGGGAGGTCGAACACTTACTTCAAGACCGCATTGGGTGGAAACTTGGTGTCGTTCAGCAGCCACCGAGTGAAGGCGTCGGAGCGGCCCGAGTCCCACGAGTACCAGCCCGGCATGGACAGACGGAGATGCCACACGAACCTGGCACGCGGCTTTTCCGGCATATCAGGGAGTTTCCGTCTCAGCGTGGCGGGCCAGTTGCGGAAGACCTTGGTCTGGTATTCGATGTGTGATTTGAACTGTCCCTCGGCGGGTAGACTCTCGACGTACTTCATCGCCTCCAGGAGGACAGGCGTATTGTCAGCCATGTCCTTTCGGCCGTAGCACCATTCGAAGGCCTGTGCAGTGTTCAGTACGTGCTGCGTTCTATGCTATGGGAAGTAACAAAACCAGCTCACCTCGAGAAAAATCCACGAACGGGCAATGGTTCTTCGCACTTGGACGTTGTGTTCGCGCTTGAATACCAAGTACGTGGAGTATCTGGCCGTGTCTGACACCGGGAGACTCTCGTCCGACCAGGGCGTAAGCTGGGTTGCGCGAGCATTATATGCCTCCTGGATCATCTCTTTGGCCAGACCGGATTCCGGGAACAACATTGTTGGTGGTTTGTAAGTAACCGCGCTGTGTGACTGTAACGCCGAGAGGGACGCGGTGGCTCTTGCGGGTTTTCTGTGGATGAATCTGTGTGAAGAAATCCAAGGATGGGCCGGTGGCAGGTGCTGGGTGTATGAGAGAGAGGGAGCAGCATCAGAGGCGAGACTGTAGGGTGTTTATATAGCCAACAGCTGTCACGCACGCTGTAACTCATCGTCCACTCTGGCCAAAGACATGAACAGTCTCGGCTGGTGTCTCTGCGCGCATGCCTAGTCGCTTGTTCGCTCCGACAAGACGCATGAAGACACTAAAGGATGGTAATTGCGGATAGGAACACGATGCGAGGAGTAAAATTGAACGCTGAGTAGTCATAAGAGCCGCCCATATCAGAGTTACTCGTGTAACAGGGTTCGGCCCGTACTGAACCACGACGGAACCCGGATCCTGGAAATCTCGCCGAGATGCATGGCTTAGCGAATGCGGAGAAGCCTCGATCTCCAGCTGAGAGCCCGGCGACTGCTTTCAGGCAGCTGGTTGCGACAAGCGAGCCGATCCAAGCGGCGCCATGCGAGTGGCCTTTGGTGGTGTCTCGCAAGCCATCCGTTCGACGCGGTGAGAAGATGTGATGCAGCTTGCCTGAGAGTCGAGAAAATCTCCCTACTTCAAACAATCGAGGAGAGTGAAGACGTGGCCTTGGAACATGAGACTCCTTGCGAGGAGCGTCGAGCTGATCGATGTTGGATGCTCCGCCCCGTGGTGCTGAAGGATCACGACGACGGCATGCGGACATATTACAGACGCCACAACGGGTAGGTACTTTTAACGTAAAGAAATGCTATTCCAGACACTCGCTAGTCATCCAAGTCTATGGTACACGAAATCCGGAACTCCCCCGGAAATGGAGCAACATAACAACCTGGGATCCAATTCTAGGAATCTCCAAGGGATACTCCACTAGTTGCGTCCGCAAATGCCCTGCATACACGCTTGTCACCTCCTCTCGCGTGTCCTCTCCCTCTGTCTACCCTGGTTGTCAGAGTGCTCAGTCGACGTCGTTGGCGATGAACGCTCAGACTTGGCCCCAATGCCATGCTTCAACCGGAGGTGCCGCTTTACTGCGTCGGGCCTGACGTGCGCGTAATTGCACACATGGCACCGGGTCTTATCGTTGTCCGTTGCCAGGTCATGCACTGACTGGATGTGCTGGACGCATCGTCGCTTCTCTGCGAAGCCGCGGCCACAGTGAGGGCATCCAAAGGGCCGAGTGTGCTTGTACTCGTGCCGCGTCAGCTCGCATTGACGCGCAAATGTCAGCGTGCAGCCGGCAAACTGGCAGCAGAACCTGTGGATTTGCTGAGGAGCCGCTGCCCTCGGCGAGTTGTGTGAGTCGAGGCTGGGGAATAGGCTGGCGTCGGACAGTGGTGGTTGAATGAAGCTTTGGTTCGTCGGGAACAGGGTAAAGTCATTGTAGTACTCGCTCAGGTTGAAGTCGGCCAAGTAGCTCGTATTGTTGAGAATATCGTAATCGAGCTCGAAGCCTGCCATATCTGAGTCGTGTTGGTCGGGGGAGGAGTCGTAGACGAGGGGAGGTAGGGCCTGTGTGGATTGCATTGTTGGACTGAAGACACCGAAGGGTTCTGATGGTGAATGTTCTGCTTGGTACTGGGAAGAATATAGTGGTGGTGTTGGGTTCCACAAGGGCTGACACGTCGCACCTTGCGTGTAGTCGTAGGGTGATTGAGAGTGATGGTTCTGGCTATGCGCCTGTTTCGAATTGGAGTCTATCCGGGAGAGGTAAGGGGGCGCCATGATTCCCCGTTGCGGCTACGCGCTCGATGGCGCACCATGTGGTGCAAAGGGGCCACTGTCGTCCTGAAAATGTTCGATCTTCCGTTCGCGCCATCAGCAAGTCGGGTCGACATAATGGGCCAGCTGGGGGCGTACCTCATTTGCCAAGGACTGTGTGGCAGTAAGAACAATACAACCGTCTTGTCACCGTTGTCGCCAATATCGTGTCTGGCGTTGATGCTGTCCGGTGGCCAAAAGGCCCCTGACTGCAACGACATTTTCCTTGAACACTCAAGCATAAGCCTTCTCATAGAAATTCTGGCGGTGTACTTTGAGCTGCTCGTGCACTCCGAAAGCACTTGGAATTTCCGTATCTCCTGATCGATAGGCTCGTCACCACTTATGAGCTTTGAACTATCGAACATTACATTTCCCGGTCCTGAAAACCGGAAAATGTAATCCTCGATGCTTCTGTCCTCGTGTGTGCGAACCCTAACAGAACAGGGGCGGACATTGCCGAGATGGGTTTCCAGAATGTCATTGTCAGACCCGTCGATCGTAGGACGTTGTGCTCTGTACCCCTGAGAAGGCAATGGCAGATTTTGTTGAATCTCAGAAATCGTTGCTGAGATTTGTCTCCTATCAACGAGACTCCATTCCTCAACCTGCTTGGCAAGGTGCCAACAGAGATTGTCCAGTCCGGCAAGAAGGTTGCCCAAACTATCGATCGTGGATGGCGACTTGTTGGTCGAGTGTCCGAAATTCCCCAGTCTCATGGTCGCATAAAGGCTTTCCGTCACCTTTGTCGCCATTACCGCAATCGCTATGGCGTCCTAAACCAAGAGTTAGTCGATCGCCCATGACATGGATGCGGTCCTGCGCGATCAGAGAACTTACACCCAGCCCGGTCATCTTGGGCAACAGCTTGATGCCGTGCACCCAGTCCGGGAGGAGATATTGACTAGTGTTCTGATAGACCGTCGGACGACGATGACATTGGGAGTGGAAGTGGACGTGGCTCGGGGTTCGGTTTGAAACGGAGTGGCTCGAGGCTCGGTAGTGTAGGCAACCAACAGCGGGCAAAGTGCGTATCTCTCAAGCTATGGAACGACAACAGCGAACAGGCTAACTAGGACAACGCAAACAAAAAGGAAGTGAGGAAAGAGAAGGAAAGAGTTCAGGCAACAAGGCTGGGAAGGGAAGAGGTTTTGTTTCTTTGGTGACTCCTCCTACTCCTCGTCGTCGGTGGCTTGTCAAGCTGAGGCTGTGCTTGCGCAGTGTCGGCCACACGGTGCTAGTGGCGGCATTGGCGAATAGGTGCATCGAGGCGGGGCCGCCTGTCATTGGCGCCCTGTCTAATTGGTGGTCCGTTCTCCCTGGCCGACCTTAGCCTCGCCTACCAGCCAATTGGAAGGACGTGTGGCCGAAATCATCTTGCATGCCAAAGGTCCCTTTCCCCTCATGCCACTGCTCCCGACCGTTGGCTCATCGTGGTGCGCCCAGTGGCTCCTATGGACAGGCGTGCCGCTGGAAAGCCACCCCGGAAAACCACTTCGGGCCTAAGTCTTGGGGCGCCGAGCGGAAGCCTCCTCCGTACTGTGTACAGAGTACAGCTGGTGCTTGGGCGACGACAGTAAAACCAACTCTCCATCAGCGTCGGCGAACGTGCTGCTCAAAGAGGATGCTTGTCACGCACCACCAGAGCTAGAAATCCAACCCTTTTACATGAGCATCTGCAAGATGTCGAAGCCCTCTCACATGAACTCGATCTCCCCATCATCGCCCTCAGCCTCCTTGGCTCTCTCCTTGCCTTTGCCCTTTTCTACCGTCTCCTCCTTGTTAACAGGCAGGCCCAGCGTCTCAACCTCCTCCCTCAACTCTTCTAGCTTCCCCTGCGGCGTCCGCCGCAGTCTGCTCTTTCCACCCTCCCTGCGGATCACCTTCGCGCGTCCATCAGGCATCAACGCGACGTCCATACCCAGCTTATCCAACGCCTCTGTTATGCTCATGGCATCTCCAGAGTCGGGTGGAGGCACGACTTCTCTCGCTTCCAGCGAGGAAACAAGGGTTTGGTTCTCGGGGTTGTTCTCGAGCAGGAATTTCAGGCACATGACCGCGTGTTCCTTGATGTAGGGGTTGCATGCTACATATTGCGCTCGTCCGTCAGTAAAGATCAGATCATGTCATGAGAGGGAGTAGAGGCCGACCATGCAGGAGAGAATGTGTCCTTAGCTGAGTCGGGAAAGAGGGGAGTTACGAACCATCATAAGTTGTACAGCTCAAGATTGTCTCCACTCCTCCATACTCGCGGATTTGATTCTGCACGGTAGGAGACTTCCACACTAGACTAGAGAGTACAAGGACGATGAGTTTCTTGAGGTTGCGCCATTCGAAGTCTGCGGGTTCTTCGGTTACTGTCGCTGGTGCGGGTGGTGGTGGTTGAGAGGCCGCTGCTGTTGCAGCCTGTCGTGGTGGCGGTGCAGGTTTCGAAGTGGATGCCTCCTGTGGTGGTGATGAAGATTGTGTGTCATATGGTCGCTCCACGGCGACATGGGCGGGAAGAGTAGATGCTTCTTCGTGCGCAGCGGGGCCAGCCAAGGTCGCTTTATCACCATTGGCGGTCCGAGCGGGTATCGCTTGCGTCAAACCGACCTTCGCGATGCTCTGATCCAGCTCCTTGATCAGGGTGACAAGATCATACACGATCTCCCACTGCACCAACAACTTCTTCCAGTCGTTGTTTTCGGTCAGGACTGCGAAAAACTCCAGGAATTGATACACTCCCTCATACACGCGTTCCATGTCCCACAGGTTCAGGGGGAAGTCCTCTGCCAGAGCAAGGCCAGCCCGAATCTGTCCCTGCAGATAGATGAGCGCGCAAGTTTCTGGGATGATGTTGCCGCGGAAGACAATGAAAATATAACGGACAGTGAGCACATCGACTCGACTTAGCGCAGACGGTATGGGTCGGGACTTGCCCGGCTGTGGTGCAGCTGACTCTTCAATACTCGAGTTTTGCTGCTGCTGTTGCTGCACCGAAGCAGGGCTATACTTGGCACGGAAGATGTGGGTCAGAATCTTGATCACCACGGCCTGCGCTGGCGAGATGATATCCTTCGGCTGACCGAAATCTGAGTATGCGTGAGACATGAGTCCATTCTTCAGGATAGCTTCCATGATCTGCACCATCATTTTGAAGTAGAATTCATCATCCGGCAGATCCCAAGCGGCGATGAAAATCAACAATTCCCGAAGGACATTGCGTCCAGCTTCCTGGGCGAGGAGAATATGGCAGCGAACAGCTTGCATATTGGTCTTCGGACCTTGCTGCTGGGCCGCTGCGCCATTCTTCGAACCAAAATTGTCGACAATACCTGCTTGGATGATCATCGGTAGTGCTTCGATCTCCGTGGGCCCGAGGACAAGAGGAACATCGGTAAGTAATCCTCGCTCTTGATCTGCTGATCCTTGGTAATCCTCATCCCCCATGCTGTCCCCGACACTGATCAGATCATCATCATCCTCGAGATCTTCGTCGTCTTCTGGATCGCCTTCGTCGTCATACTCCGGCTCGCCGTTCTCATCCATGATGGGCGCCTCATGTAATCTCGCCATGAGCTCATCCTTGGCTTCTTGTAACGTCGCAGCTGCAGATTTTGCAGTTCGTGGCATTCTCATGTCATCTTCCGTCAAGACTTGCGAAGTTTTGAGGCCGCTGTAAGAGCCGGCTATAGGTAGCTTGGTCTGCCTTGGAGCTGCATGGTCATTGGTCTTAGAGCCGTTGCCGTGAGTCAGTGCCATGATCTTCTCGGCCACTCGCTTGATCTGTGAGGAGTGAGCAGCCACCGTGGCGGAATCCTCCTTCTTCAACAACCACGCACGCAGCTCCGCGCCCACCCGCAACAAGACATCCGGACTATCATCGAGTTGGTTTGCGTTCATGCCGGACAGGTGCTCCATGTCCGATCTGATTTTGTCCATCAACACCTTCGCCGCCTTTTGGGTCTGCTCGTCCGGCTCTTTATTCGTACTCATCAGGTCGAATAGGGCATGAACGTCATCGATGTTGTAACCAAGATTGCCGCCGTCTACAGAAACTTGACCCGGTCGGTCCGGTAGATTCTCCACTGTCGATCTGACCCTGTCCTCTTTTGCAGCTTGTTCCCTCTCTTGATCATGGGTTCTCATGTCCGGAGAATGTCTTCCTAGATCATCGACGTCCCGAGCCTGTGACTGGCCGAAGAGGTCCAGCCAGAGTACCAATTTGCGCTGCTCGTTGTGCATGATGAAGTTGTGCAGAAACTGTAGGCACGTAATCAACAGCCTCTTGTAGAGATTCACCACCTTTTGCCACCTCTCCTCGTTTCGTGGGTTGGCCTCGCCATCGAACCCTCTTGCCGTCACCTTGACGCAGACATCTATCAATTTCAAGATTTGCTGGTCAAAGGCTTTCTCTGCCGCCAGATTCTGCGCCCTCTTAGTGGTTGCGAGAAGATTGCGCGCGATCGTACAGAGGTCGTTCAGCCGCTCAATGTCCTTTACTAGAGAAGGGTAATGCGCCGCGATCAGCTCAGAACTACTGCCGCCGTAGCTAAGGTTCGGAGGGTTTTTGTAAGAGAAAGACTGCTGTTCGAGCACCGGGATCGCCGCGGCCAGGACTTTGGTCAAGCCATGCCATATCCGAGGATTGAACCCGAGCTGAGATCGGACATCGCTTTCCTGGTGCGACTTGTAGAGAATCTGTTTGCCCGCGATCAAGAGGTGTTCCAACCGCTTGTCATCGATCAAGCCTCGAGATTCGTAATGGGTTAGAGTTCCAGTGAGTACAAGTTGGAGAAGGAGGGTAGCACTCATATTGCCCACACTTCATTGCTCGTAGTCGTGGGAGGTGCTCTGGTAGTATTTTGGCCTGCCAGAAGTCTTGAATTTCACTCCGCAGCCTGACAATTCGATGAAAATGGCTTACATAAGCGGTCGCTCGACCTGCCCGACATACACCAAGCCGCAGTTTCTGAGTGCTCTGAAAAGAAAAGTGATAATGAAGTGAAAGTGAGAGTCGAAGCAATTTATTCCTTGTTTCGTGTCATTCTTCATCTACTCACTGCTATAAATTCACATTGACCATGTATCTTCCCAAACGCCCACACGATGCTATACGGCGCGATATCGACATTTCCATGCTTGGGCATCCGTCTCAGGGTATCGAAATGTCAAAAACCGGAACGCGCTGCGCTTTTTCTCATTTGAGCCTGACTCAGATCGGACAGCTCCGAGGTATATTACCACCTATGGGAAAACTCGCAGTGTGCCTTGCGTGAGGTTCTCTTCGATATGCCTCGCCTCCGCCTCCTGTTCCTGCCAACTCTGCAGGGAATCGACCTCCAGCTTGCTGCGGCCTCTCTGGCCACCTGGGTCCCCTTCGAGCATTGAGGGTAGGAAGGGTTAACTAAGCCGTGATCAGTTTCAGGTAGTCCGCCACAATCAGCGTGATCATTCTGCTCGATGTCAGTCTGTGAGCTTCTCAGTTTCCAGGTATATCCTTACGCATGCGGGGCGATCCTGACATAGTAGGTGCCAAATCCACGATAAAATCTGAGCCAACCCTCGTCGCGGACGACCTTCTTCGCGCAATCGAAGAAGCCATTGTAGGGCAGCTTTCCATCAGGTCCTTTTTGTTGCTTCTGCAGCCTCGTCTTGACAAAATCGAACGGCAGACTGAAGAACGAGGCAAAGAATCCAGCAATCGCCGATGCACCGAAGCGATTCGAGCTTTCCGAAATGTCGGGGAAGTAGTGCTTCAATTGAGATTTGGACTCGGCAAAGAAGGTGAGTTGCCCGAAGTTGAGAGCCATGGCGCGGATCACAGTGGGGTAAGCTCCCGCCCAGAGAGCTGTGACGCCCTCAGCTTTGGCGATCCGAGTCAGCGCATCAAACACCGAACGGTAATTCGCTCGAGCCTCTTTGGGCTTCAAGCCGTCCGATTGCATGCGGATGAGCGCCAGATCAGCCGGGTTGCCCACCATCGCAGCCAAGCCACCCGCTGTGAGCCCGGCAGCACCTCGTTCGGCGAAGGTAATCTGCGTGCCGTTCTTCTCAGCACGCGTCTGCAGCGCGGTCTGAAATGTGTCGAAAAAGCCCAGTCTCGCAGTGGTATAGACGGCTTGTCTGAGCAGACCGGCTGAGAGACCATTATATAGGTCGAGGACCTTGCCTTGTGCAATGATATCTCTTGTCACGCCTAAAGCTGTGGGCCGAGGACCTGTCTTTACGCCCTCGCCTGCCAGTTGTAGGCGCACCTTGACCATGTCTATGGGTTGGATGCATGCGGTCGCGAACATGCCTGCCAGGCCTCCATTGACGAATGGGAGAGCAGCGCGAACCGCGGGTATGTGAAGGAAGTCGTTCTTGGCTTGTACTGGATTATTCGCAGCTTCGGTGGCTGCTTCCTCGACCTTGGTAGCAGCCGATCGGGCGCTCTCTTTGATCCTGTTGGCAGTGCTACCAGACATCTTTGCGGGTGTGGGAGAGGTGTTAGCGGAAGGTTTCACAGGTTCCTCCGCTTGTATCTGATCTGTCCGTGGTGGATTAGCATTCCCAAGCTCCTATGAGATCGTCGGAGTGTTTGCAGTGATTTCGAGACAGTCAAGGCAGATGAGTTGGCGCTTTCAAAGGTTGCCAGAAACAGGCGGTGGAGCGTACCGACCAAGCAGACACCACAGCAACACTATGCTATCGCCGCCTCGAACCGACGGCTAGAGTCTGGGGAAAAGGAGCGGTCTATCGCTCTGCAGCGAGCGGGGAACAGCTTCGTGCGGAGCGCGGGATCTGTCAGGCCGGTGCGATCGACCCGACGACAAGAGGCACGCGTGCGTCGGTCACCGATACGATTGACACGACACAAGCAGGGAGGATATGGATGCGGATGTCGCAGGAGTCAGAACGGATCCAGCTGGGTATATAGGAAGGAAGGAAGAACTCGGTCGGAAGAAGGTTGTCAACTCCGCAGCAGAGACGATCAGTTTCTTGTGCTGCCGTGGCCGTTGGCCGTGTGCTCACGAGTGCCTGACCGTGACCCTGGTCGATTGACTGCTCCTCGGACCAATGTGGTGGGCAGGCTCGATATTCAAGGGCCGTCGATTGGACAGCTTGCAGCTTAGGGGGTTGCGATACTCGGCGGTGTCAGAGGGCAAAGACGCCAGATGCGGGGAAGTTGGCAGCGGCCAACAACCAGGCACTGCCTTTCCCGTCACCTTGCTGGTCTTGCTGGTGCTTTGCTCGAATGCGCTGACGTCGTTGCCATTGAACCGCCTTCGAGCCTTGTGGGCCCAATTTCCCGGCCATATGGCCTCACAATTGCAGTACGAGGTATCGGAAAGATCCCTTCGTTGTGAGCCCCGTTCGCCCACCGTTCGTTTTGTCACATGCCACAACACCTTTGATTTCCTTTCCAGCTCAGTCCCACCAATTGTGGGAGGGGCGAGCTCCGGAATTGCTCCTGGTACGAGTTACCCAGAACCCAACATATGCCGCCCCATCGAATAAGGGGACCCATAGGCCGGTTGGCCGCGGGAAGATTCGGATGGATTCTTACCACATCTGGTCAACAGCGACAGCCTCGAGCTAGAGAGGGGTGTAAAGCAGGGCAAAGAGCCAAGGACGAGCGATAAGGCTGACGGAGCATTGTCTACGAGGTAAGAACTGTGTACTCGTAGTACACCGCCCACAGCCTCATCGCTTCCGTGGTGTTGTAAGCTGCGCTCAGCGGTATCGTGGCCAGCAATAGGCACTGATGTCATTGTTATGCCCCCACTTGAAGCTCCCCTCTCCAGCCTGCTGGGAACCACTGATCCGCCAAGCGCAAAATCCGGGGTAGGGCTAATAGTTAAGCCCGGGGCCTAAGTTTCCGCTCTAGGTGCGGCCAAGGGGCTCGTTGGGCACTGTGGGCACTGCTCAAGGCTTTCACTTCCACTTTCACTTTCACTTTCAACCCCCACTTTAAGAGCTGTAGCAAGGACACAGTACACAGTCCAGCAGCTCGCCCATCTGACTGCACTGGTTCCGCGCGCCCTGGCAATGGATTTGATCCTGCCTCGCTGCGCCTGCACCTACATAGGAGAATCTTCCGAGACATTCCGAACTTGCTCCCGGGGGTCAGCCATGTTGGTGCGAAGTGAGGCCGCGCTTGCTGCCGAGGCCACAGAGAATGCAGAACTCAGCGTCCGAACATCAACCGCCGCTCCGGTCACCTTCCCGCAGGGACAATTTTCGGATCCCTACACCACGCGGATCAGGATGCGCCATTTATCTCAGCGCGCGGAGGTCACTGGGCCGATGTCCACATCGACTTTAGTTTTCGATGGCTCTTGCTGTGTGGAAACGAAAACCAGATTTCCGACGACTGACCGAGCGCTACAAAGCTGGTGGAGTCCGGTCAACGCTCCGTGAGCAATCTCAACGTTTTCTGCATGTGCTCTGAAACGAGAGCTGATGTTTGTAGGGGGCGCCATATGCTTTCAGATTGTCCTCTAACCTGATACATCTGTGCATCGGTCACGGAAGCAATCCAAGCCATGAAAAAGAAGTTCAGTTCCGACATCGCAATCAGTCAAGCGTCACCTCAGGTTGTGACCTCAGCGATGCAAACTGAAATCGAGACATTTGAGGGAACTACATGCCGGAGCCGTGATCGCCCTCAATTGCTTCCCTCTTCTGCCCAGACTGTCTGTCTGCGCTGTTGCTTTCGCACCTGGAGAGATGAGCGTTGGTCTTCAGAGACGCATCTCAGCTGACATGGAAATAGCGTCCTACTCACTGTTCGGACTCCTTACATGCGAGGAGCCTCTCCCAGGGCGTCCGAGGGAACGTGGTTGCACGTCTCGCATCGGCAAATTCTGCCTTTCGTCCACTCCGAACTCAACGGCGAAGTCGCTGATAAAGTCGTCGCAGCCTGGTTCTGGCTGAAATGCACACGAGACATACATAATGTCCATGAGCTGGTCGCGGCAGCTGGCCAACACTCGCTCTATCAGCCGCCAGGTGCTACAAGAAGCGAGGCAATCATGCTCAGAGGAAGTGTACCTGACACGGCTACGCGTCTTGTCAATACACTACACAACATATGATATGTACTGTCGTACAGTGAGTATGCATTCCGTACGTTTGACTCGCTTTCTGGCTGGCTGGGGCCAACATACTTCGGTCGCCCATCTCAAAGTTACTGCTACCTACTGCATGGGACACAGGAGGTCCTCCTCCTCCTTGGCTACTATGTGCTCAAGGAAAAACATGCGCGGGCAACCTCTTCCCACTCTCATCATACCTCTGCTTCAACACGGTATCAAACGCGCCATCGATGTCCCTGGGCTCATAATCCAACCCCATGGCCCCCAAGGTGAGCACGTCCAACCCATACGTCACCTTGATCCAATGGGCCAGCATATCCATGCCGGCCACGGCGCCGCTGCCGGTCCAAATATTGCCGTCAACAACCCACTTGCGGTCCCTCGTCCAGTTGACTTTGGGAAACTCGGCCCTCGTCCAATTGTATTCGACGTGATTGATGGTGGCGGCGCGGCCGTCGAGCACGCCCGTCGCAGCCACGACGGCGGCGCCCGTGCACGTCGTGAACAGTGGCTTCCCGGCTGCGACGTGCGCGCGGATGAACTCGGCATATTTGGATGGGAGCTTGAATCCGGCAGGGTTGGGCCCGCCGATCAGTAGCGCGTCCAGCGCCGGCGGGTCGTCGATGGTCGCGGTCGGCACGATGGTCACGGAGCTGCTGAGCAGGCGCACGGGGTCGAGCGTCTGGCCGATGTGGTGGAACACAAACTCCGGGGCACGCGAGACGGTCGCCTCGTCGAGCGGCGCGTAGAATCGGATGGCCTGAAGGATGGCTTGGGAGCTCGAGTTGAGCAGGTCGAATGGTCCGAACACGTCGATGGCCTGGTAGTCGTAGACGAGGGCGCCGAAGTGGAACGGGGCCATTGTGTCGGTTGGATTGGAATTGCTGTGTGTGTGCTAGAAAGGGGACAGGTCGAATCAACAGTAAGTACAGTATGTATTTGGTAAGAGAGAGAGGGGTGGGGGGGGGGGGTTAGACGGGCTCGCACGGCTTGAGCACACCTTCTCCCTCGTGTCGCGAGAGAGCCTTTTAAAGCACGATGGTTCAGCACTCCCACCCAGCTACTAAGTAGCTCCTGGTGCCCCTATTGCAATCTATTTGTCAGCCAGTACCATGTGGGTAGGTAGGTAAGTAGGTCATGGGAGATGGAAATGTCGTTCGCTTAGGAACACAGAATTGTGTATTGCAGACTGCCTACCATGTACCTGTGCTCTACGGACGGAGTACTATGTAGATAAGTGGGCACCTGGGTACCATGGTACTTAGTGACCAGTAGCCTTGCTGGCCTTGCTGGCCTTGCTGGCCTTGCTGGGATCACACTAACCTCGATTGAGGTGCATTGCCATTTTAGGCCATGACGCCGCTTTGGGAAATACAGTATGGATCCCTTCCCTCGTCAACCTGTCCAGTGTGTCCAAGTCCCGGACCGGAGGAAGTATGTAAATACAGTACATACAGTATTCGCAAATGTTCAGCATCGGGCTGATCACTATTGCAGCCCGATAGACGACAAGGGCAGTCCTTCCGGCTGACAAATGATTGATGTCGTGACACATGGATAGTGCCGTGGAGGCGTTACGGATTCTATGCTATCAAGGATCTTTGGTGCTGTATTTACCTACTGGAACCGAGGGCCAATTGACAGGCTCATCACATCTGACGGGACCAGGGTCGACCGTACAAAAGGACTTAGCTAGTAAGTACGTAGTACTGTACATGTGTCCTGTTCACCAGTATATATAGCAGGCAGTCCCTTTGGTGCCCTATTCCTTCCTGCCCTGTTTCTTCCTGCCCTGTTTCTTCCTGCCCTGTTCCTTCCTTGTTCTGTCCTTGCCATCACCTGGCAGGACCAGCTGAAAGATAGTTGATAGCGGAGAGCGAAGCTCTCGACAGATAGACTCACAAAACATTGAAGACACACTGTGGTGCCCTGCCAAAGTGCAGCCAGTGCACCAAAAGGCCTTGCTTCAGCTGTCCCAAGTCCATAGAATTTTGGTCTCCCAGCATTGCTATGTACATGGGGATTTCACCATCAGCGCACAAGCACCAATCTTACCATTGCCAATGCCGGCCTGTACCTGTCCCGCTTGGGATCCATAACCATACGTAACTTATTCAGAGTTCATATATCAGAGATACTGTATGTAATGAGGCGTGAGCAAAGAGCTTTATAAACGGCACCAGACACTGTCGCCCGTGTTCGAGAGCTATTCTGCGTCTGGCCAGTCTCGTCTCTTTGCACCATTCGAGGTACACTGCCGCTGCCAGATACATATCATTCTCGGGCTATACTACGTCCAGCAATCTCTTCTCCTTCGCCTTCGAAATGACCCAGAATACATACTTGCTCTGGAGTCTGGATAGATTTCTGACTTCCGGCTACAACCACGGATTGCACGGCCAACCAGATTCTGACCCAGGCTTCTTGTTCAGCCTTGCGGTGAAAGCTCAGTCGCTTTTCTACCTGAATCGCACACTCAAGTTCCTTATGTCTGCACTCCAATTTTTCCACACGTGAGGTCGTGGCTATACTCCAAGTCCAACCCATGCCCCGCTCCTGGAACGATGGAAATCTTCAGAGCGACTTGTACCGGGCATGTTCTTCTTGCTGGATGAGGGGATTCTCGAATTTTTGGATCGCAGGTGGCAAAACAGTCGCCGCCGCCACAGAAAAAGAGGTCGCATCCACTGATGACGAGCAAAACTGCGACAGTAAGCTTACACAAGTACATAGTACAAGTATCTTCACCTGCGGCTGAGCCAGCAAGAGTCAAACCTCCCAGCTGCCATTAGTCCGTTTTATAGGCGCGTGTAGTCCGGATTTTATACACGGCGGCATTGTTTTATTTAGTCCGTATTATAGCACGAGTGCTGTGATTGGTCGAATTAGCTAGTGCCTCGGCGCACTTGGCGTATACAGTGTATTAGTCTGTATAATTATGGTAGTACTCCGTGTGACTCGAGGTCTATACTGGTAGGTAAGTAAATATACTGTACGGAGTTTATATAAGGCACTACTAGTATTGCTAACACCACTAGCACTACCAGCAACACCAGCATCAGCAGCACCACTAGCATTACTAGCACGACTAGCACAAGCCTCATGTAACCGCGCCGACCATCATACCAGTAGCTGCAGCGTCACCGATCATTATACGGAATAACAGGTGTTTCACAAAATGGTGTAGTGTTTATACGGACTGAAGTAAATTTACACGGAATAACGCCAATTCAGGGTCTAGGGCTTACACCGACTACACGCGCCTATAACACGGAGTAATGGCAGCCAACCTCCGCCATTGAGATAGGATTGCTGATGTCAGAAACAACCATGTCGACTGAGAGGTCGAGATGATCGCAGGTAAGACTACTAGTACACAGTATGAGAGGAGGGAACCGAGTGAGCGGCCGACATGCGTCAGTGCAATGTCTCGAAGGTTTAGTCAACATCTGCAAAGGCACCACTGCGGATCGTGGCTGTGAGCGCTTGAAAGTACTCGTACAGCTTGCTCCAGTGGCGCTTGAATCATGGAGACGGGGTCGCCGTGTTGCGATTGCCCAAGCCCCAAGCGATCCCAAGAGAGGGTGCTGAACTCCCACATTGTTCGACCATGTCTCCGAGGTATGTAGGAATGGTTGTGGCTACTAATCTATGGACCTGTCTCAGGGGAATACTGGAAGCCGCAGGATCGATCCTCCAACGTTCCTTCAACGTTCCGCCATTTGGCCGTGGCGTCCTGGTTGGATGCTGATCACTCGGCCGAGTGTGGCTGTAAAGGGGAGTGTGGCTGTAAAGGCGAGTGTGGCTGTAAAGGCGAGTATGGCTGTAAAGGCCTATAAAGCATCCCTCCAGTTGCTACAACATCATTACTACCACGTTCCAATATTGAATTCCAGCTCCAGATTTACAGGTACACAGTCTCAGCCAAGTCAAGGAACCAACCTAGGCAACGCTCGATCGAAATCGACCGCTCCAACCAAGTCACCCGACCATCGTTTGGCACGTACAGTACGGGATCTATATCAACGATGAAACTCAACAAGACCTCCCTCGCCGCGGTTATTTCCGTTCTATCTTTCACCTCGGTGGTCTCTGCGACGGCCACGCTCACCGTCTGTACAGTTGTCGGTGACGCATCGGTACCCAGCAGCAGCTTCCGCGGGGGAAACCTGTTCACGATCCATATCGAAAACGTACCCGATGTGTCTGAGTCCACCATCTGCGGCCACTCGGACAGCGACATCCACAGTGCGGCAGACAGTTTTAGCACCAGGGTCACCTCGGTCATCGAATGTTCCACATCGTTCGTGGGCAACGATCAGAACTTCATGGATCTCAACGTCCGCTTTGACAAACAAAGCCCGAGCGTCCAGCTCAGTGCCTTGCAAAACGGAATCACCGCCGCGTTTGGTTCGCAGGGGGTCAATTTCGACGCGTCCAAATGCGATATTTCCGGCATTCCCAGTTGAGAACGTCGAATTAATACCTCACGTCCAAATGGTGGCAATGGGGGTGGAATCTTCCACGCGGCCTGGGCTTCACGAATTGCAAGGGGGAACGAACAGGGTCATGGAGGGCGTACAGGGCACACAGGGCATCAAGAAGATATATCCGCTCATTAATATCAGACGACATACATAAAAAAACACTCTCTCGTAGCCAACGAATGTCAACTACTATGTATGTACATACAGTACTCATACCCATCTTTCGAGTATCCAGCTCATACCGCGCCCGTCTGTTGTACCCTTGTCTTGTCTCGTGGGACCCCATTCCCATCCCCTTCCTCAGAGCATCGTGACTGGAGACCTGACCGACATTGGTCATGTACTTGCAGTCGAAAGGAGCAAGCGCTGACGCATGAACTGCCTCCCCGGGTTCCTATAATAAGCATGTAAACTGAGAGGTCCAATAATTCAGCATAAAAGACTCGGATTCTCGGTCGTTTTAGGCGGTCCTTAGAGCCTGTGCGCCTCTCCTTGACATTTCCTTTCTACTCTCTATTCTTAGAACGGAGTAACCGTGCAGAGGCCTAGTCTAGGCGGCGACTGCAGAAGTTTAAACGAGTAGGAGCCAAGGGGTACATAAGTAGGAGACATAAGGCTGAGCTACGTTACATTACTTAGGTATCCAGACCCCTTTTTCTACATGACCTACCATTCGCCTTCTCTTCACCGCTTACCTTTTTCGAATTCTAGTAAGCTACCTTGTTACTCATGCACTTACATTTGCCGTTCAGAGACATTGCAGCTCTTGTACTTTCTGCTCCATGAGCGCTCCCAAGAAGTCGAGGTCCAGCTCCTTGCGGCACATTGGGCAATCCATGTCTTCGCTGAAATTCTCGAATAACCACTCTAGAAGACAGTCAACGTGGAAGCCCTTGTTGCAGCAGGCGAACGAGACTGCAGGGGGATGAGCGATCTCGCCTTCTTCCGGTAGATCCTCTCTGCAAACGGGACAACTGTCCTCGCTCGTATCATATGACCGAGTGACCGGTTCGAGCTCCGTGCTGGAGGAGCAGATAAAGATACCACGGAGCCGTGCGGTTTGAAGATTGGAGACGAGCCATCTCAGATGGTCTCGATATCTGGTTCGTTCGTATCTGCTGGCGTGCGCTTTGAACTCGTCTCCACTGGCGAGCAGCAATGCCTCTTGCGTGACGAGGTACGCTTCTGCCAAGAACAACTTCTCTTTAGCTGTGACAACGTGTCTCTCTGCGTCAGCAAGACTCTCGGCGCGAGGTTGCACTTTGTCCAGCGATAATTCAAACAAGCTCGGCAAGGAGACCTGGATGAGATCATCCACAGCTTCATCAAGGAGGCGCTGAGCATTCAGCCGAAGCGGATCATCAGATGCCCCCATGTCTCGCACCATGGATGACATCTGAGCCTGAATATCGAAGAACAGCGAGTTCAAGGAGAACAACTCGCGAACCCAAATGCGGATTTCGTTGAGTGCTGCAGCCCCCTCGATATCCGGGTCGTAGAAAGGAACAACGGGTGAGGGTGGGTCTCGAGTGATGATTGTTGACGGTGCGAACCAAGGGAAATTGCCCGCTCGACGAGCTGCGTCGTCATCGAGTCCTTCCATAGGCATCGGGCCATCCTCATCTGACGACAATAGCTCTATGGCTCGCGGAAGACCTTGAAAGAAGTAATCAGCTAACTCAAAAGGCAGGTGATGAAGCCGAAGACAACCCTCGAAAAACTCACCTACGGTGGCTTGATCCTCGATGGTCAGATCTGTGGGAAGATTGTATGCAAATTCCTCGATACTGTCCCCACGCTGATTCTCCGGAAGTGACGGCAGATATTCTGACACGAAGGCCTCTACAAACCGCAGAATACCGTCGATATTCGTATGTCCGAGAGGCCCTTCGCGAGTCAGGTACGGGATACGCCACACGGAAAACCGGGCTGACTCCAATGCCTGTGGGTAATCACTAGAGTTGTGAGTATTTGGTCGCTCTGGGACTGAAGACAGCATCGCATCTGCTTGCCCCGAGGGGAGCACTGTGGATTCGTGGGAATCAGCCATATCGTCTCTGACTTCTGCCTGCTCCGTTGACTCGGGCGAGATTGGCACTGTATGGTGTGTGGTCGAATCCGTAGTGTAATTGAGTGGAGAGTTCTTTTTTCGGAAGAGGGTGTGTGCCAGGTGTCCCCTTAAATAATTGATTCCAGTTGTCGACATGGGCAGTGGAAGCTGCATCTGCAGCCAAGCACTTGAACCGCCTGGATTTGACACAAAGTGGGGAACGAAGAACTTCATACAACAACGGAAGATCGTTGATGGTTAAGAGATACTACCTCCGAATTGCTGCCAGTCACAGGCCGAATGACAAAGCCGTAGGGGTCATAAGAAAGCATTGTCATTGCTTATTGCTCAACAAAGCTGGCAATGGATCGTTGTTACTGCCATTGTGCGCCTTTCACAAGTCATTGAGACATCACAACAAGCAAAGACTTTGTGCAGAAAAGGCACTGACTCACTTTCAGCTTCAACTGCCAGGGTGGTCTTGACAAGCCAGAAGGTGTTGCGCTGCAGTAACCTCTAAAACTGGTTGATGCGGTGGAGTGATGCACAAACGCTCACTCAGCCCGCGATCTGAGTGAAAGCCAGTCAACCCTTACTGGCCACATCAACCTGCATGAGAGAAAGGAAGCGGTCAAAGCGGACGTCGAGCGGGCAGAAGGAGCGAGAGCGGGAGCGAGAGCGCGCGCTATATTGCGCCCGGGGCACTAATCCTAAAAAGCACTAGTATAGTATCACTAATCACGTGAGGCTATGGATGCATCGAGGCAGAGGAAGGGGCGAGGTGGAGAGCACTCAAACTGGTCGTAGAGGTCACGTGACAGAACCCACCCCGGGCAGGGACCAAAGATATTCCGAGGGCTATCTTTTACGCATCCTTCCCTCTTCGACCAGCTGAGTACAGGTATGTACGAGTAGACTCAAGTTGACGCGAAGGAGAAACACAGCACAGAAATCTCAAGGGACGCATTCCCTGATTTGTTACAACTCTGTTCAAAGACTTGGCAGAAGCATTCAGCAGTCGCGCTAGAGTAGTAGGGCGCCATACCCACCGGCGGCCACCTGGACTGTGGGAGGCACTTCTGGTCAAGATAACATGGTAGGAATAGTGCGAGGAACAAAACGGTCAATTGCAATGTATTTACAGTGGACTTTGGGGCCGCCTGGTCTTTTTGGCTCGCCATCGAGCACGGCTTCAAGTCACTTCTTCTCTTCCTTCTTCTCCTCCGGTTTGGGCGTGGGCAACCTGAATTCGGGCGGCTTCCGGTCCGAGCCAACGCCAACTTGTTCCCAAGCACTTGAGCCGCCTTCAAAGTTTCGGAAAGCTTGTGTCATCTCAAGGGGTTCCACCACGATGCGCTTCTTCTCCTCGTCGTAGCGAATCTCGGTGTACCCGGTCAGCGGGAAGTCTTTGCGTAAGGGGTGCCCGTCGAAGCCATAGTCCGTCATGATGCGACGCAGATCAGGGTGGCCGGTGAAAAAGACACCGTACAAATCGTAGACCTCCCTCTCGTACCAGTTGGCCCCGTCGTAGAGTGACGTGATCGAAGGCACGGGGCTTGTCTCATCTGCATACGTCTTGACTCTTATTCTTGAGTTGTGTCGCACACTCAGCAGATTGTAGACGACCTCGAATCGGTAGTTCTTGGTGGGAAAATCGACACCGGTAATGCTCGCTACCATGGTGTATTCGGCCGCGGTGTGGTATTTGAGGAAGCTGAACACGGGGATGACGCCGGAAGGGCAGATGTAGATGCACAATTCGTCCTTCCAAACCGAAAACTGTTGGATGTATTTGGGTAGGCAAGACATGAGGTACTGGCCGTATTGGTGCAAGGGGAGGGCCTTGTCCGCATATTTGTCGGCGTCGTTGACGATTGGGGCTGAAAGCTTGCCCATGGCTTGGAAGGGTCAGTCTCTCCGTCTCCCCTTGCTAGCCAGTGTACTCACGAGGCCGGGGTGCCTTCCGCAGCTCTGAGAGGAGGTCAGGCGCAGCTGTTCTCTCATCTGGTGATTTACTGCCAGATGTCTTGACTTGAGATTGCCTCGCAGACTGGCTCAAAGTCGCACGTTGCACCGATTTGGAGGACTGCGGAGCTGTACCTAGCGGCCTCCTGCTGGCCAGCCGCAACGCCGTTTTCGCGGACGCCATTGTAGAACGAGAAGCGGCCGTCAATCTCGAATGCGACTTCAATTGGGGTGCGCTATACAGAGGTTAGGTTGACGTCCAAACACAATGTTCCATGACGGAGCTCTTTCCCGCCAAGACCATCTAGCCCAACTCAGATAAGCGCTGCACTACGGTCACGCATTGTGGCTTTGATGAGAATTTGCCGCCCGACCAGGTCGGCAGGTTTCTGCCTCCTCGCAGTCCCACCGCTTTCTTGTGCCCTGACAACATGATATCACACTGGTGGTGGGGATAGCGAAGCCTCTCTGACGCAGACAACGGAGCAGGGCTCAAGTGGAATGAGCACCTGGCCGGAATTGTGTGGTCGCGAAAAGCAGGAGGAGCCGATCAATACACGAACTGAGGATGGGTAAGTGACCATCTTCCTTGACTGCAAGGGTAGCTCAGTGTGTCAAGATGGGATACCAAGTTCCCCGATTATCTCGGTGAGGAGTGTTTCCGGCGAGAAAAGTGGTCCGTAGAACGGCTTTCAGCAGTGTCTTCGGCGGCTATCGTGGCGCGGATGTATGCCAACTTACGTTTTGCCAAACTGCTTCCCATCCTTTGTTTCGTCTAGCGACTTCCTTGTTATTGCCGGGGCTCTTTGCTGAGGGGGTTGCCTTCTTCCGATCTGACAACATGTCTCAGTCCATGTTTGACCGCCTCGATTGGTGCTTCTATGGATATTCTCAGCAAACATACCATCAGAGCAAGCTCAGGATCACCGTATATCAAACACGGGAGAGGAGGGATAGGCCGCGATACCAGACATCAAATAAGTACAAGAAGCGAGCAAAGCAACTTTGAAACTATCCGGAATTCTGCATCGCGCACCCCAGCATTAAATTCTCGAGACATCCTTGTTTCTTGGAAACAGAACCGTACGAGGATAACGCCGTCGGGTCTTGGTAGCTATGGCCGAACAATCGCCCTCATCTCCAGCAGTCGTGGCCGAAGACTCTCTGTCAGTTCCAGCACTGGAGGCCCGCGAGGTCCTCAGCAAGTGTCTATTCTGTGACCCATGGAACCCCTCCCGGGCGACGATTTGCGACCGTTGCGTGTGCATTACCCTCCCAAGTCGAGACGCACAACAGCGTCGATTCAACTGGACATTCCACGCATTTGGCCCATCAGCTCCTTTCTCTAAGTCTCTCACCAGATCTGATTTCGAAGCCATGTTACAACGCACGGAAAGTAGTGAGAACAATGCGGTGTATATCGGAGATGAGAAACGGAAAGTCCTGCTCGCCCACTACCCGGGAGGCAGAAGGCAGTTCAGCACCCGAACGACCGACGCGTTGGGTAGCGTCCACACGCATACCTTGGACTTGGACAGTGACAATGACTCAAATCGAGCGATCTTCAACCGCGCCGTGAACGAGAGCATGAATGCAACCGGCATGTCACCTGGTCACAATCCCTTTCGCTTGGCCTGTCTTCATACTGGCTTGTTACGTAGGTGCAGGATATTGCCATCAAACGGAGGACGAGAATCAGGCTCAGGGGCAAGATGAGGCTGAGATGAAGGCGGAGGGACATTCCGAGACATCGGCACAGGCTGAGGCTGATCTGGACGCAGAGGGTGAAATCAATGTCAGGCTCCAGCTGCGACATGCAAAGCTGGGCACCCTTTTCGTCAAGGTGGGATTTACACATACGAACAGCTCTCATTGCACACGGAGAGAGACGCAGAGATTGAGTGTGTGAGGGAAGATCGACAGAGGCAAAGCAGAAAGAGCGGCGGGAATGCATGGGCGAATGTTTCCTGGCTTGGAAGCTGTTGCGTGGTGGAACGAGACAGTGTAAGGAGCCTCCCTTATTTTGTTCCTTCAAAGGCACGCCCTGGTGGCTCGCCATTGGTCTTTAGATACCTAGGTAGCTGAGAGCTGGCTCTCTCTTGTTTCTATCAATGCATGGTTTAAACGGTCCATGACGCGGCTTTCGCAATCATCCAGTCCTAGGCCGCTAGAGGGCTCACGAGGGAGATCAGGATAAAGGGTGCGACTATCCTAGCAAATCCAGCAAGGCGAAAACAAATCTTATCCCAACGTTTCAACCTCCTCCTGGACGTCCTTCTCCGCAATTTGTGCCGAGGCCGGGGCACCGGCGTCGCTGTCTTTGGTTTGCTACACGACCCTTTTTCGTCCCCTTGCATCTTCAGTCCGGAATCATTTGAAAGATTTTGCGGAAATAGTCTTCACGCCTCCTCTCCAGCCAAGCTCGCTCTCCAGTCAAGCTCGATATGCTCATCGGGAGATCCAAGGTCACTACCCGAGATCATGCCACCAAAAGGCCGACATTTACAGAACCGCGGACGCCAGAGAACAGGTCGGGTCGACTTGTGAGACTGAGGGGCGGCCTCGACAGCATTTTGGAGCGGTTCCAGCTTTTTCAAAGTGACGGCAAACGCTTCGTCGCCCAGGTCGGGATGGACCCTGGCCCAGACACCATCGAAAAGGTCGACGCCGCGAGAAGCGAACCGTCCGGCGTTGATTCTCTCTGCCCACCAAGGAAAATACCCAGATGTCTCCCAGTCAATGATTGCCTCGATCTTGTCGTGCTTGACGATGATATTGTCAACGTGCAAATCTCCGTGGGTCGACACATATGGTCCTCCGCGTGGAAAGTCGTCTTTGATCGCCTGGAGCTTCTCTTCAATCATTTTCGGGTCTCTGGTCTTGTGGATGGAAGAAAGCCCGCTGCGGAGGTGTTCCGACATGTTCTGCAGCCATTCATCTTCCGTAAACCCAATCTTGAAACAGGTAGGTGGCCTAAAGCCTTTGCAGAGACATAGCACACAATCATAGAGCTGATCGCCATTGACGTTTGGGGGGAGTGGTGCCGTGAAGCGTCGCAGTTTTCGAAGAATGTCTACTAGCTGATCCCTGTAGCTGGACTTTGGCTGAGAGACAACGAATCCCAAACCGAGCCTAGCAATTTGCCCTGGGTCCGAGAGATCAAAGTGATTTGTATGGGATCCTTGGGGTCATTCAAGCGGCGCATCTCTTTCACCACGGGGAAATCGGGACCCGCGTGATCATGTAGAAACTTCCAGGTCATGTAGTCGTTTCCGAGTGTCAGGTCGTTTGGCCGATCGCAAACAAGCCACTTGGTGCCCAGTGACCACAAGCCCCGGTTGCGGTTGACACACATAATCTTAACCCGTGGTGAGTAACCCTGAGACTGTTCGTACGTAGTCCAGCCACAAGCCCAGCACAAGTCCTTGTCGATATGATGACCAATGCGCCACTCAGCCCGCTTGTATTCGTCGGGGATCTCTCCTGAGGCCAGGTTCAAGTGGCGTTCAGGATGGGTATAGTCGTTCAGGACGGGTATAGTCGTTCAGGATGGGTATAGTCGTTCAGGATGGGTATAGTCGTGCTCGACAGGCGCATTGCCATCCTCGTAGTCAATCATCGCGATACCTGACCAGCAAAAATGCGAAGGAGATATATTTATGGTGTAGCTGGGGAGGTAGGAATCGAAGATATTGAAGGGTTGGAGCGGGAAACGTAAAAATCGAGAGTATTGAAGGGAACGGGGTGGATTCACATTGAGAAGGGACCACAAACCCTTTGTAATGAAAGGAAAAGGACGGATCCAAGGAACGAGAAGAACGCTCGCGGCCACCACTGGGTTTTCCACTGGCCGTGCCGTTTCCGTGGCCAGGAGCCCGGCACAGGATTGGCCATGCGCATTGCTGCCGTGGTCTGTGCCTCGACCTCAGGCCTGACCGCTGCCGAGAGCGGCAATGCGTATGTCCGCTTTGTCCTCCTTTCAGATCTGGCTGGGCGCGGTCCACGTACAACAACAGCAGGTGTCAGAACGACTCGCCCTCCCCGTGCGAAGCCCAGGGTTCCCGTCGAGGTAACATTCGACAGAATGTGCGTGTCTTTCGCGAGAGTCACCAGCGGAAAAACGGGCGTCAGGAATGAGGTCGAAAGTTTATGAAAGGGTCGCTGTGGTCGGGCTTCTCGAGCCTGTAATCGAAGTCATTAAGATATCATCTAAAGTTCCTTTCCGCCTCATTGAGGAAGGGTCTGTCCAGGAGATGCCGATGGCGATTCTCCCGCTTAATGCCAGGAGCCTCGGGAGAGTAGTAGAACGTCCGTCGAGCACCAAATGACACGGAGTGTGTATGAGTTCTGCTACAATGTTTGAGATCCCAGTCGGCGCCAGAGCCACCATCACATCATATTTACAACGCTGCGGAGGGAGGGGCTGACTCGGGTATGAGGCGAAGATGATTTGAAGGTGATTCGAAGGTGATTCGAAGGTGAGCCGGGGCTGCATCTTGTGCTGCCAAGACTGAAAACATTCAGTGCTAGTCCGAGGATGGACTAGCGTCAAAGGGCCTCGCGACTGCGTTTGCAACCTTTCGCCTTCTGCTTCCTGTCGCTTCTATGGCCATTTCAAACTTCATTCACCGTTGACAGGTTTCTCCCTCTGTGCCCGCATCGCGCCATCGTCTCAGTTGGTCAATACACGCTACGGAAACAGTCCTTCGAAGCAGGCTGGCTTTTGTGACCTCTCCCGCAGCCGTCGACATACTACTCAGCCCGACAACCACAGACCAGTGCATGGAGGCCGCTCTTGACCTTCACTTAGCGGTGCAGGAGTCGAAAGAGGTGGATCCCCTTACAGTCTCATTGGCACATCCTCCGTTATGAGTAGATCTCAGGATACCGTCATCGACGATGACGAGGAGACCTGGTGAGTTCGACTACCCGGAGCAGTTGGGCTCAACTCTGATTACATGACGAACAGCCCACTATGCATCGAAGAGTTCGACCTGTCCGACAAGAACTTCAGACCTTGTCCATGTGGCTATCAGGTGCGTCCCGGCTGTGTCGGTTTCTGCTGCGCGCAAGACCCTGTGTACTGATGCTCAAGACAGATCTGCCAGTTCTGCTTCAACAGCCTGAAAACTACCTACGAGAAGAGTACCTGCCCTAATTGTCGCAGACCTTACGACGAGAAAACGATCCAGTACAAGATCCCGACTGCCGAAGAATTCAAGCTCGACCAGATGAACAAGAACAAAAAGCAAGCGGCCGCGAAACGCAAAGAGACGGAGAAGCGTGAAGTCGAGAATTCGTCACGTCGCAACCTTGCCGGCGTGCGTGTCAAACAGCAGAATCTCGTCTATGTTATCGGCCTCATTCCCTCGATCAAGGACGAGCAGGCATTGCTTCAGACTCTCCGAGGCCCAGAATATTTCGGTCAATACGGCGAAATCGAAAAAATCGTCGTCAGCAAAGCTAAACCTGGAGCAACGAACCAAGGCATTGGCGTCTACGTCACCTTTGCTCGCAAAGAGGATGCCGCACTTTGCATCAATTCCGTTGACGGCTCTGTCAACAGCGACCGCGTGCTTCGGGCTCAATTTGGCACCACGAAGTATTGCTCAGCCTATCTGCGAGGTGAGACCTGCACCAATAGAAACTGCAGCTTCCTTCATGAAACAGGCGAAGACGGGCAACACACCTCTTTGCAGAATGAGCCTCATGGTGCGAGAATCACGGCCCGACCAACAACCGCCGCCCCGGCCGCGCAGATGAACCCCCCTCCCCGTCCTCTCTCCGCGGTCCAGGGATCAACTTCTCACTCCATGGCTCGGCAGGGAAGCACAGAGAATGATGTTAGTAGGAAAAACTCCCAAGACGGTTCCGCCCTCCCCTCCACGGCAAGCTGGGCAACTGCAAATGCAAGCGCCGTCCGGACGAGACGCACCAGTCATTCAACTAGTAGAGCTACCCCCAGTCCGCAAGCAACCCATGCCTTCCTTGCCGCTAAGAAGACCGAAGAGCCCAAACTCAGAGAGTCTCCCGTCAATGAGTCGTCTGCCTCGACGGCACCGGCAAAGATTGCCCCCACACAAGAACAGCCGGCATCGAAACCGAAACCCAACCTGGTGGACCCTGCGCAACAAATCTTTAATGACGCCAAACGAATTTTATCAAGGGCTTATCAGTTCTCCTACGACGACTCATGTCTTAGCCCAGAGGCTCGCGCTGCGGTAGATGATATGCCTTGTTTTGTTGACCCTTATGGGGGTGCCAAGCGTCGCGCCATGCGAGAGAAAGAGGAGGCCGAACGAGCGAAGCTAGAGGCTGAGGCTAGGGCAAAGCTCGAAGCGCAGGCGACCTCGGCCGCCGAAGAGACGCTAGAGGAAGACAATATCGTGGCCGGCAGCCTCGCCCTAGGTGGCGAACCCGAGGATGATCATCCAAGAAGCTCTTCGGCACGTGGAGCCATCGGGCGGCCATCACAGCCTCTGAATGATCAGTTCGCCTCAATGAATATACGCAGCTTGACGCCGCAGCAACGACAGCAACTGGCTCTTCTCAACGGCAGCAACATCCAACAAGCACCCGGTCTCGGCCAACCTAACACGCAGAATACCGCGTTCGAAATGTCGGATTTTGATAGACGTGCACCACAGTTCAGCCAAGCTCAGTATGAACAGATTAGCAATCATCAGCGTCATGGGTCCCGATACTTCAACAACGACACCAAGGCCGGCAGCAGCAACCGGTTTCAGGGACAGCAACCCGGCTTTTTTTCCAGCGGCGTTCAAGGACCTCCTCCAGGCTTACCGACCGCCGGTACTCCACCAGTCAGCGGCGGCGGGATGTTCGCGCACGGTCAAAATTTCACGAATCCTGGTTTCGGGGCTTCCAAGGACATCAATGCTGAAGTCTACTCAAGGAATCGGAGCGGGACGAATCAAGGTCATGACATGGCTAAGCGTGAGTTACTTCTTTCCTTGCAAAACAACCCCCTACGTTCGCCCCCATTGCAAGCCCCTGCCCCTGGAATTCTCAACCCGCTCTATGCTCAATACCAAACATATCAAGATCCCGGGCTTGTCAAACAAAGAAAAAAGGGCAAGAAGCACAGACACGCTAACACTTCCTCTTCAGGAGGTGGTGTAGAGCATCTTGCAGACCCGAGTATTGCATCAGCCAGAGTTCATCAGAGCACCACAACAGGGCAGGGGCTTTTTGGGGGTAACCAAGGTGGGTACCAACAATCAAACCTATATGGCGGCGGCGGGTACAATCGTTGGTGATTGACGGCATCTCTCCTCTTCTTCCTTGTCTCCGTGGATTTTCGTTCGGCGTTGGTGGTATAGGCCTTCCACTTCGGACCAGTGGGCAGTGCATGAGTTAGTAGCTGAAAAGCGAACGCTGGGGGAGTTACGGCATGGGCAGACCATCCCTGGGCAGGCAGGCGTGGGACGCATCGGACATCGATCTACCGGCATCAGGCATTTTGCTTCAGCTGCATCACTCGTCAAGTTTCACGGCTCTATCATGTATGTTAGTACCCTTCCCTGGCCACGTCACCAACGAGTCAGGCAGATCAAAACCGAGTTCTTACACATCACTCAGGAGCAATGTTTCAAGACAGTAGAACCCGTGAGACGAGGGATTTGACGACGTGGAAGAGCCGGGTCGCCTCTACCTGTATTGTTGAGCCCAAGTCATGTACCCGCCGTTGCCGTGTCTGATATTGTCCATCCATGGATTGTGGTTGGGGAGTCTGTGAGGCGGCTTGCTGACGAAGGGGTTTCTTAGTTGACGTGAAAGACTTCCCGCCGCTACCGATCACGACGCCCCTCCCGCCGCTACATTCTCGAGTCTCGTCCTTGCAGAGTTACCAGAGCTCTGGTCTTCGGTCTTCGACGCCCAAGATCCCACCAGGGTTCGAACAAGCCCATGCGCACCCCCCGCCTCCACAGAGACAGGAATCTCCTACTCAACCTGTACAAACAGTGGCCCAGCGAAGCACATCGACCAGTTCGACGCCCGTTACTCCAGCAGTACCAGTGCTACCGATCGGCCCTCGCATGTCTACGCCACAACCCAAAGTTCCAGAAGGTCTCAGGGAAGAAAGCAAAGAGTCCAAACGGGAGGAGAAGCCTATCCCTCAGGCTATCAAGTCCAAGGCTCAAGGAAGTGAAATCAGCCTGGGGTCGCCCAAGCAGAAACCCACCCGTCAGAAAGTCAAGGCCGAGACTGGAAAGAAGGATGATCCGCCCGCCGACCCCGCCAGCGACAGAAGCGGTGACAATAAGCCTAAGAAAGCTCCCGCAGTCAAGCCTGGAAAGATAGAATTACCTCAAGTGCCCCCACCGAGTGCGTCGACTTCGCTCCCACACCTGGCAACGGGCGGGGCCCCAACGTATAAAGCCGCAGCAGAAACACCGTTGTTCGAGTCCTCAGTCGTTGGGACGCCTGCAACGATGAGCCGACCGGGCACGCCTGGTACAACAACCCCATCTGAACCGTCCAAGACCTCTGCGCGACCCAGGGTGCTGCGTGTGACAACTGGCGTGACGCCTAAGGTGGCAGAGCAGACTCCGGCATCGGCAACTACGGAGAGGTCGAGCATATTGCCTCCATCAGCCGCTAAGAAAGGATCCAGAAGGCCATCTCTATCTTCCGCTCAGCAAAGTCGCCCATCAACACCTGCGATGTCGGAGCGACCGTCTCACGACGCGTCTCGCGCGAGCAGTCCTCCACCAAGCATCGTAGGCTCTGCTCCTGAGCGTACGAAGACCAAGGCTCAGCTGAAGAAGGAACGAAAAGAGAAGGCCCGAAAGACAACGGATGCGGGCGAGACTCCTAGCGTCACGAGTACGCCTGTTGTCGAAGAGGTAGCCCCCGTCGTCGCGAGACAGAAGAAACAGAAGAGGCAACGCCTGGGAAGCAGCGCCGTCGCCAGTGCGGACGAAATTGCTAGCCCGAAGAGGCTCACGGACGCTAAGCTGGCAGACACGACTGACAGGCAGGCTGCTCAAGCCAGCGATCCCGAGTCCAAACCCGAGCTGAGACAAACCCCCACCACGGCATCGCCTTCCAAGACGACGGGCACAACGCATTCCCAGCCCTCAGAACCAAGTACTCCCGCCCCCGAGAAGACCAAAGAAGATCCTCCCTTGAAACCTGAAGATACCAAACCCGCTTATAGTGTCCGCGACCTGTTGCATGACGCTGCCGAAGCCGCCGGGCCCAACCCTGACCCTGCTGCCACCCATGCTGCCCTGCAGAAACTACTCCAGGATCATGTATCCTCGATGCCCAAGATCATCTCTTCGCTACTTCAATCTGGCGACCTTACCAAAGACCATCCATGGTTGAATCCACCTTCCTTCAATTCGGCTGCTTACAAGCTCCCGCCTGACTCTCGACGCGGGCAAGAATATCTTGACGGCAATGCTTATAGCGCCAACGACGCGTTTGGCTACATTTACTTACCGATGAAAGAGAAGCAAGCGTTGAAAGACGGTAACGCCGTGAGCGTTGCGGATGCTGGGGACAGGAAGGACGATATGTTGAAAAGATGTCTTGTGACGCCCAACGGGTGGGTGCTGAGACATCTGAGTGCCGACGAAAGCGAGAAAGTACTTGAGCTGGAAGAACGGCGCCAGATGTACGTTGAAGAGTTTGGCGACGTCGGTACTATGTCCGGGCTCGGTGTGCTGGAAATGGATGACTTTACCAATCTTGGTGGCGGCATGGAGAAGCTTGCCAGACACGGTGAACGTCACGGAGTGGTCTGGATTGTGGGAGAGGATGGGCAAATGGACGATGATGACGATGAGTTCGAGCCATTTGACCATGAAGACGGTGGAGTCGACGGTGCAATTGGCGTCGCTGACGAAGACGTCGACGAGGACGGGTTTGAGGAGGATCCCGACGAAGGCGTCTACGAGACAGACGAGCACCTAGAAATGCCCGGTGCGTGGGAGCATCCCCCCCGCAACGCCCGTCCTCCCTCGAGGGTCGCCTCGGGTGGTCGCATCAATTCGCTGCCAGGTCTGGGACCGCATTCTAGGACGAATGCTCTCCGTCTACCACCTCGGGGTCCCATCGCTCCTGACCGCCCTTCGCAGCCCCTCGACCCTGAAGCCACTGCTCCGGCGCCTGCCACCACAGGGCCAACGACTACAACGTCAGGCGCCACCCACGACAACACCAACCTTCGCCTGCTTGAGAATGACGCCTTGCAGAAGCGTGTTCAAGAGTCACAAAAAGCCCTCGAAGCCGCCCGCAAGGAGATGGAGAAGCTTGAGAAAATGGCAAACAAGAAAGTCAAGGATATCAATCGCTGGCGAGAAGGGATCGTTGGCGCGCTGGCGAGCGCTGGCGTCAAGGGCTAGGCGAAGCATTTGACGCGGCGATGGGTGCAAAGCCTTACGGCAGGCTGGCTTATACGTGGTGGAGAGATTGATGGTGATGTTAGGGAGGGCCGGAAACTGTTGGGTAAAGGGACGGATAAGGGTGGGACCTGGACGGTCACTGGGTCGATCGACGAAACATTGACGCTGGAGGTGTTACAAGTAAGTATGCACACCGAGGCAGGGCGTCGTACCGTCCAGAAGGCACTGCCGGACAATATCACTCAGCGATATGCCCTGCACAGCATTTCTTACCTGTGCCTCGCCGGCACCCAACCTTTGCGCATTCAGCAATGGCGAGCTGAAGCCACTCAGAACCACAGACCACGTGTACAAGAAAGCGTTACCGGCGCATGACTGAGGCATGTGCACAGGACATGTATCCATTAGTTGCTTAACGCACTTTTCATACTCCCGGGCACTATCCATACTGGCCCAAAGGAGAGGCAGTCACGCTTCCTGTTTGGCCGATGGCATGCTTTCCACTCCCTCAGTTTCTTCGCATACGTGATGGATGAACAAGGTGGAAATACGGAGTAGGTGGCTGGCTGGTTGGTGGGATACAGTAGTGATCATTCGAACTAACAGTCTCATCTGCTGCTTTTAAAAGCTCTTTGAAAGGCTGATCTGTCTTCTCGTCGTTACATGTCGTCTCCGCACAGTTCTCTTCACTCCTACCTATGTAGCACCGATTCACATCATTTCTCTCTCTGTCAATTCGTCCTGCCCCCAAGCAAAGTACATACAGTACTTCACGTTTGCACACACGCACTTACGATAGACGACGCCCTTTTGAACACCGATGGTTCGTCGTACTCGACTTCGCTCAAACTCCAACTGTGGTTTCTCTAATTCCCGTCGAGGATGTCCTTTGCGCGTCGAATCTCATCCCAGTCGGTGTGCTCGATCTTTAGTACCGTATTCGTCGTATATTTCCCGGCTAGTGGCGGTGTCGCTGGCGTGATTCCCAGGCGTCCGGGTAATACAGCCGGTGGGGTGTTCGAAGAGGGAGGAGTCACCTGGACAACGACGCAGACGAGATTCCCCTGCAACTTTTTCAATAGATGCGGAGATGGGGATTGGTGTTTCCGGCTCGTTGACGCGACCATGGTGGCTTTCCGGGTGGTCGTAGCGCTGAGGTAGGGCGGTCGATGTGGGAAGAAAATGTCCGCCAGGACGACTTCGATGGGGCCGGAAGTCTCGTCGTCTGTGCTGCTGCTGCTGCTGCTGTGCAAGATCGCGTAGACTTCAAGAGTCAGCGTCTTCACGGGTGTGGTTGGCGTAATTGGCGTAGAGACGAACGTGGATGAGATGTGGCGGAGGGCTTCGGCAATTCGGAAACAGATAGGACGGCGGTGCGAAGGGGAGACCATTGGGCTGGTTGGCGAAGCGTCTTGTGAGACAGGGAGAGGGGCAAACGGCCGGATGAAGGGTTTCATGGGCGACTGTCCGGTGTTGTTGCTGGGGGATGGCTTAGCTGGGGCTTTATGCTTCTTGTCGATGTCTGGCATGGCTGCGGTGTTGCTAGACGAGGTGGGAGGGACAAATGACTCGGCAAAGAGTGCCTTTTCGGCTTCTAGAAATTCCTCGACGCAGGTGTCGTCGTTGTCGAAGAGGTCCTCTGAATCTTCATGCTCTGCTTGCATGGTGTTCTCGATGTCGAGAGAATGACGCTTCGTATTAGCGCGGCCGTTGAGATCTCTGGAAGTTTCGGTCTTTCCTTTCGCGACAGAGTCGGTATGGGAGTGCCGTGCCGGAGTAGACGCTACTCTCATGGTGAGCACCTTTTTTGCAGGTCGAGTTTCTGTCTCTGGACCGAGGGCTTGCGAATATGTCCGTTTCTCAGCGGCAGAAGTGGCGTTGAGCTTACTCGAGCGGATAGGTATCAAGCTGTCGGTGGTCTGGAGTTGAGCGGCTTTGGGCTGTCGTGTCGCTCGAGGTCTTTTGTTCGGCGGTTTCTTGTGTTGTGCCAGACCATCAGGATGGTCAGCGTCTTCTAAACTGACACCGACAGCTCCTTTCTTGCGTGTGTATGGCGGTGAAGCTGTCAAAGACTTCCGCTTCCTGGCCGTCTTCGTCTCATACATTCGATCTGCGGAGTCGAGGATAGCGCGCCGACGACAGCTTGCGGATGCTGATTGCTCCTCTTCGTCTGCATCCTGCTGTGGTGACGAGGGCGAGGAAGGAGCCACGTTGGCACTGTTCGTCTGATTGATTGGTGTCCATGTGTTAGACCTGTCTTTGGTTACCGCAACCTCCAGCTGAAGGACATACTGAGCCACTCACCAGACCGGTTGCAGGTCATTGGACTCTTCGTCAAGTTCAATCTCCGCCTGGAGTGCCTCGATCTCGTCGCTTGACAGCCAGCTCAGCTCGCTGGAAGGTAGACTCATGGTAATAGGCGGCCCAGATCACGACATATCCCACAGCGGCGGTGAAGACGAATCGTGAGTAATCTGACGGATATCTGTGGTAGAGCAGCGCGGCAATGATGTAACAGGAAGCGCACACAAGGATTTCAGCCTGGGGTGAGAAGGACATTGGGAAAGACGGATGAGAGAGAAGCGGTCGAGTTGGAAATGAGGTGCGAGTGAGAATTGGAAGTCGGGCGCAATCTGGAAATACTCGTCCGACTTACTTCTACGTAATACAGCTCCAGGAGCCTTCAAGGCAGAGCGAATAAACGGGCTGGAGGCTCTGTAAGGCAGTAGATCTTGCATATTGAGACTTTGAGTCTCACAAACACAGCAGTTGTACAGTAATTAGCGGCATTCATTGCCTCGAGCGTGGCCCACAGAGCTTCACCTACGCCTCGCACCAGACAGTTTCATTATATTGCCAGGACCATTACCTGGATCTTGCAAAGCCTTGGGTGGTAAAGCTTACCGCTGTCAGTATGTGAAGTGAAGTGAAGTCAAAACGAGGTGAGTTGGAGTTGAATGAGAGGTGAATGAAAGGTGAAGGAAACTTGAGGTCGGCAAAACCCGGCTAACCTGATTTAGTTAACCCATGTTTACTCTTTGTTTGATCTGGAAGGAGCGGCCTCCATTCTCGAGATCGCAGCACAATCGAGCATCACGACGGCACACGATACGGAAATTTGCGACCATGCCGTACGCAATCGAGACGAAGAAACGCAAGTTCGACCGCATCCTTGAGGCTCTGACCGACAGTGCTGCTTCTCCTGCGGGTTCACCGTCTCGGTCGTCGCTCAACTCTCACAATAACACATCCACCACCTCCCTCACGCAAGATACGGCCTCGGACTCCTCAAAAAGACGGCGCATAACACCTTTATCCGCAGCTGCAAATCCCACCACCCCTCCATCGAATGATCTTACCGGTCATTATCTTCCCTCCAGCAGACCGGCCTTTCTGCAACGGCTGGAAACGTTCCGATACGTAACGAAGTGGCATGTTCCTTCTACAGATCCCATTAATGCGGCTGCGTGGGCGAAGCGAGGATGGACTTGCGTTGACACAGACACAGTGGCTTGTGGCGTATGCAAGGAGAGGCTCTACGTGGACCTTAGTGTCGACAACGAGATGCTTAAGGCCAAAAAGCAGGAAGGTGAACCTATCGGTGATGAGGAAGCAGCGGAAAACGAAGAAGAAGATTTTGCCATTTCTTCCGATGTCTATGATAACATGGTTCGACGTTACCAAGGTATGATCGTCACCGCGCATGCAGAAAGCTGTCTCTGGCGAAAACGCGGATGTGATCCATCCATCCAGCGCATCGAAGGTCTCTTGAACACACACTCGACCTTGTCGGGTCTACGAAGTCGCTACGACAGTCTCATGAGCCATCCAGAGGAGATCCCACTTGTGGAGTCTCTCCCATCCACCACATTGGTCGACCCAGATGAGCTGGATCAATTTCAATCAAATACAGGGGAAACGCCCGACATTCACGCACTCAGACTGGCAATTTGTGGCTGGGAACGGAAAACTGACGATGTCATAGAATGTCGGCATTGTTTCCGCAGTTTGGGTCTCTGGCTGTACCGCGGCGACGCGCCCGCCATTGGCAAATTGGACGCAGTGGAGAATCATCTCGAGTACTGTCCCTGGAGGCTCGCTGAGGCCCAGGACACTGAAATTCAGTTACCACACAGCAGCAGGTCTATCGAGGAAGTTGTCTCGCAGAAAGAGCGGGTACCGGGTTGGGTATTGGTATACCTTGCCATTGCGAAGAACAATAGACAGAGACGGCCCAGGCCGCCTGCCTCTGGTGCGGCATCGGAGCCAGCTTCGAGCAGGGGCAGCGACGAATCAATGACCTCGCAGCAGAGAGAGAAGAAGATGAAGGACTTGCTCAAGAGGATAAAGGAGATCAAAAGGCCTTTCAATGTCAAGGGGCTTCTTAAGCGGAAGGAAAAGACCAAGATGTGATCCATCCCAGCCCTCGGAACAGCCTACCGACCCTGATCACGGGAGAACCTCCTGATGATGAGTTGAAGGAGTTTTGTCGTCGCCGTCTCTTATCATATGTTCGAGATGACCTTTCCGGAATGGACAGTAGGGATAGTACTTCATATTTGACAGGTCAACAGGGGCACCTTGTTTCCCGCATCCATACCCTCGCTCAGCCAGGACATTGCTCTCAAGTCAAAGTTGTCCTGGTCATTTCTGCTGGCCCGCAGTGCTGGCCGTTCTCGGATGCTGCGTTGCAGGCTCATTCTCCTGTAAAAGGTGTGGCACGGCGTACGCAACGAGAACAAGACAAAGAGGCAGTCGAAGCCGGAAACACCTCAAGGACGCCGACAATCTCGACCATGAAAGCTTACCCCGGAATGTGGAGGATAGACCTGATGACAGCCGTTCGTGCTTCAGGTTCAACCTGATTGACCTGCGGCTTCACGACATGCCCAGTATGGATCTGGAAACAAGTCGTTGCATCCCCTGATCACGGTCCGAACCCTGTTTACCTTCGTTTCTCAAGGTTCACGCTTCAGTTGATTGAGCTCGGAACCAGAAACAGGCAAGTCAGCCTGCCAAGGTTCATGAAGAGTCATGGTACGATGGATAGAAGTCCAATCACTCTCCCGCCTTGTACTGTGAATAATCGAAGTTGACCAGGGAGATTAATTGTCATGAACATGGACCTGGGTTTAAAGACAAGGCTGCTGCTTCTGCTGCTGCTGCTTTGGTGTCCAAGAGAGAGCGGAGAACGAATAAGCCGTTCTACTTCGAAGTGCTGTTTGCTCCCCAGCTGCACGATTCGCCTCGCCTCCTCTCGTCTCGTGCATTTAATCCGGCTTTTATGACGTCCTAATCTGGTGAAATGGGATGGGATGGGATGGGATGGGATGGGATGGGATGGGATGGGATGGGATGGGATGGGATGGGATGGGATGGATGGGATTTGGAATCTCTTGCAGCTCCCGTCCAAACAGTATCACATAGTAGTATATCTGTAAGATGTGGACGATCTATCTGTATGTGTATTTGTATGCCTGTGCATGTGCTGCCTGAGACCCAGGTGCAGCGCGAAGCCACTCCGGTGTTGAAAAACGTGAGCGGCACAACCCTGGTGCAGTAATTAGTATGCGTGATGAGCCCCGAGGGACGGACGCGATGAAGCGAAGAATCCCAACGACGGACATGCTCTGGGCTGTGTACCTACAGTAGGCGAAGCTGCACAGAGTGTTGGACAAGCATGATAGCAAGCAATAATAGGTAGGACGAGGTTGGTGCCGTCAAAAGGGAGCTCCCCTTGCCCTCCTCGTCCGGGTTGATACGCCTCCACATACAGTGCGCACAGAGCGTATCGCGTGCATGTAAGCATTGATGCTAATCAACGGGGTGCAAAGTGCAAAACCCAGTTACAGTGTTGTCGGGTACTCCATCACAACGTCACGCTACTCACGCTCAATACACCCTTCGCGTTGACCAGCTCTTTCTTGACAGCCTCTCCGACCTCCTTGTCGACGCCCAGGATCATCAACGCCTCGGTCGTCTCTTTAGCTGCTTGCGCGTCAGTTGAACCCAGCGTGGATGCTGCGGAGTATGTAGCGGGCGCGACGCTCATGAAGTTGATGTTGACGCCCTCTCGGCCCAGAATACTGCCCACGAGTCCGATCTTGCCCGGCGAGTCGTAGTTGTGGCAGATCAACAACGTGCCGTCTGGCACAAAGGACGTGGCGAAGCGGTCGACCCGGCTGATGAAGGGGGAGTTGTCGCTGCAGTAGCCCGAGATGATGTGCTGCTTGGTGCCGCCGCCTTCGCTGGGCCCTGGGTTGGACGAAACAGTGGGGGTCTCAATGGCGCTGGAATGCCGAGACAGCGAGGGTGCTCGACTGGCGGGTCGGACGACGAGCGTCACGAGGCTGGAATACGCTTGCGTGGACGGGTCACGGGATTTCTGCTCGTTGACGAAGATGCCACGTTCCTTGGCCACCATTTCGGCGTTCACGATGTTGACGTTGAAGCCTTCAGCGTCCGAGATGGGCGATGTGAGGCCCTTGATCAGGGCCGCGAAAAGGGGTTTCGTGGACGACATGTTGGCGATTTCGCCCTCGTAGATCAGGTCGAAGGTGTTCATGTTTCGGCGGTGGAGGGGTTGGTTCGGCGACGTGAAGTGTTGGGTGTAGAGGGAGCCCATCTTCTCGACGAGGCGCACAAACGGTTGCAGGGTCTTGTACTCGGCGGGTAGTATGATGGGGGCGTTGACGGCGCTTCTGGGCAGGTCTCCCGCGAGGATCTGCAGCACTTGCTCGCACACGTCGATGGACACGTTCTCTTGTGCTTCGATTGTCGAGGCGCCCAAGTGAGGTGTGGCGATGCACTTGGGGTGCTGGACGAGTTTTGCCGCCCAGGAGTTGGCGTCCTTGTGCGGTGGCTCGGAGGTGAACACGTCGATCGCGGCGCCTGCGATGTGACCGGACTCGAGCGCCGACAACAGGGCCTCTTCGTCGACGATGCCTCCGCGGGCGACGTTGAGGATGCGCGCACCTCGCCTCATCGAGTTGAGCTCCGACGTCGAGAGCATACCACGAGTTGATGCCAGCATCGGGGTATGGATCGTGAGGAAGTCGGCAAGAGGGAGCAACTCGGAGAGAGATTCTACGAGTTGAACGTTTGCGGCGGTAGCAACGGAAGGTGAGGCGTACGGATCCGCGGCGGCGACGTTCATTCCTAGGCCTCGAGCCATTCGAGCGACGATCAGGCCGACTGAGGAAGCAGCATCTTCGTTGGCACAGAGTTCATCTCAGCGTAGCACTGGAGGGGTCAACATACCTTTGCCCAAGCCGATAATCCCCAGGGTCTTCCCTTTGACCTCGACACCGACGAGCCGACTTCTCTCCCACTTCCCGCCCTTCAGACTCGCACAAGCATCGGGGATGTTCCTGGCCATACTCATGAGCAAGGCAATCGTGTGCTCGGCAGCAGCTTGAATATTGCCGCTCGGCGAGTTGACCACCACGATGCCCAGCCTTGTGGCAGCGGGGACATCGACATTGTCCACACCAACACCCGCTCGAGCGACAACTTTCAGTTTACGGGCGGCATTGAGCAGCTCCGCGGTGACTTTCGTCTCGGAGCGGACCAACAGAGCATCGTATTCGGGGATGATGGAGATGAGTTGGTCTGGTGTTAGGCCTTGCTTTTCGTCGACGTCAAGTGTCTTGCGGAGCAGAGTCAGGCCGTCTGCGGAAAGCTTTTCTGGACAGAGCACCCGAGCCCTGGGAACCTCTCCTTCCGCTCCGTTGGTAATAGCCATAATTGTGTCCCCTTGTCGCTCTGTCTTTCTTGTAATTGAGCTCGACGAGTCCGGAAATGGCGGTGGATATGCTGCGACGGGCGTATTGAAGCTTGTGGTGGAAAACAGACTATGTTCACAGCAGGAACTGCTTGGCGGCTCTGTCGACTGTCAGTCAACTCAGGACGAGCACCGCATTGAGATGGATGAAAAGCAAACCAGCGGAAGCGAGTGGAAGGTTCAAAGAGGTCGGTGGAGCTTTTGTTATTGACAGTACATATGCGAGACTCGTACAAGCCAGGGAGAGCTGTGCAAGACATTTCAATTTTTCCGTCGCCGGCTGAGAGCATGCAAACCCTTCATTCGCTGTGTGCGTCCTGTGCGTCACTTTGTTAGCCAAACAAACCATGCCAACAGCAGAAACCTCGAGCAATGGTGGGGTTTGACTGGCCGAAACCGCAACCGACACCCCGCGTCTTTGGCTAGTCTGGGGAAGCTGCAAATGGTCCAAACTGTCCAAACAGAGAACACGTGGCAAACATGGCAAACTCCACAAGCATCGCAGTCCCTCAGTATTCCAGCGCCTCCTCGAACAAGCCCCTCAACTGCTCTCTCTCCTGGTTGACCTCCTCGCTCAAATTCGGCGCCAGCATCAGGACTCGCTTCTGGGGCAGTGTCCCCTCCACCAGATCGTCAATGCTCTCCTTTGTGAAACCCAAGTGCTTGATGCCCCGAGGCTGATCTCCCAGCCCGATGAGGAACTCTGCCAGGGCCTCACTGAGAACTTCGCCGGCACTCTCCCTCTTCACGTTCGAGATATCCTTGCCAAAGCACTCCGCGGCTGCCAGATGGCGGTCGGGATTGCTTGGCCCTGTGAAGCGGAACACTGCCGGTGCAGTCACCGCCACGCTGACGCCGTGGGGAATAATCGGTGTCTCGACTTGGTAACCCGCATGTTTATAGCCCGGGTTCTGTCCGCTGATGGGATAGCTCATGCCGTGACACAAGTGTACACCGGCATTTCCGAATCCGACGCCTGCCAGAGTTGCCGCGAGGAGCATTTCGCTCTGTGCTTCATGATCTTCAGGGTCTTTGGCCGCTCGTGGTAGATACTTCACTGTCGACTTGAGTGCCTTCAACGAAAAGATGTCCGAGATGGGATTGGCGCCCTGGTAAGCAGGTCGGTTGATGGGATTGGGTGGCCTGGGTGATCTCTCGTAGTAAGGGATGGCTGTCCAGGACTCCAAAGAGTGACACAGCACGTCCAGGCCAGAAGACGCATGTACAGCCGATGGCATGGTACGAGTGTTGAGGGGGTCGCAAATTCCTAGCGTGGGCTTGAGGTTGCGGTGCGCAATACCGGTCTTTGCGCGCTTCTCCACCAAATCGAAGATGGCCGTGCCTGTCGTCTCTGACCCTGTACCTGCGGTAGTCGGTACAGCAACGAGAGGCTTCAGAGGCTTGGTGATGGGCAGGCCCTTGCCCAGAGGGGCGTTGACAAAATCCAGGAAGTCCGCATCTGGAAAGCAAGTGTAGAGGTTCATCAGTTTGGCAGTATCAATGACGGATCCTCCACCGACTGCCAGAAAGGCGTCTGGTTGGTATGGTTTCGCAAAGGCAATGGCGTCCTTGATTGAGCTGTCCTTGGGCTCTACCCGACATTTGTCGTAAACCGTGAACTCAACTCCTTCCTTGGTCAACCCTTCAATAACCTGCTTCATCGCATCCAATTTGGAAACATTGCCGTCCGTCACGACGCATACACGCTTGGCACCCATGTTTTTCATGTCCATTCCCACCTCTTTCGTGCAACCAGGGCCAAATCGGATGGAGCTAGCCGCCATTTCGAACGCATAATCTTTGGACCGGGAGTGGTCGATCGGCGTTGCGAGCCGTCTCCTGGCCTCGCCGAACGCAGATGGGGCATGATGAAAGTTGGGATTCGAGTGGCAGGGGCAATTGGGAGGGTGGCCAAACTGAATGGCTTTCAAGAGAGACGTAGACCGCTGCGCGGCGGTCCTGGCGACTCGAATTGCGGGCGAGAGAGACATGGCTGCGCGGCGAACTCAAGTGTGGTGTGCTCTACAGCTCCCAGGCACACGACAGCCAGGTTTGAGGAGCGGAGATTCTGGATAAGGGCGCTTGAAAGAGAAGCAAAGACGATTGATATTCAGACTGCCCTAGCTCGATCTCAATCCCACCATCGGAAGAGCCCCATGCACCCAAGCAGATGTGGAGGGAGACCGAGGCAGTGTGGAGAGAGCTCTGGCTCAGCACGCGCCTCGAAGATCTGTGATTCGACGTCCAAGAGCAGCAGTTTGGAGGGGATTGGAGGGTTGCTCGACATTGGAGGATGCCAGGCTCGCGGCCAAAGAGCCCTGGAAGCCATCTTCCACCGGGAAGCCAGGACGAAGCTCGGGGGCTGTTTCGGTGGAAAGATGGGCGACCCATCGCGGGGTTCAGGCGCCTACTGGGTACACAGCGATGGCCCGGTAGAATCCCGCTGAGGGGAAGAAGTGCGCGTCAAGCAGAGCATTGCCCCACGTCATTCTGCTCTCAGGGCCATATCCTCAGGATCATCGGCAAAGGTTAATGATGTGCAATTGAATGCAGTTGTCTGGGTGAGTTTGCGTGACATTCTCACAGTCTACTTGGACGATTCACCTCAACTGATGCTTTCTCGTTTCACATCCCGCTTGCCACGACTCCAACAGCTGAGACAACATTTCCAGCTCCCCTCCGTTACAGCCGCCGTATCAAACACATTCTCGACGACGAGCTCCCCAGCCCCGACCATGTCAGCTCCAGATCACTCGAAATGGAAGTTCAACCACACCATGCTCCGGGTCAAAGACCCCCAGAAGTCGCTTGATTACTACAAGTTGCTCGGCTTGAGTCTTATCAACAAGTTGGACTTTCCGGACAACAAATTCTGCCTGTATTTCCTCGCCTACGACGGCCCGTCGTCCGCGAGCACCAACGCGCACTGGACCGACCGCGAGGGCGTCATCGAGTTGACCCATAATTACGGTACCGAGTCCGACGATTCGTACACCACAAACAACGGCAATAAAGACCCCCACAAGGGCTTCGGCCACATCTGTATCTCCGTTGACAACATCCAAGCAGCATGCCAGCGCATTGAGGATGCCGGGTACAAGTTCCAGAAGAAGCTGACAGACGGCCGTATGAGGAATATTGCGTTTGCCCTTGATCCCGACGGCTATTGGGTCGAGATTATAGGACAGAAGCCTGTTGATCAGACCGAGGGCGTTAAGGAGACGGACACCCAGGCATACAGGATGAACCACAGTATGATTCGGGTCAAGGATCCCGAGAAGAGCTTGAAATTTTACCAAGAGGTCATGGGCATGTCGCTTATGCGCACCTCTGAGCAGAAAGCGGGAGGCTTCACCTTGTACTTCTTGGGATATCCAGGCTCTTATGGCATTCCCGACCCCAAGGATTCGCCGAACGGGGTCAATCCCCTTGCCGGAAAAGAAGGGCTGCTTGAGTTGACGTGGAACTACGGCACCGAAAAGGAAGAAGGAAAGGTATACCACAACGGCAATGACCAACCTCAAGGCTTCGGCCACATTTGCATCAGCGTCGACGAGCTTGACAAGGCGTGCCAGTTTATGGAGGAGAAGGGCGTGAACTGGAAGAAGAGACTCACGGACGGCAGAATGAAGAACGTGGCTTTTGTGCTGGACCCGGATGAATACTGGGTGGAAATCATCCAGAATGAGACGCTGAAGAAATCGAACGATTGGTGATTGAGGTACTTTGGTGGTGTCCGCGAGCCGTCGAGCCACGCCGTGAATGAGGCAGCCGGCAGACCTAATGACATTCTCCCTGTATCATCAAGTAAGCGAGCGGTCTCAGTTGCTTCAGGCATGTATCATGTAGTCTGTACTCCGTACACAAGTAGCACAATTCGGCGGAAGTTCTCCCGAACCTGGCCGACGACGAGGAGCATCGGCGATTTGCCGTTCACACGCTCCAAGCAACTTCTCCAATCACCTTCGAGACGATGACCATCGAGGATGCTGAAGAAGACGCTGCCTTCCCCTCTGATGGAGGTGAGCAGGGAATTGTGGTACTGCTTCTGTACAGGCCGCTGCATACTCGTCCCCCCAGAAGTACGTAAAGTTGAATATTGGTGACTCTCATCACCGGCTCAATATACCATGACGACCAACGACAATGTGCCAGCCGCGAACGGGCAGAACGGCGACAGTCATACCTCCATAGCAGCCGACTACGACCTGTCTCGACCGATCGATTCCACGTCTGGTCTTCGAGCAGGCCTCACCTCATATGGCGATGCGCATTTCTCACTCTTCCTGCGGAAGGTCTTCATCAAAGCCCTGGGCTATTCCGACGCCGCCCTCTCCTCGCCCATCATTGGCATTATCAACACTTACTCGTCCTTTAATCCCTGTCATTCCAATGTGCCGCAGCTCATCGAATCTGTCAAACGGGGTGTTCTGGCGTCCGGCGGCCTGCCTGTGGACTTCCCGACCATCAGTGTGCACGAGAGCTTTTCCAGCCCGACAAGCATGTACCTCAGAAACCTGATGAGCATGGACACGGAAGAGATGATCAAGGCTCAGCCCGTCGATGCGGTAGTCATGATCGGCGGGTGTGACAAGACGGTCCCAGCTCAACTGATGGGCGGCATATCAGCGAACAAGCTCATGCTACCTCTCATCACCGGTCCGATGATGCCTGGATCGGTAGAAGGCGTCCGAGTGGGTGCATGTACTGACTGTCGTAGTTACTGGGCACGGTACCGCGCCGGCAATGTCGACTTGGAGGACATCATGTCGGTGAATGAAGAGCTGGCGCCCACGGGGGGGACGTGTGGCGTCATGGGCACGGCGTCGACCATGGCCTGCATCACCGCCGGCTTGGGCTTGCTTGAACTCAAGTCCGGTGCCACGGCGGCAGCTGTGAGCTCTGCGAGACTTCGAGTGGCAGAGCAAGCGGGACGCGATGCCGTGGCCATGCTGAAGAGGGACGGAATGAAGCCCCAAGATCTGCTTACCAGAGAGAGCTTTTTGAACGCCATCACGGTCCTACAAGCGATCGGCGGAAGCACCAATGCAGTCGTGCACCTGATGGCCATCATTAACCGGCATCCAAAGGTGGCGGGCACAATTGACCTCAAAACCTTTGACGACATCGGGAGGAAAACTCCACTCCTGGTCGACCTCAAGCCGAGTGGTGACAACTACATGACCGATTTCCACAACGCGGGCGGCATGCTGGCGCTGCTACATACCTTGAGGCCCTTACTACACCTCAATGCAAAGACCTACACAGGTCAGACTCTAGGCGAGCTTTTAGATTCCACCTCCTTCAAGTCATTCTCGTACTCCCGACAGATAATTCGCTCCCTGGAGGATCCCCTCTACCCCAGCTCGAGCCTATTGGTCTTATATGGGAACATCTGTCCAGATGGGGCCGTCATGAAAGCCTCTGCATCGAAGAACCGAAATCTTCTCCACCATCGCGGCTCGGCTTGTGTCTTCGAGAACAGCGCCGACATGGCTAGCCGTATTGACTCCCCCGATCTCGAGGTTGATGAGAATTCGATCTTGATACTGAAGAGCATAGGTCCCGTGGGTAATCCTGGCATGCCGGAAGCGGGCCTGATCCCGATACCACAAAAGCTAGGCAAACAAGGCGTAGCCGACATGTTGCGGATCAGCGACGGTCGCATGTCAGGTACTGCCGGGGGCACCATCATCCTGCACATATCACCAGAGTCTGCCGATCTGGACTCGGTCTTTGGCATCGTGCAGACGGGAGACAAGATCGTATGTGATGTGGAAAACAGGAAACTGCTCTTGGAGGTAGCCGATCACGAGATCGCGAGGCGCATTGCAGAACGGAAACGGCAGTCCCAGTCGGATCCTTCTTCTCGACAGGCGGGAGACAAGGCGTCGAGGAGGGTGGAACCGTGGCTGGAAAGGAGCGGTAGACGAGGCTATCGGGGCCTCTATGAACGCGAGGTCAACCAAGCGCACGAAGGGTGCGACTTTGGGTTTCTGACGGCCAAGGGTCCCTCAAAATCCCAATGACCCTTTTTGGCAGTGCTGATGCTCGTTGGTCCAAAGACGGCACTGCTTGGCTGTCATGACAATACAGTTCCTGCCAACTCAGCTTCGACATTGCGAGCCACCCCCATTTGTAACTGCACAGTGGCTTGACGCTCGTCTCGTCTCTCCGTAGCGCGCCCTGCTCGACTGTGGACCGCATGATTTGTCGGTTCCTTCTTCATCCATGACGCCGTCGGTCATCCACGACACGTCGGAGTCGCACAAGTGGAGCTCTTTCCTCAACAGGCAATTGCTTGCTACTGTACTCAGCTCGAATCATCACGAGGCTCGTTCCCCGGGAGCCGACCACAATGGAAATTTTCAATGGCTGTTCGGCTATCTCTTCCCGCAGCTGGGTCCTTGCATCACGGCATTGCCATGGGGTTGTTCCAGAAATGGCAATGCGAGGTTTCCAGCTTTGCCTTGAGTAATGGTACTCTTCAACCTACCTGGACGACAAACCGTCACTGCGGCCTTCAAGAGGAGCGGGATGTGACTCGGGAGTCTGCTCAGAGACAGAGCACCGAATATCGAAGCATCGACCTTGGGCGTAGTTTTGGTATAATTGTGTAGATTCTTGATATACTTGCAGGTCTGTCTGTTAGAAGATATAAGTAGTCTGCTGTATCAAACCCTGCTCTTTCGATGCTACCGGTCCGTCTGTCTGTCTTGCGAGTCTGACGAGCGCCCGTCTTCGCCTTTGCCTATCTGGTCAAGACATGCTACCTATACCGGCTAGAAAACGACGTCGAAGACCCAAGAAGACACCGGTGTGCCAGCTGATACTGTGTAAGGGGTAAAAAAGCCGCCACTCCTGTCCAAACTTACTTGATCCGGCAATATTCCTGCCGTGTAGGGAGGATTCGACGTCAACTTCATGAACCAGCAAAAGAATGCTCTTGCCCTTTTAGGAAGTATCGCTATGAAAAGCGCTGGTCAGTTGGGAATGGAGCAAATACCCAAGTAGGATTGATATGCAGGTAGGGTAGAAACTGTGCGCGCGCGCAGGGGCCGTATCAGTAGATGACGCGAACAGGACAGGACAAGACAGGAAATTGTTGTGAAAGCGCACGAGCGTCATTTCGCAGCGAGCCACCCGGCCGAATTCCTTGGGGGTTTGCCCGTTTGCCCCGTTTGCCATTGGGGAGAATGCAAATACTGTATGCGGTAACACGAGGGTGTCATTATCAAAGGTGGTGGTGTTGCTTTGATCAGCATATCGCTCGCTGTTCGGGATGTCTGAATCGAGGCTACTTTCGCATTATGTAGCCCTATAATAATTCTGTCGCGATGCACCTTTGCATGGCTGTCATTGCTATTTCTTCTTCAGGGAGTTAGATACCTGGAGCAGGTACTCCGTAGTACTGCAGATGTACGAAGCGAGAAGTACGAGCGTGTGAGTTGGCCCCGGGATTAATGTCTGGACCAGCCGGCCAACGGAGGCCGAAATCCAAGAACCCGCGGCGACGAAGTCGCCCTCGGGACGGTCCCGAGGCGGTATGGAGTACGGAGACCGCGAGCGCAGTGGCAGGCCGCTGGGGTGGGTGGGCGGAGAATGGCCGAACTGTGCAGCAGGCGTCGGGCGCGTTTGCCTTGGTGCATTGGGGCATACTGTGTAAACCAGCACATACTCTGTACAACGCGAAGGAACTAATGTTAAGCATAGAGGGAAACATGCCGATGTGAGCATAGGCAACTGAGAAGGGGGGTGTGGAGGAGGGCAAAAGCGTTGACCGCAATGGTTAAGTACATATTGACAGCTCTCATTACTTCGCTGTAGGGCACAAGACGAATCAGGGGCACAAAGTGAAAGGGTGCACGATGGGCACAACATCCCGAGGTAGATGAAGGACATACTATGTGCTTATGTCCCTTGGTATGGACCAGTTAGTCTAGGTTGATTCACGGGTCGTCACGTACGTATATCGTCAGTGGGTATCAGATGTCAGGACCTTGGACAACAGATCCAGCCCACGGGTTGTAGACCATTGAGATAGCTTAGCGTCCGTGTCATATCTCTGACTGCGAATATGTACTGCTGTGCTGAGAGAGTGTCGGCACTCGAGATGGAGGTGCTCGACAGCGCAAGGAAACCAGCGGATAAGCATGCGAGCCATGGGGAGCTTCTCACCCTCACTCTCGTCCTCGTCCCGGTCACTCGTTTTCACCCTTCACTTGGAAGGTTTGTATGAAATTATCAAAATATGTAGCCTAGGTGCCCGCTGTGCCCTGGTATTCGAAAGAAGCTCGGATGTTCATCCACGTCATCTTCTCTGGCATTGCTGTCTTTCTAGAGCCGACCTCTCTGTGCTGGCTCTGTATATAGATGTCGACGGTCCTAGCATAAAATGAACTTGCTTCATGGTCGTGGTGAAATGTCAAACGAAGCGCCTTGCACTTGTGACGAAACCGAGAACTTGCGCGCCAGTTTAGCCAAACAATGGGTCAAGGACGTAGGTGTACAATGGCAGAAAGGATACCGCAGGTAGAAAAGAGAAGAGGAATGAAGGTGCAGTCATTTTGTGGTCGTCCCTGAGAGTAGACTGCAGAACGTGTCAAGCTGGAGAATAACAAGTGAATACGGAGTACGGAGTACACGATGGAATGAGGGCTACCGCGGGGTTTAGTGCTAGGGTCGGCTGATTTCGGGAGCGAGACCAGGAGCCCCACTCACCCGCATCGAAACGGATATGTATTGTGCAAGCACAAAAATGCTCAACAATCACCTGAGATCTGCCGGGGTAGCTCAATCGGTAGAGCGTGTGGCTCTTAGCAAAGTCCAACCTCAAGGTTGCGGGTTCGAGTCAGTCATTCACCATCCAGCAATGAAGATTTTCCAACTGATAAGTCATAAAGGTCCCGCCTGTGAGTTTATCCTTCGTAAAACAATCGATTGGATGATGTCTAACACGAAAGAAGTCGGCTCAAGTCCGTTGCAAGAACGTTTTTTTTTGCCCCCTCGGCGCATAGGACTCTAAGACAATTTACTCCGTAGAGTTCTTGCCCTCATCTCATAGCCAAGACATTAGTATGGTCGGAGTGAGCCGCAAACTCTGGAGTACAAGTTGGCAGTATCCAAAACGCTATCGAAACTGTTGAGCATGGATAGCACGAGATATGAGGCAGCTTGAGGAGTATCGTAAAGTTCGTATTTTGACGAAACAGCCCTCGGCTAACCAATTGGGCAAGCAGTCAGGTGGAAATGCAGGTAGGGTCATTTGAAGGCCAGTACCGACAAGGATCTTTGAAGGTATGGTGGGCGAACAGTCCAGCTGCCATACGCGCTCGATCTGATTTCAAGCTGGATTCCCGCAATCTCCTCTGTGCCTGCGCTGCCCATAGAAGTCACATCAGTACTTTCTGATACCTTCTGGGCTGCCTTTACTCCGGCTGGGCACGCACACCGGCGGCGGAGATGTGCCATTCGTCATTTGTAGGTCAGCCCTGTGCATCCTGAAGCCGTGGCGGGGCTCCAACATCCGGGGGGTCGGCTGACCGTAGCCGGTGACAGCCTCAGACTGTGCACAGCCAACGTCGTCTTATCCATCCCATTCATGGTTTGCACAAGACCCTTGATTGTCAGGCCTCGTCTTCTTCTCTTCTCTCTACAGACCTTCCCGCTCCGAAGAACAATGGCGACCTCATCCGCACAGGTCGTCCCTACCGTGGGGATCCTGAGCATTGGGGATATGGGCATGGGCATAGCCCGGCTCCTCCGCCATCACGACCATACCGTCTACACGGTCGCTACGGGCAGAAGGCAAGTCTACACATCAGATAGTCGTCCAGAAGATATTGAACTCTTTGCTGAGCTCTCCCCAAGCCAGCATACCCTCGACCGCATCAAGTCATCGCAGATAACAGCTCTCGAAACGGATGAGCAGTTGGTGGCTGAATCCGATATCATCCTGAGTATTGTACCGCCACGGGACGCCATTGCAACGGCACGAAGAGCTCTTGAAGCGTGCCGCTCACAAGCAGCCATCAAGAGGCGTAGTGAGAGGAAAGGCACTGCGGCAACCCCGCAAGCCCCCAGCATAACATACATCGACCTGAACGCCATCTCTCCCAGCAGCGCCAAGTCCATCGCCACAATGTTTTCCACCCCAATGTCTCCGGCTTCACCCCGAAGGCTATCCATCACGCGCACGTTTTCTTTCCACAGGAGGGAGTCGGAACCCGAGCTAGACCCTATATCAATCAACTTCCTCGACGGCGGTATCATTGGAGGCCCCCCGGCGCCCAAGCAGGATCAAACCTGGAAGAAGCCCTCCATTGTCATCTCAGGGCCAAAGTCCGACCACCTGCTCACCCCCTCCTTCATCGAACTACTAAACATGAAATTACTGGGCCCAAAAATCGGCCAAGCCTCGGCCTTGAAATCCTGTTTCGCGTCTCTCACCAAGGGCATGACTGCTTTATCCATCCTGTCTTTCACCACCGCACATAGCTGCGGCGTGCTCAAGGAGCTCCAAGAGCATCTCGCCGAATTCAGCCCGAAGACGCTTGATCTGGCTGAAGCCGGGCTCGTGGGCATGCCACCCAAAGCATACCGCTGGGTGGAGGAAATGCGGCAGATCAATGAGACCTTCTCTGAAGAAGGCGGTTTTAGTGCCGCTGTACTCTCCTCGAGCACGAACGGTCATAACGGTCACCACAATCAAGCTCCGAACCACGGAGCCTACAACGGCAGGAATCTGGCCGGCATTTTTGAGGGTGTCGCCGAGATATACAAACTGATCGCGGATGACACGATACTAGGCGAGGAACGAGTAGAGAAACGGAAACGTGGCACCAATCCAGAGGATGTGGCTGAATGTGTAAAGGAAGGGATTGCGAAGAAGAAGAAGAAACTGGCCGATGAGGGCAGGGATCTGGAGGCGGCGTGGAGGGGGAGCTGGGGCGCTTAGCGGACCGTGGTATGCGAGTCGGCAAGGGAAAGTTGTGCTGACGATGCGGCGTCATATTCGACGGTGCGATGATTGATATTGCACTACTCTCGTCGGAATGCTATTGGTTGTAAGGATGGGCGCTGCCCTCACTCTCCGGACAGCGAGTCGTATAGCAGGCATACAGTAGACAAGGGAAGATGAGCAAACGGGACAGTACTGTGGTAGCAGATAGTATCGACTGGCGCTGAGTGGCGCTGATTGGCGTGTCGGATAAGGCCTGCCTGCTCCTCCAGGCCACCATTCATACTCATATCCGCTGGATGTCACTGCCGAGACTACAACAGTAGGGAGTACATGGTACTAACTGTGGTAGTGGGAACAACTCTCCCACTCTGCACTAAAGCGCAAAAGTGGTGTCGCTTCACCGTAGCTACCAAGGCTCGCCAGGACTGCGCACGAGATCAAGTGCAGAAACGGGTCTAAGCTTCACCGTAGTCGCAGAGACCACTTAGTCGTGCCAGTCACTCCAGTACGCAATTACCGGAAAGAGACATTTCGAAACGACGTCTCGACAAGTCACTGCTGCGGTAAGACTGTGGTCATCACTTCGTATTCCACAAACTTTCATCTTCTCCTGCCTCACCCTATGACCATTGTCCTTTTGATCTGCGCGAACGGAGAAAGCCCCTGCAATCGCCACGCCCCCAAGAACCATCTATCGAAATGATTTAATGACGGAACTCCTCCCGACATGCTCTTCGTCTCCGTCCTCCTCCGCATCCTGCAGCAAGACGCAAAATGTCGCTGAATCCTCTCGAAGACAGCCAGCCTGCTGGGCAGGTCCAGGAGACGATGCTCAAGCGCCCCGAGCCAAATGAGGAGGAACAAAACTACTGTCGAATATGCCGGGGCGAAGGCACCGTCGCTCAACCGCTCTACTACCCATGCAAATGCTCTGGCAGCATCAAGTTTGTTCACCAGGAATGCCTGATGGAATGGCTGTCACATTCTCAGAAGAAGTACTGTGAACTGTGCAAGACATCCTTTCGATTCACAAAACTCTACGACCGGTCCATGCCCGCGCGGTTACCCTTCCCCCTCTTCGTCCGCAAACTCGCTCGTCATGGCATTAGAGAATTTGCGCGTTGGACACGTTACCTGCTGGTGGCCATCATCTGGACTTGTTGCTTGCCTTGGTGCATCCGACAAGTCTGGCGAGGATTCCTTTGGCTCGCGGATGGTAGCACCCCAAGCCATCCCAGCACAGAAACGGCCGCGGTGGCTGTATCGAACACATCTGCCACAGGCTCCGCAGTCCGAGCGTCACAAACACAATTCGCCAATTTCACTGTCCCAGACTATCTGGAGCGCATAACATTGGTGTTTCCTCCAATGCTGATATCACTGGGCGACGTCGCGCGAGTCGTAGTTGGCCAGGGCTTCATTGGTAGGATTGTCGGTTTTATCCTGGCCATCTTCATCCCCAGGTTAAGACAAGTTGAGGGAACCGGCAATGAGCAAGACTTGGCGGACGAGGCGGCTGCGATGTCCTCAAGGCCTCCCTCCTTACTCTCGGACGTTGAATTTCTCTCCGCTTGGTCGGGTTCCCGAATGGTCAACAATGCCACCGTTGACATCATCGAGGGCCAGCTGATCTGCATACTGTTGGTCACAGCCTTTATCCTTGTGTTCCTCATTCGGGAATGGGTCATTAACCAGCAACCGATCTTGAATATGCCGGACCCTGATGCACTCGACAATCCTCTTCAAGAACGGCAAGCTGAGAACGAGAGGCCCCGCGTGGGCCTTCTTCGACCACGGAACCGCCGCCAGGGCGGGGAAGCAAATGCTCCGGCTGAAGGGGGCGCCATGGATCCTGCAGCACGGCCAATAGCCATTCCTAGACGGCGCCGAGCGCTGACGGACGATAACATACTAAACGATACGGGCATTGGCATCGAAAGACCAGCTCCACCGGTCCGGTCGCAGAGCCTGTTGACGAGCCCCGATGATATAGGGGAAGCCATCGTCGAAGAGGCTGCTGGTGAGAGTAGCGCAGTTGCTGATAATACTGAGGGTCAGCCAATCCGAAGGCGTAGTTCCAGCAGCCATCATACAACGGAAGATTCGTCTGTCGCGGCTTTAGGAGTCCAGACCATGGACGCGGGCAACTTGGATAGCTCTTCCATCGGGGCGCAAGGAGCATTGCCCTTGGAATTTGCGTTCAGAGGCTCTGAAGCTATCCGACTGCAACGGGACTCGCTACAGCACATGGAACCAAACGAAAGAGATCTGCCAGAGCCCCTGGGGAGGACCGTCTCGTTCGCGCAAAACCCCGATGTCATCGACGAAATAGCAATTCCCCCAGGACAAGTCGATGCCCATGAAATTGCGACCGACTCAGATGGGCAAGTAATCCCTACGCCTGATTCTTCAAACGATACAGACTTCTTGCACCCCGGAGGAGAGTTCCTTGGCACCGATCTCCAGGAAGAGCTTTTCGACAATGTACCTGGGATAGATGCCGAAGAAGTCACTGTCCCCATCGACCAGGAGCCTACAGCCGATGACTCTTTGATTGGCAGAATTTCAAAGTGGCTATGGCATACAGATGTGGAAATCGACACGCCGGGGGTCGCGGAAGTTCGCGACAGCCCCCACGCTGACACGCAAGACGAGGAACACATCGTGGAGGATGTCAACGTAGAGGCACCTTTTGTCCCTGTCCACAACCGAGAAGCTCCTCAGATTCCACAACTGCCCCCAGCAATCGAAGCACGACCTGCAGAGCCCCGAGAGCCGAATATGTTCATGGGTGTCGATCTCAACGACGCCGGAGATGACGCGGAAGATCTTGACGGGGTGCTAGAACTCCTCGGCATGGAAGGACCCATATTCGGCATGGTTCAGAACGTTCTCTTCTCCTTTCTACTCATCACAATCACTCTGACAATGAGCTTCTGGTTCCCGTACATGTGGGGGAAGATTGCCCTTCTGTTTCTGTCGCAGCCGACTCTCATGCTTGTACGGGCACCGCTGTTCGTCTTGTCGCGTTCAGCAGATATTGTTGTCGACGTCATCTTTTTCGTGGTTGGGCTCACCGGTTTTCTGTTCAGCCAGCCGATGAAGCTCATGAGAGCACTTATATCGGGATTAGCACCATCCCTTGGCCGGATTCTCGACACTGCGACAATAGAAGGGTTTACCCTCGACCTGAGTCAGAAAAGCGGTACTCGACTGGAGAGGACTCTGGCCGCAGCCGTTCTTGGTCTCAGGCCAGACGTGCCAAACTTCTCGATGCAATCGCACCATGCGCTTATATCCCTGAAGAACCACCTGCGCAATGCACTACACGGCACGGCTTTCCTGGTAGTCCAGGTTGAAAAGGCTTTGACCTCTGACAGACCAAGTTCCGGCACCATTCTGGCGTCCTTTCAACAATCACTGAAGTCTGCTCCAGAAGTCTTCAAGAAGCTACCGCAAGTCAGAGAATTGGGATCAAACTTCGTTAACCTTCTATATACTGATCTCTGGACTGAACCAACACAGAGTGTCCACGATCTCGATCCTTCCCTCGCTGAGTGGAATAATCAGGACCGGATTCTTGCCATCATCCTTGGTTATGCTTTGTTCGCTGTCGCAGGTGTCGTATTCCTCGAAGTCGCGCATCTGGTTCTCGGGCTGAAGGACAATGAGAAAGTCGAAGGCTACTTCGCCGATTCTCTTCGGCAAGCAGGTGGCGTGATGAAAGTGATTGTCATCATCGGGATCGAAATGTTGGTCTTTCCGCTATATTGCGGACTGCTACTGGACCTAGCACTTCTTCCTCTGTTCGCCAACGCCACCGTGGCCAGCCGTGTCGCTTTTATGACGCAGACGCCGCTGACGGGCATATTCATACACTGGTTCATTGGTACATGTTACATGTTCCATTTCGCCCTTTTCGTATCGATCTGCCGGAAGATCATGCGCAAAGGAGTTTTGTACTTTATTCGCGATCCCGACGATCCCACGTTTCATCCCGTGCGCGACGTGCTCGAACGGCCTGTACCTGCACAATTGGGCAAGATCGCATTTTCGGCGTTGGTCTATGGTGGCCTGGTCACTCTATGCTTGGGTGGCGTCGTGTGGACACTAGACTGGGTTGGCGGCGTTCTACCCATTCGATGGTCTACACCAGAACCCAGGCTGGCATTTCCCATCGACATAGTCTTTTACAACTTCTTGCTTCCTTTCATCCTTCGAAAGGCCGAGCCATCAAAGAAGATCTCGGCAATGTATAAATGGTGGTTTCGGGGATGCGCCCGGTCACTACGACTCACGAATTTTCTGTTTGGAGAGGAGCGAAAGGATGAACAATACACCCATCCGAGAGGGTTTCCATGGAGGTTGTTCGCCCAAGACGGCATAACCGAACCGCAACGAGACGGCACCTACGTTCGAGCACCGGCATCCGACTCGGTGCGTATCGCGAAAGGGCGCAATGTCTTCCTCGAAGTCACGGAGCAGAACGAGAGAGTGGATGGTCGCCCAGATACCGATTTCGGCATGCATGGCAAGAAAGATCCTCAATTCACCAAGGTCTATCTGCCACCGAACTTCAGAAGCCGGATTACCACATTCATTGCCCTGCTCTGGCTTTTCGCAGCTGCGACTGGGGTGACATTCACCATTGGACCTCTGCTAGTCGGCAGAAAATTGACCCAACTGCTGTCCCAATCGCAGCATCCACCGAACGACCTCTACGCATTCACGGTCGGCGTCCACATCTTTGCCGCAGCTGGATATGCAATTGCTTACGCTAGACCAGCCAGAGACTACCTCGCAGCGAAAGTCACCTCCTCCGGGAAACAGATCCTAGGATCGATTCTGCACTTTCTTGGCTTGGCCTACCTGAGCATCTTTACTACTATCGTGCTACCTTTTGTTATGGCCTTGATTACGGAGCTGTACATTCACATGCCGCTCTTCGACGTGCTAGAGCTCATCAACCAAGAAAAGGCCCGAGTCACATCTGCTTCAGCCTCGACTTCAACCCCGACAGACAGGAAACGCCTCCCTGGCGCTACGATCTTTATCCTCCAGTCCTGGACAATTGGCCTGTTATACCTGAAGCTGCTGCTTCGCGTGCTGACTCATGCCACTGAACCCACCTCCCGACCGGCGAGGGCACTCCGGGCAATCACCCGCAACGGCATCCTTCACGCAGACGTCCCTCTGGCATCCCGCGCGTTCGTCCTCCCCGTCACGACGGTGTGCCTTGCACTCCTCCTCTGCCCTCTGACGTTTATGAAACTCATCATCGTGGTCTTCCGCGTACATGAGACCGAGAAGCAGATGCGGATGTATCGATTCGCGTACCCACTGTTCTTGTGGATGATGGTGAACTACGTTGGTGCAATGTTTATGAAGACGAAGGTGGAGAAATGGAGGGTCATGGTCAGGGACGAGGTTTATCTGCTTGGGGAGCGGCTGCATAACTTCCAAGAGCCGAAGCCGAAGGTTAGGAAGGTCGACGCCTCCAGCAGTAAGGGGAAGGAGAAGGCGTTGTAAAGAGACATTCTTGGAGCGACGCAACAGCCGTGGTGGGAGGATTGTAACGCATTGCATAGCGTGGCGAATTAGAAAGCTTCATGGTTCATGGCAACAGATGCCGGCTCAGACAGGCAGGCAGGTATCAAGCACTCTTCTCGGTACTCTTAGATGAAAACGAATCCATATTGTCAACCACGGCTGACGGGGTTGCACCATGTACAGTGTCTCCTTCCCGCGACAATCGGGGGGTAACAGCCTTTGTCGTGTTTGGTTTCTCTTCGATACGTGTACGTGTATTCGCCACAGGTTTGTATACGTCTCCCGGAGAGTTTCCTGGATTTACACATGTAGTCTCCTCAACAAGGGGCATTCGATGAGCCGCTCTTTTCGTCTGTCCTGAATGTGGATCGTCTGTTAAGTCCCTCTCGTCCTGACTGTGAACTATTCGTGGGGTTTCCAGTCGTCTAATCCGTACGAAGTATACTACAGAGTATATGTTGGATACTCTATACTATATATTACACATTTCATATTTACTACATATTACATATTTATTGTATATTGTGTACTACATACTACATAGCGTAAGTGAGTGAGTGGGTGAATGAATCAGGCAGTCATTCGTCCTTTATGCTTCCGTCGGCTGTTGCAACGGTGAGGGTCTGCTATACAGTACTGTAAATTAACAGATAGACAGGCAGATGGATAGACAGATAGACAGATAGACAGATAGACAGATAGACAGATAGACAGATAGACAGATAGACAGATAGACAGATAGACAGATAGACAGATAGACAGATAGACAGATAGACAGATAGACAGACAGACAGATAGACAGGCAGAGAGACAGGGTAGGGTAGGGTAGGGTAGGGTAGGGTAGGGCTGAACTGGAGCGTATACGTCAAGCATCACTAAATAGGCACTGTAGGTACAAGAGGTACGATAGGTATGTACATAGGATACGTACGTACGCACGTAGGCCCTATCCCTCCCTATCCCTATCCCTAAACTCTAGGCTGGTCGCGGAATTCTCTCGTCGCGTCTCAAAACTAATTACAGTACTCCGTACAGCATCTGTCTTGGCACCGAGTTTCGAGTTGATTTCCTTACTCTGCCGCTGCTGCCGCTGCTGCCGCTCGCTCTCTCAACTAGAGTTTCTTCTCGGCTGCCATCTTGGCGAACCGGGCCTTGGTCCTCTCCGCCACGGCCTTTTCATTCCAGATGTAAGTCACGCTGGGATGCTCGACAACTTTGGACGCCCAGGCCTTGAACTTTGGAGTCTTTTCGCCGAGTAGGGCGGGCAGCTTCGGGCTCAGCACGGCGTATTCAGGCTTGCTTAGAGAGAGGAGCCGGAGCACGAATGGGCCGGTTAGAGCCTACATCATTTTGCCAGGTTAGTTAGTTACCAGTTGGTTGCCAAGTTAGAACGAACGTTCTGAATACTATTATTTCTAGAGCATGGAGCATAGATAGATAGATACCTAAGACAGGGCTCCGGGATTGAGAAGGAGGGGGATCCGGAGAAGAAGAAGAAGAAGAATGTAAGAGACATACCTCCGCGAGAGTCAGCCGCTGACTGCCTCCGAAAAAAGGCCCCGCGTCGGCATCCCATGTGAAAAGGGGTTCTAGTTCCTTCGCCACGGCCGCGACCAGCGCATCCGCGGCTTCATCTTTCTCAGCCTCTGACTGGGCGCGCTGGCCGGCAAAGATGTGCGGCAAGGCCTTGCTGATGAATGCGTCGGCGAAGAAATTGACGCGGGCGCGGTACAAGGCATTGGCCGCTCCATTGGATGGAGGGAGTAAAGGCGACGGATGTGCGTCGGCGAGGAATTGCGCCACGACGGCCGACTCGGTGATGATCTCGCCGTTGTAGCTGACGCTGGGGACGAGGCCGCGCTGGATTGGGACAAGGAAAGGCGTTAATGTACTGGGAAGTTGAAAGGGCATGGGACCGGGGGGAGCAGTTGTGGTGTGAGCAAACATGTCACATCATGCCCCGTCATGTGTTGGGGAAGATAGAAATGCCATGGCGCCACATGGGACAACCTACCGGGTTCACCTTGAGATACCATGGATCACGCGGTCGATCCAAGTCGATGATTTCCTCCTTGTAAGGGAGGCCCAGCTCTTTGATGGCGATATGAGCGCGATGTGCCCATGGGCAGCTATGGTTGGTGTACAGGATGATTTCTGGATGACTGGTGCCGTTTGTTGCGGGAGTCCCGTTTGTGGCCATGGCGGAGACGGCTGTGCTCTGTACTACGGGAGTTTGGATAGTCAAGGACGAGGTGTTGGATGCACCCAGAGATCCTGGAGCTTGTGTCGTTGTTAGTTATTATGTGTCTGGTGAGCATGGCATGAGTCGTCGCTATATTCTCCAAGGATTGCGAGATGTCGATTTGTCATCCTGCCAATCCAATCATTGTCGTGCGTCTCGTCCTGAGGGGGAGACGCAGGGTGGCCGCCGAGGCTGGTATCGAGGTGGCAGTCAGAGCGGTCCCAGGGCATGACTCGCTCAAGTCCGATGCGTGGTAGAAGAGAGTAGATGAAGATGTGGCACTTGTCCGTGGGCCCTGGATCTCGAGAATTATTTCGGTCGTAGCATGCAGATACACGGCCACTACTGGATGTATTGTGCTCGTGTTCAGCAAGGCGAGAGTCAGTCCCAGGTGAGAGAAACAGATCGTCTCCCAGTGGCACTTAAGTACGATCTTGCTAAAGACAATGAAGTCAAAGGGCGACTCACCAACAAGTATTGAGCCATGCCGCTTCACTGTAAAAGCGCTCACTCTGGTCTCCCTCGCCTTCACACTCTGGAGGCCATGATGGCCAACGATTCCATGAGCTTCACCTGTGTTCGCATACAAGCATGTCGTACGTTATCATTGGTAGAGCGCATCGCAGGATACTCGGGAAGCTTATCACGAGAGCCTCTTCCATCTGACGATTCCAGGAGGCGCGGAGCCTACAGGCCTCGACGAAGAAAGAAAGAAAAGAGAGAAGAAGAGACCCAGTCATCGTCTCGAGTGGTAAGTGAACAAGGTACGGGGACTGTTCTGTTTGTACAGTGTTTTGTTGCTGTTCCTCCAGTGGTCGGACGCGGTCCTCCGGTGGCGGACACACGGGAAATGCCCCCAGCACAGGCACGACAGATGCGTGACAGCTGTCGGACAAGCGGTACATGTAACGACAGCGCAACGAAGAGCCGGCAGAGAGTAGCGCGTCCCGAGAACCAGTCCGCGGCAATACTCGTGTACCGCCGGTCAGTGTATATGGACGAATCACACATGGCAATGTATTTCAACCTTTTACAAGCCAACGTATTTTGGACTCGAGCTGCCGGGTATCGCTGGTTGGTTGCGACACGGCTCGTCGCTGCAAGAAGCGTATGTGGCGGCACGTTCGCAGCAGCGCTGAGATCAGCTCTTCATCTGTAAAAAGAACTCGTCATAGGTCACATCTGGCACAGGACTGCAGAAGACGCACTTGTCGCATGTCTGCATGGCCCATTACCAAAAAGCCACGTACATCAACATATTGTAGGATTGTTCCGTGTCGCCGAGCTCGTCAAACCGGGCGCCCTGAAGTTCCTTGCGGATGCTCTCAGCTTCCTCCTTGTATTGGGCGGCTTCGGCCGACTGACCTGCCAGGTCCAAAGCCTCTGCAAGTCGACGCATCACCCGAGCCGTCTCTCGACGATCTCCTCTGGCATCCTCTAGCAATTTGCAGATGAGAAGGGTCTGTCGAAGCATGGGTCTAGCGAGGCTTGTCAACAATAAAATCTAGGGCAAAAAGCGACATCGCCGGTTGTCCCATGTCCAGGGCGGGACTTACATTGCGTCCTCAAGCCTTCCCTGTTTCATGGCGATACATGCAAGCTTCAGTTGAGCCGCCGTGGTCGAAGAGTGGATGGGATTACTGGCTGTAAATAGCGCCTCGGCACGCGAGAAACACGCCTTCGCTGTGTCCCACAGGCCTTGATCGTAGTAGACCTTTCCGACATCATAGTCGGCCCTGGTGGATACATCCATGTCAGCCAGCTGCAGAAAACAGAATCCGCTCGGTGACCCATTCGTACAACTTACGTGGCGTCGAAATGGGTGTCTCGTCCAAATAGCCTGACGGCATAGTCCCTCGCAACGTTGATGTACTCAATGGCCTTCTCGTGCCTCCCTTGCAAGTTGTACAGGATGCCGTTGTTGCCCAGACGAATGTGCATGATGGAATTACAATGGTCAACGCCATGGGTTTTGTCAATCTCGATGGCCTTGTCGAAGAGTTGCTCGACCTCATTGAGGATCTCCTTCGAGGCATAGGTGGACATCAAAAGGTTGCCGTACGTGGTATAGATGTCGGCAATGTCTTTGTCTGTCGGACTGAGGAGTTGTTCTCTTCTGTCGCGGACTTGCTGAAGCAACGGCAGCGCTCTCGCCACCCTGCCTCGCTCCAGCTCGGCCACGCCGGCTGTATTGCAGATCTGCACATACAAGAGGCCGTTTTTGTCCTCACACACCATGTCGACGACTTCCATGACATCTTCGAGCTCAGAGTACGAGCCACTTTCCATCAAGTACCTGGACAGATTCAGTCAGACGCCTCCACGGCGAGCAAGAAAACATACCAGGCACAACTGGCCAGCAGCTTGGTCAAGAATTCGAAGTCCCCGGTCCTTACCACCTTGAATTTGTATCGGCAATAATTCGTACAGACAGACATGACGTGCTCGACATATTGTTTGCAGACTGGCCACTCGTTGCGCAACGGCAACCCATGCGCCTGTTTTGGGAACGCTTCATAGAGAAGGCGACAAGCGTGCAGAAAATTCGTGTAGCGTTGATCCGCACCGAGCCAGTCTCGAAACTGTTCCTGGACAAGACGATGAACGCGCAACATATCCGTATCTTCGTCGTTCGTCACTAGAGCTGTTTCCACAACGCTTTCCAAGGTTTCCTCCAGTCTGCTCGGGCTGGTTAGTCGCGGACATTTCATTCTCAACGTCTGCACAGAATATGTGGTCTGTCAAATAAAACTTGCACTTACTGGAGGGGATCAATGCAGAACAAAAGGTCGTCTGTGAGATCGCTGGCTGCAGGAAGCTGAAATAGGGCTCGAGGAATCCCCTCAGCGGAAAGGAAGCTCAGAATTCCCAGCAGCCTGGAGGGATCGGCGTCCAATGGCTCGAAAGAAGTTTCCCACACCGAGTCAATGCTTTGGTCGTAGTACAGGTTTTGAACTGTCTTCTTGGGTCGGAGGTGGATGATCGGATTGTTTTGATAGCCACGCAGGAAGTTTTCCACTTTGGTGCCTCGAGCCCGAATCTGTCCGCCCAATAGGTTCAGTGCCAGCGGGAGACCGTCAACCTCTCGGGATAGTTCTCTTGCGGATTGGGTCTCGGTCGTCGAATAGGCCTTCCGGCCCAGGAGTGACTGCAACATGCTCGAACCTTCCTCTTCTGTCATGACAGGCACCTGGCATCCGCCTGAGGCAGGGTTGAGCTCGAAGACTTGGTATCGACTGGTGATGAGGATGGAACCAACTTTGCCGGCAGGCCAATACTTTTCGATATGCGTAGGACTCTCGACGTTGTCGAACACGAGTAACCATGGTGTGCCTCCCCTCGGCGTTAGCAACGCCGTTCCAGACATGCCCGAGACCATGGGACTTACGAGTGCTATGCAGCCATTTCATGACCAGGTATCGATTCTGTTCGTGATCGCCATCAGCTATCGCTCCTTTCATTTGGAGACTCATGGCGATTTCTGTAAACCCCTGAGCGATGTCGAGAGGCGTTTGGCTTCTAACCCAGAAAATTGCCTGCAGCCCTTGGTCCAATTGCTCGTAAGCATAAGCTAGGGCAATTTGCGTCTTCCCGATGCCACCGATACCCCAGATGGCCCATGAATTCATTTGCTGCTGTCCAGGCTTGAAATCAAGCTCGCTATGCAGCTCGGCCAGAATGTCTTTCCTCCCGGAGAAGTGTTTGTTGCGTGGGAACGGGAAAGTGTCGCAAGGAAGCTTCACGTCTCCATCTGTTGTCAGGTTAGACACAGTGTTGATGGATTCCAAGCGGGCGCCCAAGTCCTGCACCATCTTGGCGTGCTGTTCATATAGCATGCGGGACGTCACCGCTTGAGCCGATTCCTTGACAACTCTGGTATGTCGTTGGATACGTTGCATGGTTGCAGAATACTCGGAGAAGACATCGCTCCATGGGCTCGTGGTCATGTTGACTTGGCTCCCGGTTAGCTTTTGTCAGCAGCAACATTCGAATGCTCACTCGTCGGACTTCGTCGCAAGTACTTGATGGCGAGCGACCAGAATTTGATCATTTCGACGTATACAAGGACCAGTGTCTCACGAAGGGCCGGATTCAGCGGGAAGAGCCACTCGTATTCCTTGAGCACACGGATGTCGGAGCTCATCTGTTCGAGCCAGGGTAGAAGCTTTGACGACACCTCCGTGGACCTGGCAGAGAGCTGCTTGCGTCAGTCGATGGGTTTTCATAGGCAAAGTGTGGAAGACGCGACACCGACCTCGATGAGAAGGCCCAGTATGCCCCAGACCAGTGTAGTCTTGACAACATCACCGTGTAGGGCAAGCGCCATAAGCATCACGAAGCCTCGAAGATGGCTTAGGCATGGTGCTACTTTGACCAGGTATCTTTGAATCACGTCGGACTTGTAAGCCTTGTACATAGCCTCCAGGTTGTTCAGCAAGTCTTCGCTCGAAGTGAACTCATCCAATTTGAGAAAATCCTGACGGCCCAAAGTACTCTGGCAATGGGAAATGGCCTCATCCCATATTCGTGTAGAGAAATCTCCCCTGTCGTTTGTGAGAAGCGAGAAGGAATACAATTTGAATTTCTGTCTGGGGACTTACGTTTCGTTGCCCGCGTCCAGCTGCGAGGTCGTGGACGGATCGGTGGACTGGTCGGAGGCCATTGCGCCGCTTGATAGAGTTCACCTTACGGACACCTCATTGTCATCTCAGTTCTTGAATGTGAATGCGGCGCCACTGGTCCGAGGCCCACAATGTGAAGCCGCGATGCTAGTCGGTTGTAGAGGGAGCGCCAAGGTTTAAGGAATGCTGCGATATTCAAGGTGTGAAGAGGTGAATTCGAGGGCGGTCTGAAAACGGCGGCAGTCTCTGCATTGTAGAGCGTAGAACCTCGAGCTCGTTGAAAGGGCGACATTCGGCCAGGGTCGTCAATCGAGGTTCGTTCAATGGACACAAGGCCTATGCATTTGTGCATGGAACCTCGAGGTTGTTGAATGGTCCGTCATCTGCGCAGACGCATTCATCGAGGTTCGTGCAGGATACGAGCCCTGTCCATTCTTGCATTCGTGCATGGTCAAGGTCGATCTCAGGAAGCACAAGAAACAAGGGAGGCGTGCTAGAAACCACGCCGCAGTAGCAAGAACAACAGAGAGAAGGGCTGCATCACAGTCATGTACCACAGCAGGCTTGCAGGGTATTGACAACAGCCTCGTATTTCTGGAGCTGAGGTGTGAGAGGAAGGCGAATGGTCGAAGCGCGGCCATGCAACAGAGCAGGTCAGGTCACACCATGGCGGGGTATTCTTGACGTCGACGGGCTGATGGGATCGATTACAGCATTGAGCATAGACAGGGATTCATTGTCGAGCTACACATTCTTGAGGGAAGACAGGGATTCATTCATGCATACTCCGTACAGGGATACACTTTATCCTCCAACGAAAATCCTCGAGCCGCAGACCGGTCACGGCAAATGCAGTGACGAGGGAGCTTTGATCCAGGTCATTCATGCCCACAGACTCTTTCCCACCACTGCCAGCCTCACCGACACGGGGCACCGACAAGGGACACCACATGTGCCGCATGTGCCGCACTTGGTCATCACGATCTGCTGTACACGGTATTCACCAAAGCGAGCGACATACTGCACGTGTGAAATGTCGGTCATCACATACTCCGCGAGGCTGGACAGTCATCCCCTTCAAGTCGAGCTCGACCCGAGAATCGGTCTGAGCAACCAGAAACATGGCCACCAACGTCCGGGGTACGGTCCGATTCCTGGCGGACCTCCCTCTCTACGGAACCGAAAAGCCCTATCGGCTTCTCCTGCCCGCAGGGATCGAGAACGGTAATATCAAGACGCACAACCTGGTGTACGAAGAGACCGAGATCAGCTGCATTCGCGACCTTCGCGGCCACGAAGCCGAATTCGACATCGACTCCGCCGGCTTCGAGGTCGTCCAGCACTGTAGCGGCTTCACCACTGCGGCCACGGGCCAGGAATTGCTGGATGGATATAAGCGGGAGACGGAGCAGTTTTTGCTGCGACATTTCGGCGCGAGCTACGTGTATTGCTGGGACGCTTTGGTAAGTAGATACATGCATAAGCTTTGCCGTGCACAAAGCGGCGGACGCGGACGCGGACGCGGAATCGATGGACCACATGATCACATGGATTCCGCTTCGGAATAACAGTAAAGGTAACCATGAAAAGCAAGGCCACCGGGCCACCGGGTGACATGCGCGATGGACGGGGAGGAGAGGCTCCCCCCTCTAATGGGTTCTTTTTAACTGGTTATAGGTACGGAAGCGGAAACAGGCTGTACGCGAGCAGTTCAACATTCGGGACCGACTCGTGGAAAACATCCCAGTGTACCACGCCCACAACGACGAGACCTTCTCTAGGGGCTGGGAGTCACTCAGCTTCCGGCTGGGAGAAGACCGCTATCGCAGATTTCTCGAGTCAGGGTGCAGGATCCGCATGGTCAAGTGAGTGCGAGCATAATTACCCGCCACATAGAGGCCACGAGACACTGATCTCGAAGCACAGCACCTGGCGATCGCTGGTCGATAGCTTGGAGGACAACCCGCTGACACTCTGCGACTGGCGGTCGATCGACCCACGAAAGGATCTCATCGAGTCCGACCAGATCGTGCCGTCGCGGGAAACGGAAATCTATCACATCTTTGCACGGCCACATCATCGATGGCACTGGCTTTCCAGACAACGTCGTGACGAGGTATACATCTTCTTGCAGTTTGATACGCGGGCAGATGGGAATGCGCGATGTAGGTGAAAGCTACAAGGCGTTGCACACCGTGGAGGTTGACACGCAAAATTAATAGGCTGCCCACACTCTTCATTCACCAACCACGACGCGCCCAAAGATGCACAAGTCAGACATAGCATCGAAACGAGGTCCATTGTAGTGACTGATCATTGAGAGAATCTCTGTTCTTGTCTGGCCAGCTTCATTGCCTACATAGATGAATGTGCCAAGGCTTGAACGCTTGAAAGTTGAACCCTTCCAGTGGTCCGTTGTGAAGAGGTCATGGATTGTCAGGTACAGCTCTCAAGTTTCGCCGGAGAGACCTGGTTGATGGTGACGGCCGGAACAGGTTCTTTGGCTGTACAGCACACGTTAGGAAGTGCGGACATTCAGGAGCTCCAGGAGGAAGGAAGGCCTACCGTCGAACTCAAAGGCCACCCTCGTTAGAGCCTCCCTCGGCCATACCATCTCCATGGATGACGATCATCTCTTTGCCGTCCTTGACATACTCGTCGGATGGCTTGAAGAAGTTCTTCCATGGCTGTACCTTTTCAGTTGCCGAGGGGCCCGGCTCCGATGACCCATCGTTGAGAGGGTCAAGTGTTTGAGCTGGTCCAGCGTCTTCCTCCATCATGCTCTCGGCAATGGCTTGGTCATGGTTTTCTGAAGGCATGTTGTGTTCGAGGGAAACGAGCACCTCCGGAGTAAAAGATTTCGCAAGTGACTGACTGTGTTTGTGGAATGAATCTGCAAGAAGAGAAGGGAGAGTCCGTGACAGCCTGCTTGTCCACCGCTTTATGAAGCCACGGTGCCCAAGCGGTATCATGACTTCCAATCGCTTTTTGGAACTCCATCCATGGCCGTGGGCATGGTATTCGGCAATGTCGACCGCGGCACATGGTAATCGACCTCGACGCGGCAAGTCTTCAGTGGCATATCATTCACAGAGTGGTGTAAGGCCTAGCAAGTTGATTCGCGAATGCCTGCAGCATGTCGATGCGCAAAGGTGATACAGACTAACTCGAGCAACGTGCATTAGTGTGGACGTAGAAATCAACGTGACTGTCTCACTGCAATCCCATTCGTGATCGCTGTCATTGTTCTATGCTCTGACCCTGTTCATGCCAGTGCTCTCAGGCTCTAGACAGCGGAGAGGGCCAGGGTCCGATAAGCCACAGCGATCTGGACCGCTGAGAGAGCACACTGGATGACTGACAATAACACGCCGATACTGCCAAAGATGGCCACAGCCCACAGGGTGTACCACCTGGTAAGGTCCCGTTTGTCCGCCCACAACGCTTTCCATCGGTTGGGATGCTGTCGAATCATATACTTCTGCAGAGCCTCAAGTCTTGGTGTCAAGAGGGGGAAGAATTCGTCCTTCTCGTATGATTCCGTCATGGGATCCGGTATTGGCTGTGTCGAACCAACGTTCGCTCGGGCCAACCCACAAAGCTGGTCCAAGAGATGATCTCGAACTCCCCATTGCTCGGCTCGAGTTTTCTCGTGTCTTTGATACATGCAGCGCCCCCCTTTGCTGTCCCCGAATATTAACCTCGTCGAGAGCATGATCTCACGCAAAAAGGCCGGGGCTGAAAAGCCGTGAGGCCGTGTCCACTCGTCGTAAAGTGACTCGAGAACTCTACAATCATCGTCAGACTTCTCGACTCTCGTTCATGCAACGGTGCTGGGAAGGCCTACCTGGCCACGGCTGAATCTTGTGAACAACTGACTTCACAGAATGAGGGCGATCGAAACAAGAACAATCGCTTGTGGACCACATCAAAGTCAAGGTGTGCACTGATTGAGTCAACCCATTCAACCGAGATACCGCCAACACTTCGGAGCACATTGCCGTTGAGATGAGAAACCGAGAAACACTGCGCAAGGTGCGCCACCGACAGGTCCAATGAGTCGTGAACTGCCTGCCTCGAACGCTTGGTGGGTGTGAGGCTCGTACCCATTGCTTGGATCAGCTCGCTTAGCGGTCTTTCCGCTATCTGGATAGGTAGAGACATGGAAGTGAAGATCTTTGTGCGCTCCGCTCTGATCCTGAAGCAGAGATCCTGCGTCCCCTGGTCGGGCATTTCAGGCGTGAATAATGATGTGATCGAGCCCACGGCAAAGAAGACAATCTGCCGGTGCGCATTGAACGACTGTTGCACATGGTTGCCCTCGAGTAGGCCAGAAGTGACCAAACCCTCGAGGAGACTGTCTATGGTCGGCTGGTCTTGACTTCTGATTAGTGTTGCGACCCGCGCCATCAATCCCACAACAAATTCCACTTTGAATTGCAACGATGTCAAGACGTGACCATTGGTGGTCAGGACTGGTTGCGCAATGCTGTCGATAACATCCTCGATGCGCCGCAGAACAGTAGTGAGGTAGGACGTCTGACTTGGTTCTAGGTCGGCCGTAGAACTGACAGGATTTCCTGACACGGCTGCGATGAAGTCTCGACCTATGTCGGCATCTAGGCGGTACGCTATATGGCATTCATCAGTGTCTTGCTTCAGCCTGATCTTTCTTCTTCACGCACTGTTCGCTGCCATCTGTATAGCTCTTGATAAGTCTCACTATTGAGAAGCACACCTGCGCCCCGCCACAACAACGTTCAGCTGAACAGCGAGACACCTGTTGAGTTCGGGTGGGAAGGCTGTACTTATGCCGGTATACAGGGCCATCGCGAATGCTCGACGCCCCATAGCGCATTTCCTGGAAGGCATAAGTCGCCTTCCTTGCCTTTCGTCTCTCCCGTGAAGGATCGAATTTCAGCCGGCTTTTTGCAAGTCAGGCCCAATGATCAGGTGGCGGCAATCACCCTTGGAAAGCCCCAGCTGCTAGGTGACGCCCCCGGAACGCGACGAACCAGTTACCCTGCGCACCCCGTATTGGTGGCTGGTCGTTTGGGCGCCCCGAGCCCCGTCCATTCGCCGAAATTTGCTCTGCCGCCCGTTGGATTGTAGGCACTGCTTAGGATTGGAAGACCGGGACCTATCAACGTATGATGGCGACACCAAGTCCGTGAACTGCGTGGAGACCTTTCTGCCTCTTGAGAGCGAATTTGCGACCTGCAGCTCTGCCCCCACCTTGTAGTTGGTATCTCGTAGGATGATGTGTTCTGACTCTGCGGTTGAAACCAGAGAGGCGGACAGCAGAACGGGACAGTGAGATACGCCAAACGTTGCTCCGGTTCAGGTTGTCTTGGCTGGTCCAGGCCGAAAATGCGGATAGGAAGCTTGTGGTATTGACACGATCAGCATCTGTATTGGACAGCGTGGCCGGGACAAGCGTCACAGGGACCAGGATGGCACATCACTTACTGCGTTGACACGTCCGAGAATTCTGCTGCGCCATGTGGTCGACAGGGACCAGCAAATGGTTCCCAGCATGTAGCACGCCTTTACTTGAAATGGCGTCCACGTCTTCTTTGGTTTCTTTGCATTCGGCAGTGGTTTCTGCTCTGCCTCGCCTGACTGCGGACACTGATTCGTCCGAGTCGGCTGCCTTCACCGACGATTTCTGCAGATGCGAGCAATATTGTTGACGTTTCGGGGTCTTAGCTTTGCTTCCTTGTCGCCTCCTTCAGAACTGATCCGCAACGTCAGGCGGTTCTGCTCAGGCCTCATGGCGTCCACGGGATCTCAGAACGATTCGCACAGCGCCGTGAACCTTCTTACAACTTCGGCACATGAATTACAGGCTTTGCAGTCGGCAGGCACGCTCACCGCTGCTGCTCTGCTGCAGCTTTGCTTGAGCCAGGTTGAACAGTACAACAGCAGTCTCAAAGCCGTCATCGCACTGGCGCCTGTGGGCTACTTGAGGAAGGTGGCAGTTGGACTTGACCAGGAACGACACAACGGCAAGGTCAGAGGACCGCTACATGGGATCCCAATCTTGCTCAAGGTGAGCGTCTCCCTCTCTTACTCAGCTCGGCCCGAATAACCAAGATCTAGGACAATCTCAATACGAGTTCAGATATGGGCATGGACACTGCCGCGGGCTGTTTGGCTTTCACAGAGACGCACCCAAGATCTAGCGCAGATGTCGTGCAAAGAATGATTGCCGCAGGAGCGATCGTGATGGGAAAAGCAAATCTCTCGGTGTGACCGCGTCCTGTCCGTTTCAGGAGCAGGAAAGCTGATATCCTCGATCAGGAGTTAGCATATTTCAAGTCAGTCCCCCGTGAGAGCCGGGCATATATCAGCCTGACTTCCTTCGGCCATACTCATGCGATCACAGGTCGGAGACCCTGCCCTGGGCATGGTCAGCACTGGGGCACCAAACACAATCGGCGTATGTCTTTGGCGGGTTCGACCCCTCCGACGGCATAGGTGGACATTCGGTATGGACGCCAATATTGATTGCCCGCTCTCCCAGCTGACCCTCGCAGAATCCTGGTGGTTCCTCGTCCGGTTCTGCCGTTGGAGTCAGCGCCGGGTTCTGTCCGATTTCGCTGGGAACAGACACCATTGGGTCCTTGACGATTCCGGCCACGCGTGCAGCGCTATATTCCATGCGACCATCGGTGGGGCTGGTTTCCACCGAGGGTGTTTTGCCTGTGTCGACAGACTACGATACCGTTGGGCCAATGGCAAAATGTGTTCGCGATATAGCGGACACGCTGGACGTACTGGTGGACCGCCACAACGCGAACGTCCCTGGGGGCAGTTACTCCCATTTCATGACGCGAGATTGGTCTGACATCTCCGTCGGAACACTTGACCCATCGTTGTGGAAATTCAATCCAGATATCACGAAGCCAGTACACTCAGCGACTGTTCAAATGGTACGTAGGTGAGCAGGTCCCACAAGCGTCAGTGCTCAATGGATGATTCGGTCCTCTTCGACTTCCATATGTGCTGAGATTATCTAGATAAATGAGACTTCAGCGGCCTACAAGAAACTAGAGAAGCTCGCCAAAAAAGTTTGCAATGTGCCACTGATTCACGGTGCGGAACTTGATAAGATCGACAACGCTGGGGATGAGTTGCTCTGTAGGTCGATTTCCCGATCTGAGCACCCGGAAGCTGACAAGTAGAAGTCGGTGGTTACGATGAAGCTCTCAAAGGATATCTGCAGACGCTCGAGAAGCCAAAAGTCTCAAGTGTCGCCGAGTTGGTCGAATTCAATCAAGCACACGCCGATGTGGAATTACCAAAGGGTGAGTCTGAGAACGGGAATGACACAAAATACCAGTCACTAACTACCTGGAGGCTACGACAAGCAGGATATGCTGATTGCTGCAAGGGATGCCCGAATGAGCAAGAAGAGATATCAAGAGCTGCGACACCAAATATCTGTCAGCCTGGCCAATGCCGGTGTGGATCCCATATTGAAACAGTACGGTGTCGATGTCATTATCGGGCCCAGCGACAGTGACATTTACACCGTGTTCGGACTTTCTGGTAGGCAATCATGCAGCTGGATTGAATGATGCTAATCGGCGAGTCAGGCTATCCCGCAGTCACTCTGCCGCTTGGCTACCTCGAATTCAATGGCCGCCCTTTCGGTTTGGTTGCATTGGCATCTCACCATCAAGAACCGTTGCTCATCAAAGTTGCAAGTGCGTGGGAAGCGACCTTTCCAAAGCGCCAGCCGCCACGAGCCCTCGAGGAGCATCGCAAAGGCCACTCTGGATCGCTGTGAAGGCTTGATCAATGCACCGACCTGCAGAATATCTACCCCAGATACTTTGCCACAAGTCGTGCCCTTGGGCTGTTCCACCTTCAGCATTTCCGACCGGTTCTATGGCCATACACCTTTAGGCCGGCCGACAAGACATGGCCTTCGGCCCCGTGCTTCAAGCCACTGAGCTCGTCAGGCATACAATGAAGATCGATCCAGTCGACCTTGATGACATCGTTCATCATCCTTGGTTATCACAATTGATCGGGTTTCAATGCTGCGACGTGGGGGCGCCGATGTTTCTGCCCTTGGATCGAGAAAGGCGGTATGTGGGCAACCTAGTGACAACACGTCGTTAGGTACGTGGTACTTGTTGTCAATATAGAAGATGCACGTACAAGCTTTGCCAGCAGAATCGTAGACGACAAAAGTCCACATGTCTTCAGGGCTCATCCCCTCACACCAATACCTAGCACTGGATCTTTAGCACTGCTACGGTATGCACGTCTGAGGGTGACATTACCAGGCTTGATCGTCGTTGTGCTTCAGGTAATAGACTTCGCCCACCCGGCTCGGCGTGACCTTGTCGGCAGCAATGAGGTCTCCGTCTGCTATCGACCGGTAGTCACAGACAGCAAGAGGACTATCTTCAATGGATGGCAGAAGTCCACGCCACGTGCTGGAGAGACACGCAGATTAGCTTGTATTCCCAAAATCACCTGCGCCTAGCCCCTGAGGTGGTCGTGTACTTGACAATCCTGTATCGATATCGAGTCATCGGGTACATCTCTCTTGTCTTGCAGGGAAGATGTCGCTCGATCATGTCCACGCCACTTTTGGGAGTCGCGTCTGCTTCAATCAGTACTGTCCAAGCCCATGAGGGATAAGCACAAATAAATTCAGTACATACCATTGTGCACGCGGAATGCTGGTGGATGAGGTGACATGGGATCCCTCAGGTCCGTCGACGAGCTGGTATCGCGGACATTCTGACGCAACTTTTATGTATGTACCTGTCAATACTTGTATGCTTCACAACACACTGTCTAGAAGGGATTGCAACTAACGCACCACGACATCGTAGCAGATGGCCCGCTCTGCCGCGAATGTTTTTCGAAGAAGCTCTTCCGTCTCCAACCGATAGCTTGTCACGTCTCGTGGTTCTTGTATGGGAATACTTGGACTAGTATGACGAAGCAGTTGAAATCCGCAAGCGTCCAACGTCAAACCAGGGCGGCATCTTGCTTCACGGATATCGACCCAGTGATGAGACCACTCTAAGTTGCTACAGCGGGGGAAGTCGTGTCGTATGGTCTTCTGTTCTTGTTCTGGCAGGAGGATCGAATATGGTTTCTCGATTTCATAGCGAGGCGAGTTTGAGAGGAACGTCAGTTGGGCTCGGATGTCAGGCATATTGAAGGTTGCCTTCTCTACACAACAGTGGGACTTCAAGCTTTGATTAGTCTGTGTGGTACGGCTTGGAGGGCGACCATTGACTAGAAGGATTGCAGACCAACAGAAAGGGAGAGAGAGAAGCGCTCGTCAGGCTCATGGCCAGTGCAGTTACCTTCGCCACGCCACCCCGCAGTCAACCACGCTGCTTGTGCGCAAGGAAGGGCAGCCAGGGAGAGGATAGGGCCAGTCAAGTCAATGGTACTCGTCCTTACAGGAGGCAAGCAAATTCCGTCCCGGCATTTGCACCTTCAGGCAGCCCGGAGCGGTAACCTTTACTGCAGTATTTCATACGAAAAACGGGGATGAAGGCCTCGTTTTCGATGGAGAAAGATGCTGAGCACAGGCAAGCTGTTCGGCTGACTTCGGTGGCTGGGCCATCTCAGAAGGACATGGTTTAGAAGGTGGTGTGGCCGTGATGTCGAGGCCATGATTGCTACGAAGGACGACGGCAAGGACAAGGACTTCAGTCATTGCGTCGCACTATTCTCCTTCGGAGTTGGGTTCTATATTCTCAGGTGATTCCCCTTTGCGGCGCTGGTCGCCGTGTGTGTGGCGAATGGATTTGCTTCGACCTCTGTATCTGTCTGGAATCGGTTCAGATCACTCAGACTGCTGACGTACTTTACGTGGTGATACTGCCATCCACTGCACTTCTGAGAGACGTTTCATTATTTACCAGTACGGCTAAGCGCGTGGCGTGGCCCGCAAAGCCTCTCTTCTTTCCGACAAGATACGATGAAAAGGGACCTAAGATGCAGTCGACGCCCGGACGTAACTCCTGTGAGAGTCTGGAGAGAAGTCGGTGTAGGCTTCCCGTACCTAACGGTTGCGCTCCCTGCTTTACTGCTACTCAGCCACTCTGCACAGAGGATGATGGCGCCGACCTCCTGAGTCGACTTCAACAAGCATCGCCTATCTAATCTAGGCCTCTCAAGCTTTTGCTCCCAGTACCAGATTTTGGCTTGAGCTGAGCCGGTGTCTAACCTCCTTTGACACGCCATCGAGGCCTCGCTTTTGCTACCTGGCCACAGAGTGTTTTGGACCAGCCCATCTTCGGCTCTTAGTCTTCCACCGCTCGTTCATTTGAGCCAATGCGCAGTTCAAGAAGAATTCTTGTTCGCTCAATTGCCGGTGTGGCTTGATTTATCGGCTGAACCACCCTCACCGTGCACGAATACAGAAATCGCAACCGAAGCATGCACCTATGAGCGATGCGGAAACATACATGGGTTCTCAGCTCCAGAACGTGGTCTCGTCAACTATTTTCCAACCGAACAAGGCAGCACTGTTGGCTATTCCTGTTTCATTCATTATGAATGCGGCGCCTGGTCACAAGGCTATCAGGACGTCTTCTCGTAGGAGATGGACCAGCTGCTCGACCATAACTATGGGTCTGTGACTTCCCAGAGCATGAGGCTACACCGGGGATAGTGCAAGACGATGAAAGTCCTGTTCATCTCATGCGACGGCCAAGGGCAGGCCCGGAAGACTACATCTGACGAGGGAGTGACCCGGTGCCAACATGCCGCCCGCGAATATCACAAGAAGGCAAAATTGCGCAGAGCGAGGAACAAAGGCCAGCCCGCGCATGAGAGTCGCAGGCGAATAAAGTCAGTTGTGACTGCGACAGATGAGCCAGCCGTGCCGGAGCTGAAGTTCGAGCAACAGTCTCCTATCCAGATCCTTTTGGGAGCAAGTCGATCCGACCCCTTCAACACCATCGGCGACGCCGGCGTTCCACTCTACGTGCATGAAATGTTGGATCATGCCATCTCATATCACTGGTCGGAATTGTGTCTGTCCGACGGTGGAGGGCGTAACGCCGCTAGAGCCGAAATGATGCAGTCTGTCATGCACTCTCCCACGGCTTGGTACACGATCATCTATGCTGGCGCGACTCACAATGCATACCAGTATGGAGGCCGCGGGACGACGAAGCAGAACGAGCAGCTCAGGCTTGTGTATAAGACGAAAGCCATCAGGTCGCTTCTGGAGTATATTGAAGAAAACGGCGACAGTGTGTCTGAGGAAGCTCTCCTGAGCATGATAACCTTGGCATCTCACGGCACCGGCGAGAGCCTTAAGGGCTATGATTCGTATAAGCGGCAGAATCTACCCTTCTTGTCCCATCTACACGATGTCGAATACTACGCAAGCATGGATATCGGCATGGAACATCTGACTGCCGTCTACGCTATCGTAGACCAACGAGGCGGGCTTCGCACGTTGCGACGGAAGAGTCTGGCCATTATTATCCAAATGTAAGTGGCTCCGGAGTTTGGTACGCTTCGACTGACCGCAAATAGCTGCGACATTCTAACAGCTTGGCGGGGTTTACAGCGTCCTCACTTCACTCTCCTCGCGCCGACAAAGTGCCACATCAATAAGAGGAGCCATCAACCGGACGTTGATGCACAAGACATGCTTGCAACTCGGGCAACAGGCTTTCGCACCTTGATCAGTAATGGGTGCGTCAGTCTTCATGATATTATAGAGGTGGCCGATAACACGAGCATCTTCTCGGCGGACTTTGATCAATTGCTGCGTTCCTATGATCTCCCGAAAGAGCAACAACCTCTGCATACCCCCAACATCGCGCTGGTCAGATATATGCGCTGGTGCGTGCTCCATGATATCCTAACGCTGCCCGAGCACGGCATCGACGACGAAAGTCTGCCCGAGCAGGTCATCTACGAGATCTGTCGACACATCATGTTCGCATATGCAGTGTTCGTCGTGGTGCCCATGCCGCCAAGGACCAAACTACATGCAAAAATCGCTGAACGACTGGGATCTATCCTGACCAGGGCGATCAAGGTGGGCGCTCATGACCAACAGCCGGACCTGTTCCACTGTGCGGTCGCATGGGGCTGGATGTGTTCAGGAAAGGCGGTCGGATATCGCAAGCGCGACAAGCTACTGGGAAGCTTCGCCACGTTGCTGGAGTTTACAACGGTCCCGCGGAACCCTGAATCATGGCCGATTATCGAGGAGATCATGAAGTCCTTCTTATGGATGGAGGTTTATTGTGAGGAGCCAGGGCGGAAGTTTTGGGCGAGTGCTTGTGCGCAGGCGGAGGAGGACTTCAAGGGGGGAGAAACTCCTTGAGGAGAGACATCATGCATCGCTGGGGTACCTGGATGTCACGATGATAATGCCGCCACCCCCGGCCTGGGGCTTGATACGCCCGATCTCTCGCCGCTAGCGAAGGGAAGTGCTCCTTCAATACCGCCACTGTATGCGCGGAGGTCGATGATGCAAGACTACAAGAAAAAGATCGTCTTGGCACGTCTGTTCCTGCTTCTTCTTCTCCCTTTATCGGCCGTCTTGATGTATTTGATCTATTCCAACCTACAGCCTCGAGAGCAAGCCATTTCAGAGCCCAGAGCTAGGCCTCCGCAGAAACACGCAAAACAGCCACCAAACGCTGTAGCCCACGTTTCAACGGCGATGGTAACTGCAATGCCTGTCAGAGCTGGGCGTACGGTTGCACTCCCGACACGGTAGGGCTGCGAGTCTCTGGCAACTTTTCTGGCATCCTTGCTCAGGAGGGCCTCTTTCCCGTTCTTCTGGAGATCTTAAACACGTCCTCGAAAACATTCAACACCTCTATCGGCCCCGTCTATGGCCACGTGTGGTCCGCTGTATTGTTTTCTTTGCTGGGCGGCACCGACGAAGGAACGCATCAGGGCGAAGATACGCCAGCGGGAGGGAGACAGAGATCAGTCTCTGCTAAAATCAAAATGATACAGTCACCCAACAGTGCATGTCAAATGCCTGGCGCTGCCGTCCAGGCTGCTTTGTGCATTGAACGCTCAATGTGAACGCTCAATGTAGCGCGTCCTATTGAGGGCTCGATGTCACAATCACCTTTGACGTGCCCCTGCTGCGGACTGACAGACCAGGACTCGAAAACTTTAATTGCTTCTCGAAGACAGTTGGAAGCAAACGCGGATTCTGGACGCCCGACTGTCTCGAAAAGGAACATGGTTTCAGAATGACTCGTAAGTGAGTCGTAGAAGAATCTTGCACCAGATGAGACACCAGCAGTATTTAGGTTCCAACCTCCTTCGAAACGATCTGGGGTGCGATCAACAAGATGCTTTCCCACGTCCAATGCAAAGGGATTTGAGGCGGCAGCGTAGGAGGAGGGATTGGCCAAGCACCTCGAGTTTAATTAGTGAGGCTTTAGTTCAGCAGCGCCGTTGATGGTGGATCTCGAAGCTCTCACTCTCCACGCTCTCACCCGTACCTCACCATCGACGCATGACGTAGCCGCATCTCGCGCTCGTGTTTACCGACGGCCTGGGCACTTTGGCACTTCAACCCTAGCGCAGTCGACGCTCACCTGCTTCCAATGTCGGCAGACATGAAGCTTCGTGAGGCGTGGAGTCCGGAGTGAAGAAACATGACCATCACCACCTTGGCGGTCGGTGCGGCTGTCACTCCGACAGTGGTAAAGACGTATATCTCCCACGTATGCCATTCTCTCGACGCGTGAGCCTGGGCTGATCTGACATCTAGTACGCGAACCGAAAGGAACGTCGTGAGAAACCCACCGCACACATCTCCTACGACGAAGGCTTGCATCTGATTCGAACCTTCCTCAAATATGCTTCCCACCATACCGTCGAAGACCTACAGTCCTTCACGGGACAGTGGGTGCCCAGCCCGTCGTGGGTCAGGACTGAGAACGTCACGGTCCCGGACGACTACCTCGCAAAGGCAGCCCGTACCATCACCAGCCAACTGGGCGCGGCCGGTGTGGAATCCGTCGGTGGTACAAGGTGGTGGCAGTGGCGGCCCCGCGGAGGTGAGCTGAAGGCAGAATGGATCGAAATGCGTGCACACTACAACGAGCAGAAGAGACAGGGCTCAAAGAGTAGGAGGATCATGCTGTACGTCCACGGCGGGGGCTATTTCTTCGGCAGCGTGGATGAGCACCGCTATCAGATGCAAAGACATGCTCGCAAGCTCAAGGCCCGTGTGTTCGCTCCGAGGTATAGACTGGCACCACAGTTTCCATTCCCTTCGGGGCTGCAAGACTGTCTAGCTGCATATCTCTATCTCCTGGACATGCACGACCCAAGTGAGATCATCCTGGCGGGCGACTCAGCTGGCGGAGGTATGATCGTCTCAATCCTGTGCATGCTGAGGGATCAAGCACTCCCATTGCCTGCCGGCGCGATCCTCATTTCGCCATGGGTCGACCTTTCGCACTCATTCCCAAGCCTAAGCGGCAATGCTGAACTCGACTACATTCCCCCTTATGGTTTTATGCAAAAGCCATCAGCGGCTTGGCCGCCTCCCAACGACGAAGAAGTTGCGACTATCAGCAGGCTTGCCAAGGGGGCCGGTGGCTTGCTTCCAGTAGCACAAGACGAACAAAAACCAACGACTGTGCCAGATGACGACGGTGGTGGAGTCAAGCCTGGGCCTCAACTGCCTCTCTCCATCGAGCTGGATGGGAAGCGGGTTGTTCTGAAAGATCAGATACAAATGTATACGACAAACCAACTACTGGCACATCCATTGGTATCACCTGTCCTACAGCCATCACTCGGTGGCCTTCCCCCGGTTCTGATTCTGACGGGAGGTGGGGAGATCTTACGAGATGAACAAATCTACCTTGCTCACAAGATGGCAAATCCCTCGAAATATCCCCTGGGCGCCGCTTACAGATCGAGATACGATCCAGACGAAACAATACTGAACAAGTACAAAGCTACACCAGTCATGTTACAAGTATGGGATGATCTGTGCCACGTTGCGCCAACTCTCTCATTCACTCGTCCCGCCAAGTTCATGTACCGTTCAATTGCTCAATTTGGGGCCTGGGTGCTGGCAAAAGCGCAAAAGCGTGCAATTGACATTGTGGACGATGACAACTTATCGATCATTTCATCTCAGACAGATTCCGGTTCTGCGACCGATGCCGAGGTCGCGTCCTCGGCAGATAGCATCTCCCGGGTCAAGATAGATGCAAGCAAGACGACAGGAAGCGTTGGCCGAGCTGACGATCCTATACCGCCGTTTGCGAATAACATGATTCGGCAAAGAATTGATCGCTATGGACGCATCTATCCTTTGGCGGAACCGCATGATTTGCCCGCCCTCCGACTGCACCCGGACGACGTTGGAGTGATCAAGCCTGGTCCCGTGAGGAAATGGCTCGAGGCTAAGGCTTCGTGGGACGCGAAATATGCGAGTACGAGGAAGCGCGTGCAAAAGGAACGAGTTAAAGCTCTCGCCAGTGGGAAAATCATGGGATTTGAGGCTGGCGAGCATCCGCCTCCTAGTGCGCTTGCTGGCCGACGGACAGACAAGGATATAATGACCATAAAGAAGAGAAAGAGCTACGGCCTTGCAATGTGGAGTGGATGGGGAAGCAAGCACGACGAATCGACTCTGAAGAGGGAAGAAGAGGCTGTAGAAGTCGGGCAATTGATTGATGAGCCTCCGGACCCTGCATCAGAGCAAGACAAAAACACAGAGACACCGCGACAAACTGTCGGGACTGATGGACAAGTGGAAACCAGCCCAGTTGAAGTGACGGCTGTGAAACGCGCTCGAAACCGGAAACGAAGTTCGAGCACGAAACGGACGACGAGCGAATCGCGGACTCGTGGACGAAAGCGAACCATTTCAGTGACCGACCGAGGGCAGGCTGAGGGCCGTTTTGTGCCCGCGATAGTACCGCCGCAACATGCGATGACGTTGACCGAGTCACCAGAAGCGATGAGGAGTCAAACAGTGCCTCATGCCGAGCGAGCCACGTCTCCAACTGGGTCTTTACTTTCGTCCGGATTTTTACCAAAATTCAAGACAGCCTCTCATCTCCGCGATGATAGCGGTGGCAGCCCACAACAAATGCCCATCCTCTCCGATGCCGCGAGCACGATGACCGGACGCAGCGGCACATTTGCCGATGACGCGAGCACGACGGCGGTCTTCGCTGCTCCGGGCGTGATGAAGAGCGCCGACACTCAGCAAGCCGAACCCGGTCAAATTCCCCATCCCACCACACCAAGACGACCCCAGAGCCCGCTTGTGAATGAGGCGACGAGCGTCAACTCGGATGGCGAGGACGTTGATGAAGGCGTTGCAAGCGGCGCTCCCAGTGTGATGTCGCGTCCGCATACTTCTCTTGCCGGCTTCGGCAGCGACTCGCCTCGCAGCCAGCGTAGTCTCGATCGCTTGCAGAGCCATCAGCTCGACGAGGGCATGGGCAGACTGGCGCCTCTGAGAAGCACAAGTTCGACTGCTGTTGTCCGGGCGGAAGGTGTCGTTAGTGTTATAGACAGCACCCTCGACGGGGCGGGGCACCATATTGCAGATCAGGAGGAGACGAATAATGACTCTCCGGGGAAGTTGATCGAAACCACAGACAACCTGGACAAGGAGGGATCGAACCAGGACGTCGCAAATCGAGCTGAAAAGAGTGAACCCAAAAGACCGAAGATGTATGACCGTGCCGAGACGGACTTTCAGACAGCGTTCGAGAAGATCTGAGCCTGCATGGGCTATCCATCCCACGCTCGTGCAGGCTGTGGCGGCAAAGAGGTGGGGAGAACGCGGTGTGCGTGTTCATGCCAGCTTTCATCCCTCGTCAAGGCTGATCCGAGTCTGTTGAGATTTTGCGCCAAATCAATGCGTGAACATGGGCCTCTCCGGTGCCTGTAGGTAGGCACGTCACGCTTGTAGTGACCGCTGTCTCTGACGAGGTCAAGCATATGGAGAAGCTTCCTTGTGACCAGCGATACGCACTCACGCCCTATACTATACATATACTTCTTGTCCGGAGCATATATTGCGCCAATGATGCAGACAAAACGGTGGGACTGGAAGATGCCATGAAACCACTATTACCTCCAATGGCGGCGATCCGCCCCTTGGTGGGCTCAAAGCAGAGAGCAGTATGTATCACCAGATGAACGGCAACGCTCTTTTCCACGCAGCTCTCTCCAGATTCTAGGCAAAGACGATGCTTGCTTTCCTACCTCCCCTCGGCCTGAGGGCCTTGCATGACAATAGACCCTCAACACTGTTTCTCCCCCTAGGTCGCAAACTCGAGACCGACTCTCGCTAACTACGGTTGGACAAGCGGATGATCGGTTTTGTCTGGGTGCAGCATCTACTCATGCATCCACCATGCCGCTGGGACCTCGAACAAGTTACCGTCCACTACATGCGACATGCCCCAGAAATCCGCCTCCTCACGATCAAGCCAGTGCTAAACACGTCTACAGCGGAGAGTCTCTCACTCGTCGAGCGGTTTCACGTTGTCTTCGAGGAGAAACCACAATACTCAGTGAGGTCTACATTCGTGGTACATGATCAGATCGATCAGGACTCTTGTCAAGGAGTGGTCTACAGCCCCTTAGCGATCAGCTAAAAGACCGAGATTCCGAGCACTTTATGCTGGATTATTGGACCTCTTGGCTTATATGCTTGTTATGAGCCCCGGGAGGCTGCCACGGTTCATGACAAGTCTCTAGTCACCAACATTGGAGAAGACCTGTACCGCGGGCTAATGAAGGAATCTTGCCGATGCTCTCCGGCAGTTACGAATCACTCACGTCGCGGGCCAGTGTTTCCGGGCTGATTTGTTGTCGATTCACCAGAATAGCAATGTGGAGAGGGCCAGAGTCCATTAAATATGTTATTGAAGGATATCTTCCACTCGTCCGTCCAGCCAGACTACAGCCAATCCAATCCAATCAGTTGTCGCCATGTCCCAGTACGTGGCGATGAAGGTGATCGAAGGGGCTACCAACTCGCCCGAGATCCTCTAATTCATTCATTCATTCAACACCACTGCCCGCTGCCTCGCATGGGACCTGAATTCCCTCTCCCCGTGGATCATCCATGGACAAGCATTGTTCGGTGCCCATCCTCGGGCGTGACGCGTGCGACGACCATTTCGCCGCCACTAGATCCTTCATCACTAACGGAGCCTTCGGAGCCTTCTTTGGCGTAGGAGCCAGCGTCGTGCAATAAAATGTTGACTATGGCCGTCGTGCTGAATCTCGATGTTCCTATCGTCCTGCGCGAGAAGGAGATGGTCGGACGCGGGGCCGACGACGTCGCCGTCATGGGCGAACGCTACGTCGTGGGCATCATGTGCGGCGAGTCGATCCTTGCGCAGAGCGGACCGGACGGTGAGCTGCAGGATATTTAACTGCGACGGATGAGATTCTTGAAGAGAGATATGGATGGATGGATGGATGGATGGATGAGCCTGCTACCGACGACGACCTGTGACTGTGCTACGTGCAGTGCTAAATTACAGAACCTGACCGAGTGGTGAGGAGGATGTTCGTGGCCTGAGGCTTCCAAGGGACTATGCACCACGAACCACGAACACTGGCAGTACTTACGCCGCCATATTTTCTCTGGGTAAGCCCGAGTTTGGATCGAAGTCAATGGGGCGTATGTGGTGATGTTAGAACATAAATATTATAATATGCGCATGAAGAACTCGGACGAAGGCAATGAGAGAGCCCAAGCTGGTCACTTGTCGCTCGTGCTCGTCGTTCGCGCTCGTCGCTCGCGCTCGTCGTCGGAAGCAATTGTCGGATCGCTCACTATACTGCAATTGGTACGTGCTAACCCAGCTAGTCAATACTGTACTGCGTATATCTCATGCTTTGTCCAGGATACCGGCCTAAGTGAGCAAATGAGCGAATAGATAGATCTTTTCTTGCCCTACACTAAAACCTATATAGCTCATGCCTCGAAAGGGAAACCTCGAAGACATCCCGTAGTGATACGTATGTAAAATACAGTATGTCTCAAAGACTCGTCGCCCATCGCCCGCAGTCACCATTACGCATGAAGACCAGTGTCTGTCTATCTCTAGTGCACCATCGAGTGCTTCTTCTACCGAGTCCTCCTCCACCGCGTCCTCCTTCCAGCGGACTAAGGGTGTTGGATTTATTAAATTGCTTATCTGACCCCGGGCAACTAGCGTCTGGTGTCTGGTGCACGATACAGTCGTCGTGCAAGATAGGGTAGTCGTTCACAGTCTCAACGCGCTGGTCGACAATAATCATCCCTGGCTTGTATCCCCAGGACTGACAAAACCAAGACACTCTTCAATCATCGTCCAATTCGGATTGTCGCTTCGTGTACTCAGTACAGCAATTAGAGAAGCCATCGAGTATATACTCTAGTACACGAGTAGACTCCTGGATCGTTCGTTCGCACGAAAGGATCCACCGTAAAGTTGCCGTCTCGCGTCGTCGAGAATCGCAAGGCTCTCATCCCTATCCTGTGCGCCGCTCATAGCGACTTTTTGAGCACACGCTGTGACGCTACATATCATACCGTACGGAGTACCCCACTTTGAGCTTTACCGCTGCTCTCATCCTTCGACTGTCGTAAGGGACTTTAAACCAACTCGGGAGGTGTTGCTGCGTCCGGGCCCTAAAACAACGGGCTGCACAATCGTGAGGCCAACTTGTCAATAATTAGACAGTGCCTTGCAGCATTCACGGGAAGGGCGATTGGACATGTCTACCGAGTACAGAAATCTTCACACCGAAAACAATAAGCCTTGAGTGGAGGCCATGAAGCCACTAAGCGTAGCTAAGCCAAGCTATGTATTCATGGAGAAGAACATTGAGATGGACCACTGAGCAGGGAAGGACAAACAGGGAAACAAAAGAGAGTCCTTGTCTTGGCCTTGTGTACCTGGTAACCTCCCGAGCAACTCCTCGTATACTCACGATAATGTAGTTCGCCCACAAATGAATATATTCGGGTCCCCTAGGCCGGTCCCAACCCATAGTCCTGAGATATGCTCTCTTCTCCTTGCTCATCACGTCACGAATACACGAATACACGAATACACGGCATATGAGTATCGTGCCTAGGTTTCAGCAAGCTGGCACTGCTCATTGGATGCACACGATGGAGTTAACGATGCAGCGGTTCGTCCATATGGTCCCACCCAGGGAATACTAACTACAAAGCACGGCACAAAGCACGGCACAAAGCACAGATAGGATCGGCTTGACGGTTCGCACATAGGCGTATATCGTTGCAGATGGTCTCCCCTCAAAAGGACAACGAGCCTGTGCCCTGTGGCGTGTTGCCTGTCACTGTAGCAGGGGAACCGCACTGATCGACCATGACCGGGGAGCGCCTCTGTCTTTGCCATATCGTGGTAAGACTTTGGTCGACGCCACAGATAAAAAGGCAATGGTCCTACCTGCGCGTCTGGCTTTAAACTGGCAGCATATATGAGGTCAGCCCCGTCCTGAGACGCAACCCTACGCACTGCTAGCGACGTGCCGTCAAAGTCTAGTCCGTGGCAAGGCCTCGTCCGGCGCAATCGGCGGCGTTACAAAGTAGACTCGAACATAAAAGAAGCTGGATCAAGAAGAGAATTTTGTAGATTGATGGCCACTTGAACCACCAGCACTCGATTACCCATACACCGGCTTGTTTTCCACCTCGTTGTTTCAACCCTCGCAGCAATGCTGAATTCAACCTTTGTATACGCGCTCGTCATGCAACATCACATAGGCCAGAATTGTTTGGCCGGCAGAACTCGCTCTGCAGAGTAAGGTGCAACCGTCACACATCAAACTCGGCTTGGTACACCATCCCATGTTGTTGTCTAACCATTCCTTTCGCAGAACCCAACGCCTAATTCACCGTCCGTTGGTGACCGCAGTAGCCAGCCTCTTGCTCATAAAGTCAAAAAATGCAAACTGACTTGGCGTAGAACCATACTCGTACACGAATCGACTGGCCAGGTAACTTCCAAAGATGGATTTAAGATATTTGTCCGGCACCCGTTGCAGAATCTTGTCCAAGCCAATCTTCTGCTGGAGAGTCTGAGGCAATGCTTCCTTGAACACCTGCATCCTCAACGTCTTGTTGTCCCACAGTTCCTTGAAGTTCTGGAGGTCTTCGTCGAGCTTGGTGATTGCGAGTGACAGTTGGTCAGAGAGCGTGGAGCGGGGGATGCCGGTGGCCTCATTCTCACGCCAAATAGCTTCGAATTCGAGACGCGCGTTGCGTTTGATGGTCTCTTGCACCTCCTTGACATAGGTCTTGTAAAACTCAGGCACAGTGCCGTCGGCACCGACGCACATGTTCTCAATGAAGCCTTTGTCGTCAAAGGACAAGCTTGCCAGGACCTCTAGCGAAGACGACGTAACACCGCCCTTGTTCGCGGACGCGTCTTTGTATATGATACAGCCAGCTTTCTCGAGGCGGAGCTTGGCATCTTGGGTGATGAAGAGATTGGCGCCCTCGACGATGTATGGGATTGTGCATTTGCCATTTGAGATCAGCTTGGAGGTGGTAGAGAGATCAATCGACTCGGGGCGACCACCGCAGGGAACAAAGAGGTCGTACTGCGACCCATCGCGCAGATGGAAAGTATTTCGGAAGGTCATGCCGTTGTTGACTTTCTCGCCAGACGGCAAAGTGACGTTCGTCTCGTCGACCAGTACACGATACCCTTGTGGCGACAGTTTCGAAATATCGTACTCGGCAATCATCACTCGTTTCTTCGCCAGACGCACCAACTCTGCGTGATCCAGTCCGGCGGGATCCACTAAAACCCCAGACCCGTCGACAATGGCAGTGTACTTTTCGTTGCCGAGGAGTATTTCGTTGGACCCCAAGTCTCCGTCCGGCCCTCCGGTCTGGAGTTTTCTGATCTTGCTCGGGTCCAGGTTCAACTTGCGGTAGATGCCCAAAACGTACTCACGGACTGACAGTGTAGTCATGCCATAAGCATCGTGAGGGATGCCGCCAAGCTTGGGGCTCTTGCCGGTGAAGAACGATTTCCACCAGGGTGCACCTCTGGCTCGGGCATGTTCTGTAGCCCAATCAACCAGATCTGCCGTGTTCTCGTCAGGGCCCATGAAGAGGATCTCTTCTTGTCCATGTAAATCGACGATAGGGTCCTTGATGCCAGGACTGGTGGGGGGCAAGAGGAGGTCCATGATGCTATCGATGTACTTCTCAAATGCGACGCGCGCCTTATCTTGGTGCTGGTAATCCAAGAGGATCACCCCTTTGGATCCGCCTTCTGGGATGTCCTTGTTCTTCCTCTGTTGAGTATTGGCGAGGTTGTAATTCTCGTCGAATTGGGTCCGGGCATTGATGGCGTATAGCTCCTTGTTACGGGACTTGACGATACGAATGCCACCGCGCGCAATATCGCGGAATCGCAGATGGAAACCTCTGAACTCGGACCCAATGACCAAAAACATGCCATACAGTGGCTGGGGGTATTCATGCTCCGGCAAGAAGTCGACGCTGGGCTTGAGGCGGAAACTGAGCGCCACCTTGGTTGGGGTATAGAAGTTGGTCTTCAAAACCGCTCTGTTGAAGGTCAAGAAGTACTGCATGACCATTTCGTCATGCTGGTTCTGGGTAGTCTTGGAGATCAGCTCCGAGAGCGTCGCATCATCGATGACATTCTTTACATCCAAGCGAAGATAGCTCAGCGTCGGGATGAAGTCATCTTGTTCGCCTCTGGTCTGCACGTAGTGCGCGCTTGCAAACGAGAGATAGAGATTGCGGATAAGGTCTGGGTACTTGTTGATGATCTCAAGGATGTACTCCGAGGTAAACGTCTCCGTTCGCAGGCGCTTCTTGATCTTTGAGAGCAGCTCGGCATTTGCGTTGGTATCTCCCTTGAGTGCCGCCACCAAAGACGTATACTCTGAGCCCAATCGGTTCAGGAACTGCTGGACAAATACATGCACACAATGAGCGTAGATACTCTCTTGAAGGCTCAAGTTGCCGCTCGCAAACTGTCCCTGCAACTTGTTCTGCGGAATGCAGAAGAGCAAGGAGACTTCTTTGATGATCTGGTGGATTGCGGCCTCGATGGGAGGGAACCTCGACTTGGCAATGTCGCCGCTGGCGGGTTTGAGGTACAGGGAGATGACCGTGATGCCGTTGGAGAATTGCTCAACATATTTTCTGGAACTCGTAACTCCGTAGTAGTGGTACAGGTCCGACAAGGCACTGAAGACACCCATGGCTGAACCTTGGCGATAGGCGATAACAAGTCGCTTTTCCCGTGTACCCTCCATGTCGAACATCTCGATGACGGGACCCGTCCTCGACACGGCATATGTAATGATCTCCTGGTAGATCTCTTTTGTCTTCTGTGTTGCCTTTTGGAGGAACCGCTTCTCACCAATGACTTCAATATCGGTCTCGTCTGGGCCGGTGTTGGGGTTGCTGAACTGACATTGGTAGATGAAATAACACCGCAGGGATTGATCTGGGTTGTCGGGCAGAGCATTATTGGATCGAAAAGACTCGACCCTGTAGCTCCTCGCCGGTGTAGAGCCGTCAATGTATTTTTCGTCGATCCGCTGCTCGTACCGAGGGCCCTCGATGACGCTGACTCCAGGCGTGCTTGTGTCTATGTAGACTGCATGATCGGATGCTTCTTTTGCCAGTCTGATCTCCAACTTCTTGTCATCTCGTGCGTAAGCGGCCAACTTTGCGGCGTACAGGGAGAGGATGTTGCTGGCAACGGCCTCGACGGTCTCGGTGGAGAAGTACATGTCATCGATGCCCAGGGAGTTGTAGAACCATTCCGTTTCGGACGCAATAAAATCGCTGGGCAAGAAGCCCTTGTCTTCGATCAGGTCCATAACTGTCCTCGGGATCAGCACCTGCTCAGGGTTAGTGGACTGCAAACATACCCTCTTCCATCTGCGCCTTCTTGCCCTCAAATTTGGGCGCGACATATCCTGAACTATGATCCGAGAGAATGCGGTGCAGCGACTGATTAGACTGGGAGGCGCCGGGTACTCCCAATAACGTCGGCTGGGGTGAAGGTTGTCTTCCTGGTGTTCTGACGACCTGGTCCAGGATCTTGTGTTTGGCCGGGTTCAGCGGCTGGTCACCGTTGGCTGAGAGATGATCCATGATGTGGCCGGAGAAGGAGTGTGGCACCTCGATAATCAGAAAGAGAATTCGAAAGTGACAGCAGAGGGAGTGAGAGAATGCCAATGGAATGTAAGATCAATGTGAAAGGAGGGGGCTGCTGCCGAGTCCAGGAGCTGTTCTTTGGGCAGGTATACGTGTGTTCAGCTCCTAACGCTGACTCCAACTGAGATCAATTCCAGGTCAGCTGCAAATCCGGCCGGGTAGAAAGACCCGATAGTGCGCGGAATTTGACCTGATGAGAGGAACAAAGGAGAATGTTGCTCTCAATCCAAGCGAGTGAGGCCGAATTGGTGAACACGCACTCCGTTCGGTCAGACCCCTTCGGATCGCCAATGCCGCCGGATCGATAAGAGCAAAGAAAGATACGAAAGATCTCACAGCAGCTGAAACACTTGGTTGGGGCCGAAGCGCGCAATACGTGTCTCCCTTTCGCACACCTGCGGCCAACGTGGCCCCTTCTTATACACCGATCTTCTGAGGCAAATCGCGCAAAAGTTTTTCGCTGGCGCAGTCGCATGCATCACATGGTGGGAAGACAACAGCGAATTCAGGAACTTGTTACGAGACATCATCGTCACTTCCCCCGCAATTGGATAGCCGCCCGGTGCCTGGATGGAGCCTCGCTGGGCCAACTTGACCGGATCGATGCTAGCAGTCCCCAGGAACGGGCGCAGCCCTATCAGCTGCCCGCGTTGCGATGCTTGTGCCGCGCTGCACCGCTTAGCATCGGAGCGAATGGGATTTGGCCCTGTTCGACAGCCACTGAGATCGGGCAATTGTGAAAAGAGGCCAGGAAGAAATCCAAGTGATTCTGCAGAGTAACACGGGACGAAAAACGACCGGACGCCATAGCCGCTGTTGGGCACAGTCAATCGGCCTCGTCCTGTCGTATGCATTGCCATTCCCATCAGCCCTGATCATGTCATTCATATCCAAACAGGAACTACACATACACGATTCCATAATCCGCAGTCCCAAACCTTTCACGCGGAAACGCCAACAACGCTGCCCGAATCCATCGTCCAGCCTCATATCCGAGGCCTATGCTCAATAGCTTCGTCCTCTGCCTCAGCCGTCAAGCTGCTACTCGCGCCGTCCTGCCTGGTCGAATCCAGCTCTCCGTCCTTGTCCGGGTCGTAGGATATGATTCTTTCCAGCTGGTCAGACCGTTTCGGGCTTGGAGACACATTTCTCGCCTTATGGGCCTCGTCTTCATCGACAGATCGGCCGTCTCCCGGACCGTCCTCTGCCAACAAAGCGCCGTGCTCTCCATCTCTTTCGCGCTCATTGTGCTCCCCACCGTCGAGTTGTGGCCCATTCTTCTGTTTGATAAATGTGTCGATGATGTAGTACTGAAGCGCGTTCATGATGAGAGGGAATATGAACATGACAAATGCAATTTGTACGGCTTCGTTGCCCTCGGTCCAGCGCAGCGCCCAATCCCCAACTCTCCCCAGCCAAGGGCAAAGTTGGAATATGATGAAGACACAAATTTTCATGCCGATGAGGCCCAAGAAGTAGAGCAGGCACTGCTTGGCCCACCAGCCAGCCTTTGGGGGCGTGCCATAATGGCCCGACTCGATCGATTCGGGGGGCCGCGCCAGAGGTGTGTAACTCGCGCCAATGGTCAAAATCTTCAGGATGCCAATCAAGATAGGGATCCCGAGAGTGGTGTCAATGGCCAAGTTGAGCAGGTAGAAAGAACATGGATTTGGCTGGTATGCTTCGGTCGTTTCTGCTCCTAGTGTGGTCGCTGCTGCGTTGACAACGCTCTCGCCAATCTGCCCAGACGAGAACATGGACATAAGGAGGTTCAACAAATGCAGCAGAACCGATCCAACAACCTGTTTAGACACATCAAAAGACCACACCTTCAGGGGCCGCTGTGGCCTTTCTCTCCACCTCTTGAAGACCAAAGATAACAGAGCCAAAGCGCCCAGCGCTGCTTGAACCAAGATGGCAAAAGGGCCTAGCAACTTGCATTCACCACCACTATCGTCGTCGTCCGACATGGGAGCGGCAGGAGACTTGGTTGGGTTGGGAATAGACGCCAAGGTCTGTGACGCTGCCGCCGTGGCTATACTGAAGATGAGGGACGTGCCTGTCACTGCGACGCTCGGTGGTGAGGAAGTTTGGAGGGCTGAAACGATGTCATGGTCGAATGGCGCGGCCGGCGACGAAGGTAATCCAGGAGGGTGCATGTGCGCAATGAAAGGAGGCCACTCTAATACGGACCCATATGTTGGATCTGGTGACAATATGTGTCAGCCTGCTGGCACGACGCGTGGTCTGAAGGTTTGCAAAAGTCAAGTTGAAGGAGGCGCAGAACTTTGGAGGCAGCATTTGCCATCCAGCAGGCGGGGGATGCAGCCGCTGCCAAGCCACTTCGTCATTCATTTCGTTTACGACGGATGCGATTGTTGATAACTCGCATACAGGACTCACGTAGCATTGCCACGAGCGATACCTGAATCCTCGCTCGTAGATGGGTACGATACTGAGGACATGTCGCTGTGCTGCTTGAGCTACCAGATCCATACAGGAAAATAAAGACACTTCTATCACGGAAGTCTCGCTCATATCTGGTGGTCAGCTCACTCCACTGTGAGATCGATCTCGCGAACACACAGCCTCCTCCCTGGTCTCTGCAGGTACCGTATACTAAAACGGTCCTATGGCACCCTGACTGGCAGAATATCACTCATCGGTGCCACCACAGTGCTGCCTGGGCCTGCATATCCGGATTGCCCCAGTTTGACAATGCTGTGTATGATAATAACATCTCAGCTGGACACGATGAGGCATGCGCTGGGTACATATGATACTTGTGGACGCGACTGAGCCCACGACAGTTTCATCCAGACGCTCGGTGACTCTCATAACTGACCCTTCTAGGTAGCCTTTCAAACTGTGGGCCACGCTACTAATAGTCGTTCTAACTTGTGGCTTTCCTTACACTAACTTCAGCTTGTTCATCTGGAAAAGATATTAGGATGTCGTCGCTGAAGGCAATTCGAGTTCCAGGACAAGGTAGATAACTCGAGGTAAAGAGGCCTGGAATGGGAAGCACATGAAAAGCAACGATGGCGAGGCGTCGAGGTTAACAAACAACGCCGGTATCTACAGCCGTGCCGTTCATACTCTGCTCTTTTCCAAGAAGCGGCAACAGATTGCTGTTGGAGGAAGACGAACCAAGCATGGTCCCCTACAAGACAAGGCGGAGATACCTCAACCTTCAAGTTGCGCCAGACGGGTCGATATCGGTCCTGAATGAACGCGAGACTTGTCAACGACTCCATAAAAGGCACCAGTTGCAGTTCATAAGTGCCACAGTTTCCAAGGCAGGGTACGGCTATCAATACGGCTAGTCGTCTATCACCTTCATCATCCGAATCGACCCTACTGAGCCGGAATATGCCAATCTTCTGGCATCGGCCCAACTAATCTTAGGGTTCAAAGTGGCAGGAGATCGAGCTACGATACGACGCCGCACCAATCTGAGGAGACAAGACGGCTCCCGTGGCTCTACGCCTCTCTCCGATGGGAGCAGCATTGATCATGAATCTTATGCTTTGAGGCTCTGCACTCTGACCGTCAAAGCCTGACCTTGTGCGCAGGGAGATTTCCATGATAAAGATAGGCCAAGGAAGAGATAGGGGCAGTCCGTACATAGTACCTGGTCAGTGCCAGTACGTGTCTGGAGTCCAACAGTCCAACCTAGGAAATGCCGAGGTCGGTACCGTGGAGTCCCTCCAGTCTACTGCCGAGATTTGGAGAATTCGCTCGCCGCTCATCCTCCTCTGGCATTAATCGCCCCAGTACCGGGTACGGGATGCCGCCCTGTGCTTGTTGGAGCAAAGGCATATTATGAAGCATGCTCCAGACATCTCGGTAAGTCACGTGTTTTTCACGTGACCGACACGTAACTCACTTGCGTACGGGGTATAGCCACCTTTCCTTCTGCTACAGCCTCTCTCAGTGGGCAGCATCATTATACCTCTCGCTCTAACAGTGCTCGCCCCCGGCACGCCCCTTGCTCCATGGGAAATGACGGCCATGACGGATGATCCCTTGTCCTAGTGTGAGGTAAGGTCAGAGCACTCAGTCTGCTGGACAGCCGTGCTGAATGCCGATCAGCCGAGCAGCCGTGGGCCGCGGTACAGTAACAGTTTTGGAAGTACGGAGTACGAAGTACTCCGTACACTTTTCATGAACACTGCAGACCAGACCACCTGGAAAACGAGACACAGCCTCATTAATGTGCGTGACACGCGACCGTGGTTATCACTCTCCAGTAGAAGACGACCGCCGCCTTGGTGGGTTGCCTCCAGGATGTCTTCCTCTCGACCCATCAAGGTTCTCATAGCGAATCGGTCCGAGATAGCATGCCGGCTCATCAGGACATACTCACTCTACTCGAGCATTCACACCGTAGCTCTGTTCACGCCCTCTGAGAAGGATGCGGCACACGTGCGTCTTGCCACCGCATCAGTGGCGCTCCCCGGAGAAGGTCCACGTGCGTATCTGGACGCGGCCAATATCGTCGACATCGCGAAGAAAGAAGGATGCTGGAGCATCGCGCCTGGCTACGGGTTCTTGTCCGAAGACGCCGGGTTCGTGAAACTATGCGAGGATGAAGGCATCGTGTTCATCGGTCCGACGAGCGAGCAGTTGGCACGACTGGGAAACAAGATGAGCGCGAGGTCATTGGCAGCAGATGCAGGTATACCGGTTCTAGATGGCACCAAGACCGTCCTCGATCGAGGGTCCTCCGTCACAGAAGTCCTGGCGTTTGGGAAGAGCCTAGGCCCCGCCAGCAAGATCATTCTGAAGGCCGCAGCTGGCGGCGGAGGGCGCGGCATCCGCATCGTCGATGACAGTACGGACGAGCAAGCCATTCGCTCGGCTTACGAAGCTTGTCAGCGAGAGGCACAGGCATCCTTCGGCGATGGAAGCTTGTTCGCGGAGCGATATCTACAGGGTGCTAAACACGTTGAGGTCCAGCTTCTGGGGGACGGCACTGGAGAAGTCTGCCATTTCTGGGAGCGAGAATGCTCGCTCCAGCGCAGAAATCAGAAGGTCGTCGAGGTTGCGCCTTCGCCTTCCATCACGCCACGGCTGAGGCGAGCCATCATCGAAACCGCGGTGAAACTGGGAAAAGCAGTGAAGCTGCGAAGTCTCGCCACAATCGAATTCCTTGTCGATGCAGCAACCGAAGGCTATTATTTCATGGAGGCCAATCCGAGAATACAAGTCGAGCATACCATCACCGAACAGATCAATGGCATTGATTTGGTCGATTTACAACTTCAGGTTGCCTTGGGACGAACGCTGGCAGACCTGGACATAACGCAGGAACCCCCACCACCTCGACTTACATCCATCCAGCTACGCATCAACGCCGAAAGCTTCAGGCAAGATGGCACCGCGCAGCCTGAAGCGGGGACTATTCGACAGGCACATTTCCCTACAGGGGCAGGCGTGCGAGTCGAGACGGCTCTCGAAGGAGGCCGGCCGTATGCTGTCAGCCCTTTGTTCGACAGCCTTTTGGCGAAACTCATCGTCACCTCATCTTCATATGAGTCTGCACTGCGGCTAGCTCGTCGGGCCATCGACGAGACAACGATCGTAGGATGCAGGACGAATCAGGCGTTCCTGATGGCTTTGCTGGATTTCCCAACCGTGCAAGAGGGCAAGAGCAACATTTTGACCATCCAGGAGAACTTCGAGGCGCTGTACAGCGCCACCCAGCAGTTCGAAGACGCGTTGCGGGCTAAGGATGATCGCATCTCCGAAGAAGCTACCTCGCCAATGGAGGATGCGGCTAAGGTTGAGCGACCTGCAGGTTCTGAAGAGCTGCTCGCACATGTCACGGGGGTTGTCCTCTCCATGAAAGTGAGTGCAGGCGACAAGATCACTGCCGGCCAAGAACTGGTCATTCTTGCGGCGATGAAGATGGAACATTCCGTCCGGAGCGCCCACAATGGTGTTGTGGTGAAGGTGGCCGTCACGCAAGGACAGCAAGTCAATGCCGGCGATGCCCTTCTCTTCACCCGCTCGGTTGGCGACAGCTCATCCAGCAATACCCACGACCTAGCCGAAACCGAGAACCCAGAGGAGCTGCGACCGGAGTTGACGGAGCTGAACGAACGTCAGGCCTTTCTACGGTACGCTGCCCGCGATGAGGACGTGGCCAAGCGCCACGCGAACGGATACCTCACGGGCCGGGAAAATCTCGAATTGCTCGTAGACAAGGATTCCTTCATTGAATATGGAGGGCTCGTGGTTGCGGCACAGAGGAAAAGGTACCACCTGTCCCATCTCATCGCTCGCACAAGCGGAGATGCCATCATCGTGGGCTGGGCGAAGATGGACTCTCATCCAGTCGCACTTGTCATTGGCGACTACCTCGTCCTTGCCGGCACGCAAGGACATTTCCATCATCAGAAGTTAGACCGTATCTTCCAATCCATCATTGATCATCCTGCGCCCCTGGTGTTGTACGCGGAAGGAGGTGGTGGGAGGCCAGGTGACACCGATCACTTGAGCATGGCGGGCCTCAAGACGCCATCATTCGCTCTGTTGGGCGAGATCAAGGCAAGAGGGATTCCTTCCGTGGCGGTGGTGAATGGATACTGCTTTGCCGGCAACGCTGCACTCTTGGGAACATGCGACATTGTCGTAGCTACGAGAGGCGGTTCCAAAGGTGCGCCATCGAGGAAGTCGACCACAATCGGCATGGGCGGTCAAGCCATGATCGAGGGCGGTGGCCTCGGCCGATTCGAGCACGAACATATCGGTCCCGTCGATGTCCATATGCGCGCGGGTGGCATCGACGTGCTTGTGGACACCGAGGTCGAAGCTGCGCCGCTCGTCCGCAAGATCGTTGCTCTGTTCACACATCCGCAGCTGCCACCAGCGGAGAGTGCTTACACATCGGATCCTCTTCGCCTCCGCACCGCAGTGCCGCCACTGTCATCTCGTCGCCGAGCGTACGATGTTCGTCGTGTCATCAACCTACTCCTGGACGACGATAGCTTCATCGAGTTCTGTCCCGAGTGGGGTCTCTCTGTGCTGACCGGCTTTGGCCGCATCAACGGCCACGCCGTCGCAATCATAGCTTCCGACTCTTCATCCCCTCTAGGCGGTGCCATCGACGTCACATCCGGAGCAAAAGTCAACCGCCTTCTCCGTCTCCTCA